ACGCCCGGCTGGTGTGGCTCAGTGGCTGAGCATCAACCTATATGCCAAGAGGCTGCCCGTTCAATTCCCAGTCAGGGCACATGCCCAAATTTTGGGCCCAATCTCCAGTGGGGGGCATGCAGGAGGTAGCCAATCGATGTTCTCTCTCATCGATGTTTCTATTTCTCTTTACTCTCCCTTCTTCTCTCTGTAAAATCAATAAAGAAAAAAAAAAGACTTTATAAAAAAATGTGCCCACAAATTCTCTGATACACCTCTTTAAGAAGTGGAGCTTGGGGAAGGGGCTCCCCGAGCAAGATGGTCACTGTCCTGTGTGGCCGTGACTCAGCAAAAACTCTCACGGCCCTCCAAATCCCGAGTGTCCCCACACAGTTCCAGTCCAGTCTGCCCTCCCTCTGCCGAGCCCAAGCCTGTGAGAATGCCCACCCTCCAAGCCAGCAAAACGACAGTCACAGAGCGCAAGGATGCTGTGGTGCTGAATTGCTACTCAAATGCATATTTCAACATGTGGTTCTTCAGTGGCAAGAGTCTGTGGCTCAGGAAGAGGATGGCACGGTCGGAAGCTATAAGACCATATTGGATCTATCTCACCATAGATCCAGTTATGGTGGAGAATGCTGGGAATTATAATGTGAAGTCTTCGACCCTTACAGTTTCCATCAAAGTGGGCTCCTCAAGCTGGATGTGAAATATGAGTGACCCTCCTCTCCTCTTCTATGTTATTAAACTCTGAATAAAAAATTTTTTTGCACCTTTTTAATAGAAAAAAAGAAAAGTGGAGCTTAATTCCAGTCTCCTTGTAACTGGGCTGGACTTGGTGACTGACTTCAACAAGTTGAATACGGCAGAGGGGACGTATGTCGCTTCCCAGATTAGGTTATTTACAGAACTGTGGCTCCCGGCTTGTGCTGGCACTCTTACTCTTTCTTCCTTAGAAAACTCACTCTGGGGGAAGCTAGCAGCCCTGTCATGAGGACCCTCAGGCAATGTATGGAGATACCCATGTGGCAAAAAACCCAAGACTCCTACAGCAGCCAGTGAGGAACAGAGGCCAGCCATCGTGAGCTTGTGAGTGAGCATGAGAAGAACGGGTGGCACCCCTGGACAAGGCAGGCCTTTCAGTTTCAAGTGGCACAGAAACCTAGCACACACTGGCTGAAGAGTGTATTAGATTCGGGGACTCAAACTATGTCATTGGGTCCCTCTTCATCTCTTAGCCCTGTTATCGCCTGTGTTGACTTCATTCCAGGCAGGTCCTCTTTATGTGGTAGCAAAGATGGCCCCCAATAGCTCTAGGCTTCCATTAGACCAGCACAGCAATCCCAGAATGCAGGTTTTCAGCAAAACTCCTAGGGCCAATGTGTTCTCATTAACCTATCGCTGTGGCCAGGGAATTAGATCATGCTGATTGGCCAGGCCTGAGTAGGAGCAGGCTATGGATCAAGGAGTTCCCCTAAAGGAAAACTGCACTTAGGAAAGGAGAAAGTGAGAACAACAGATATCCACCTAACTTTCAATGTCTCTAACTACTTCCTGTAAATATGTCTAAGTCTCCTCCAACCTACAAACAAAACAGAACATTCTGCATCTCCCTGGAGCTTCTGCCGATCACTCTCCTTCCTTTTGCTGCCAAACTTCTAGTGTACACTGGCTTCTCCACTTCCAGACTGTGTGTGCCCTCCTCAATCCTGGATAACATGGCTGTCAGCCCTGCCAGTCCACTCAAGTGCTCCAGAAGTCCTGGTTGGGTGGCTCAGTTGGTTGGGGCATCATCCTGTACACCAGAAGGTTGCAGGTTGGATTCCCAGTCAGGGCACATACTTAGGTTGCATGTTCCATCCCTGGTTGGAGTGCGTACGAGAGGCAACTGAATGATGTTTCTCCTTCTCTTTCCTTTCTTCTCTAAAATCAATTCCTAAAAAAAGTGCCCCAGCAGTTGTCACCAATGATCCAATGCCCAGTGCAGTGGCCTGCCTTCCTTTCCTATCCTGTTTGGCCTCCTGGCCCCATACGAAACCAGTAACCACTGTTCCCTGCTCCCTTTATAAGACTGGTTTCTGGACATCTTCCCAAGTGGCCTCCTCTGACCTCTCAGGCAGCTCTGTCTCTCTCACTCCTGCCCCAACTGCCATTGTTCTCCAGGTTTTGTCTTAAACCTTTATGTTATCTTACATTTCCACTCTCTTCCTGGATATTCTCTTTTACCCCCAAAGCTGGGGCATGCATATACAATAATCCCCAGATCTTTCCTTTTCCGAGCTCCAGACCCATCCTGCCACCTGCAAGCTGTTCATTTCCACCTACACATCCTGCAGAACATTCAGACCCATATGTCCAAAATCACATCCGTTACCCTTTCTCCTCCTGGCCAGCATAACTTCACTCCCAAGAGTGCTTGCACCAAAGTTGCGGGTTTGATCCTCGGTCAGGGCACATACACGAATCAACCAATGAATGCATAAGTAAGTGGAACAAATTGACGTTTTTCTCTTTCTCTCCCTTCCTCTCTCTCTAAAACCAATCAATAAATAAAATTAAAAAAAAAAAAGATTGCCTGGGGTTGAATGCCAGTCCTACTCTTGGCTAGCCAGGTCACCATGGCAAGTTATTTCACTTTCCTGTGCCTCAGTTTCCTCATCTATGAAATGAAGATGATTATAGCGCCTACCTTCTAGGGTTGACTGAAGATGTTATTTCCTTAATCCTTGTCAAGTATTTAGCAGAAGGTTTGGCACCTGATCAGTGGTTTTGTACCAGGCAGAGAGGTGAAGCCGGATGGAAAAGGAAAAGAGGCCCCTGCCCTGGGTATTGGGTCACTAGCATGAATGTTTCATTGATTCAAGTTAAAAAAAAAACAACTCTGTTCCTCCCCTTCTGGCATGCTCCACCTTAGCTCACAGGAGCATCATGCCCCTAGCTGTGCACACTCGTCACCTCCAGGCTCCCTGCCCCCCCTACATGCCACCACCCGCTGTCCCACAGTGCTCCCTGATCCAGCCTTTGGACAACTTGGAAACAACTTCCCCATCTGTCTCCGCCTCTCCATCCCCACTGGCCTAACACTGAGCCATCATCTAACATCAGAGCTTCTAGAAACCTCACTGAGCTCCAGCCTCTGGTCCCTACCCCGTGCTTCTCATGACCACACCAGACTTCTCTCTCTAGGACACCCGTCTAATCATTTCCCTGTCCTGTGAGAGATGAAGTCCCCACTTCTTGGAGTGGTAGAAAAAGTCTTCATAACCTGACTCTGTTCTCTTCCCATTGCCCAGCCCACCTGTATTAGTTCCCTAGTGTCGCTGGAATGAATTGCCATAAACTCAGTGGATTAAAATGGCACAGATGTGTTACCTTATAGTTCTGGAGGTCAGAAGTCCACAGTGAGTCTCAATTCAAGGTGTCGGCCTGGCTGGTTGCTTCCTTCTGAAAGCTCTAGGGGAGAATCTCTTCTTTGCCTTTCTTCTTCTGCACACAGTTCACATTCCTCAGCTTGTGGCCCCACATCACAGCACCCTTTCTCCTTCTGCTTCTATTTTCAAGTCACCTTTACTGACTCTGCTCTCCTGACTCTTGTGATTGCATTTAGAGCCCATCTGGATAACCCAGGAAAACCTCCTCATCTCATGAACATTAACTTAGTTACTTCTGCAGAGTTCCTTCTGCCATATAAGGTAATATACACAGGTTTTGGAATTCAGATGCAAACATCTTTGAGGGCCTATCACCCTACCCAAACATGTGACACCCCACATTAGCCAGCTGGAAATCCCGATACTCTCGGGGTACACCAAGCACTTCCTCCCCTCTGTTCCTTTGCTTCTGCTGTTTTCTCTGCTGAAGGACCCTGGTCCAACCCTTTCCACCTGCCAGTCTCCCTACTTTAACTTCAAGGCTTAGTGCAAAAGGCACTTCTATTTTGTGGCTTTCCTTAACTCCCACAGCCAGGCAGAATGAAGTGCACTTTTCCCCATGTTCCCAGCGCACGGCATTTTATGGTATTGAAGCACAGTAGCCAATTTATATACATGATCACTTGTTCAGTCGGGAAATCTTTAGGAATAAGGGACTTTTCCTTGATCATCTTTGTTGTCCCAGCTCCTAATACATAGCTCATGGCACAAAATAGGATGCAAAAGATGTTTACTGAATCCAACAACAGTTGGTGAAATCCATTAAGAGTTTTTAAAGTCCCAGTTGGTATTGGGATAGTTTTTGTTTGTTGGTTTTTGTTAATCCTCACCCAAGGATATTTTTCTATTGATTTTTAGATAGAGTGGAAGGGAGGGAGGGAGAGAGAAAGAAAAAAAATACATCGATTTGAGAGAGACACATCAATTGGTTGTTTCCTGCACGACCCTGACCAGGGCCAGGGATCAAACCTGCAGCGGAGGCTATAATTAATCATGACTCGTCTCTTTGATAGAATGCAGCACAACTGACCAGATATTCACCCTCTTTGAGTTTCTGTTGTGGTGAGGCCCATCTCCAATCTTGGGAGGTGAATCATGGTTGGCCTCATGGAACATGAGGGAGACTCTTGGGAGTGATTCTGGACCAGGTCTTTGGTAAGGTTGCTGAGCCGCTGATTTAACCAATCTAGAGTTTGACCTCCCTCCATTCTTGCTTTATGAGATAATAAATCCCCTCATTGTGGGAGCCATTTTTAGTTGGGATTCTGTTACTTGCAGCTGAAGGCATCTCACAGATCCATTCCTCCAACTTGCACAGAATTTGCTTGAGGCAATACTCTCTAAAATTGCCTTAGCATTCCAGAGACAGAAGCCACAGGGCAGGCCAGTAGCTCAGTCCCTCTAGGTCCCTAAGCCATTCCTGGCATGCTCAGTCATAATCACCTTGCCCTCTTCTGAATCCCTCAGGCATTTTGTGCATTCTTCTCATTGCCCTTTCCAACTCATTTCAAGTGTTTATTACAGCTCTGTACATTCCAGGGGATGTGCTAGGTGCTAGCATTGTTCAGGTGACGATGCCCCTTACCTGCCTTCAGTCATGCAAAGTCTGCTTGGTTTTACTCTGCTTGGCCGGTGTTCATTCCTTCATCCCTTCCAACAGTTCTGTGTTGAGGGGCTTCTCTGGGCCATGCCTTGTGCAGATGAAGGAAAATGGTCCCCACTTTCAAAATGCATGTCATCTAGCTGGGGGAAAGTGACAGAGATAAATACTGGGGCCACCACAGAGCAGGCCAGGAACCATTAACACAACAGTCTTATGAGGGGCAGATATTACTATCATCCCCATTTTGCAAAAGAAGAAATCTCTTTTCTGTTCAGAGATGTCAAGTACCTTTCCGCAGATCACTCAGCCAGGCAGTAGCAGAGCTGGGATCTGAACCCAGGCAGACTAACTCTGGGCCCAGGCACAAACCTCTGCCCCACACAGCCTATCCAAGCTCACTGGCACACTCACCAGATCTCTGCTTGCCAGGAGAGGCCTGGAGAAGAGCCTTCCCTCACAGACCTCAGGAGGAACCAACCCTATAGTCACCTAGATCTCAGACTTCTGGCTTCCAGACTGTGAGACAGTAATTTTCTGTTGTTTACATCCTTCAGTGCATGGCACTTTGTTACGGTGGCCCTAGCAAAGCAGTACACATGTAAGTCTCAAGGTAGCTGGGAAGAAATAAAGGACAGTGGTATAAGACGAGATTAGAAAGGTAGGTCAGGGCCAGAGCACACGAGACCTTGTAGGCTTAGGTAGACTTTAGATTTTATTCTAAGATCCAGGAAAAACATTGATAGGTTTCATAACCGTCTTAAGTACAGTTTAAAGTCAGGTTGATGGCACGAATAGGAGTTCGCTAAGGGAAAAGAGTAGCTGTCAGAGGGAACAGAAGCAAAGACCAGTGTGTTAATTTCCTAGGAAAACAAAGTACCACAGGCTGGAGGGCTTAGAACAACAGAAGTTGATTCTCTCATAGTTCTGGAGGCCAGAAGTTCAACTGAAACTTTTTTGCATGTAATCAACCATGGTGGCATTACCTAAATAGCCCTCCTAAACCCTTACACCATGTCATTTTTCTTCCTAGCACTTATTATCTGAAATTTGTTTGTTTTTAGGGTGACAATGACTGAGAATGTTATATTTGCTGCTACATCCCAAGAATCTACACAGTATCTGGCACTTAGTAGGCCTTTAAGTAATTACTGAAAGGACAAATAAACCACTTAAAAATAATATGCATAGAAAATGCTGGAAGAAATACATTAAAGCACTGATTTCCTCTGTTGAGATAAGGGTGCTTTTATTTTCTTTATTTTTTAAAAATGTTTTTATTGATTTTAGAGAGAGAGGAAGGGGGAGAGAGAGAGAAACATTGATGAAGGAGAATCCTCAAGATCCTCCTGCATGCCCCCTACTGGGGATCAAGCCCGAAACCTGGGCATGTGCCCCGACCGGAAGTCAAACCAGTGACCTCTGGTGCCTCGGTGGATGCTCAGTCACAGAGCCATGCTGGCTGGGCAAGACAAGGCTGCTTTTAATTCTCCCTATTTTTCTGCTTATAAAGAAAATAAATAAAACATCCTACCTTTGGAGGAAAATGGAAGTGTTCTACATCATGATTTGGGTGATCACTTAGCTGTACACAATTGTCCAAAGTCATCCAACTGAATGCTTAAGAGCTGCATTCTATTATAATGTAAATTATACCTCAAAAATAAAAAGATACAAATGATATACTTGTGTATTTTTAAAGATAACGCCATTGCTATTGTTTTATACCATTTAGTATATATGATTGTAAAAAGGATAAATGGAAATAAGTGAAAATAAAAGTTACATAACGCAAAATAGGTATTGGGTCTATATTATAAATTAAACTTGTTATAATATTTTAGAAAAAGAAAAAAAAAGCTCTTGGGGAGACATTTGCACACCAGTTTATACCTGCCAAATTAACACTGCTTTATAATATCCCTCAGTAGTTTATAAAAATTTTGTTCTAGGCTTTCTCTCTCTTATTTTTCTATATTAAATTGAGGCCACAAGTTAAGCTGATTGTGCCAGAATCTAAAGTTTCCAGTTAGCCTGTTCATGCCTGTTTGACTGTGCCTCTGGGGGCAGTAACGGAGTCTACACTCTCAAAGAAAGGACTTCTTGGAGTCTAGATAGTTTTGTTCCAGAAGCAACTTTTCCAGCTAGGGAAGCACCTCAGTTTCCATGAAGCTCTGTATAAAATAACTGAGGTGTCAGCTTAAATAGCTGGTGTGGACTGGGCCCCAAGCCTCCCAGGGTAAAGGGGCCATGACAGGCATTGCAATGATTTCCCAAAGCCAGCCCTTGGGTACATGGGGAAAGTCACTGGCATTGTTTACTACCTCCTTTATCAGCTCTGGCTCAGGTCCCAGTGAAGTGGGAGAGAGGACAATGAGAAGTTAGAAAGTTCCATGAAGAGGGTGGTTATACAGGACTGGTTTACTTACTCACACAGAAGTGATTTTAACTCAGTACTTTGCTAAGTTAACAGAGTACTGAGTTGAAGCAACCACAGAACAGAAACTGGGAACTGTATCCTTTCAGCTCCCAAGATCCAGAGTTAGGGGAGTAGAGTGGTGAGGAACCAAGAGCTGGGGGTCAGACAATGCTGCGATTGCACGCTACCCTCTTTGTGTGTGTGTGTGTGTGTGTGTGTTATGTGCCCCTAGCGGGAACCGAACCCGGGACTCTCTGGTCCACAGGCCGACGCTCAGCCGCTGAGCCAAACTGGCCAGGGCTGCACATTACCCTCTTATACATTAGCTTGTGACCTCAAGTCAATGCTGGCCGAGTCCTGAACTGTCTTCCACTGAGCCCTGGCTTCCTGATTTGTAAAATGGAGTGCCTCTTTCTACCTCACAGGCTGGCGCTGAGGATTGAATGAAAGAGTACATGGCAAGTACTTAGGCACAGTAACTGTAGTTTGGTAAGTGGTTCAAAAATTCAAGAAGTGGAACTAGCTTTGGAGTCAAACATGTCAAGACAGGACAGGTCTTGCTTCCACCTCTGATTCTCAGCAAGTGCAGGTGCCTCTATTAGCTTTGGGTCCTACCAAATAAAACAGAATTTTGGTTTGCTCCTCTGGATTGCCTACCTGGAGTAACCAGCACTGGAAAAGAGGTCTCTCATAGGAATGCTCTTCTAGGTTTTTCCTAGCCCCTTTGGGTTCTAGGAAAGCGAATGGTAATCCAATCAGGGTTCTTTGGCATCAGTTACCTCCCTTCACAGGAGAATGTTATCTCAGAAGGTGAAAAGAACACTGGTTTTAAGAGTTCACAAAAAGGCAGCTCTCTCCTGAGAGCTAACCAAGAAGATGGGGGTGGGAGGGTGGGCTTGGTGTGGGTTTTTTTTTTTTTTTAGATTATTCTGTTTCTGAGAAGCAGGAACGTTTACAACATGAGGGGCAAAGGGGCTGCAGGGAGAGAAGAACCCAGCATATAGGAAGGAAGAAAGGAACAGGGAAGAGCTTTAGAGTTACTCTGGCTCGAGAGAGCCAGGAATCTCGCCAAAGAGAAAGTGCAATATTGGCAGCAACTGAGATTCTGTGTGGACTTTTAGGAAAGATTTTGGGCTATAGCACAAGGCCTCCTCCAGTGGGGCCAGGAGAGTTCTGGCAGCAGCCCCCAGCCCAGGCATGTTCCCACATAATTGAAGTCGAATGTGCTGGGGGGAGGGTGGCCGGAGAAGGCCTCCAGGTTCTTTCTTCCTGGCTGCAGAATCTCATTCTGCAGTTGGCCCTGGTTGGGATCAAAGCCAGTTAGTGTTGCTTTTCCACAGCACGGAAACAAATGCAACGGAGCTGTTTTCCTGAGGCGTGCATTTTGAAAAGAGGATTTTAATCCTCCCACCCCCATCCCAGGACAGGTGGAGTGGGAGAGTGGGGGAGCTGTGACGTGGCTCTTCCGTTGCTGTCCCTTTTGCAAACCAGTTCTGCTTGTAATTTCTGCGTAAGCATAAACTAATCAGTTAGAATGTGTGAGAGGGCACAGCTATGATGAAGGCTAAGTCTTTCACAAAAGCCAATTCCTGGAAAATGTTGCTGGAGGACCCTCTGGCTATGTGTGATAAATCACAATGTGCTTGCGGTCTGCTGGAATGTTTCCAGGAAAGCAACTCTCCTCATTCCTCCTAAAAATTTCCGCTTACTCTTGTTCACCTCCAGGTCTTTCTCTGTGATCTGTTCTTTCTGCCCAGAAATTAGTTTGTGTGTCTTCTTTTCAGTTAGTACCCAGAGTCTTTTGGTGCTAAGCATTATGTTAATGATGTAAAGTGATACAGGCAAGTCTCTCAAGTGGCGGAAACACCTCGTTCTTTTAATGGCACTCGACTTCTCCCGGTCCTCTAGGGAAGGCCTGAACTTTTGGCCCATTGGGCCACAACCAAGGGATTGAGAATTTATAATCAGGAATTGATACAGCTGGAGAGGGTGGTTCTCTGGCTCTTTCTTTTTAAGAAAGGAAAAAAAGTACAAGATTTGCTCTGGGATCTGCTGCTTCTTGTGGCCAAAGGTGGCAAAAGACAGGAAGTCAAGTCAGAACAGTTTTTCCTATTCAACATTTATGCTCAGTGCTATAGGTTTATCTTTTGGAAAGAACTGCACCATCAGTCATGTAGATTTATCCAGGGTATCGTAAACCTTCAGGTTCGAAGACCTTGCAGGTGATTTGATTGACTGCACCCTCTGGACAAACCTCTCTGCATTTATTTTGAGAGGCTGAATCTGAAAGAAGTCTCAGGTCAGGGGATTTAGAACACGATCTGAAAAGGAGCAAAGAGGCTTTAGTTCACTTAGTGTGCTTGGTAATTAGCCTTGGAGTAACCAATGTTATCTGCCCAGCACAGCCCCGTGCCAAGTACCAAACCACATTTTCCAGATGATTCCGGTGAGAGGCTTCTGACCCGAAGCGATTCTACATTAGACCCCAAAGATCACAATCATCTTGTATAAAACAGCTTGTTCATCTCTCCCTGGCCTTCTTGAACACAGCAAGAATGCAAAATCCAGATTAAGAACCAACTGCAGCGCCCTTTCATGCTCTCCTGAGCTTCCAGAATTACAGTGAGAAACTGCTCCAAACGTGTACTAACTAAAATGATTCTGAAATAATTTAGGCTTCTGGAACTACAGCTTTCAAAATTAACACTTAATAGAACCCATTACTGAAAAAAGCATCTGAGCACTCTGGGGCTGGCATGTGAGTTTCAGAGATGCAAGGTAAGAAGGGTTAGCATTAAGTGGTAAAGGGTTACCATGAACTTAAAAACAAACAAAAATAAATAAATAAAGAGCATGTAAAGGAACAGATTGAGATTAATCAGGACAAACAGGCCACAACCCCTTCCAACACCCCCATCCCCATAAAGAGTAAAAAAATAAAAGAAGCCTTATAAAACTTCCCCGAAGTCCCCTAACACACAAATGCAAAGAATGTCTTTTCATTTGCTCCAAGCTGACCGCAGTATAGCATTCGGGGGGGGAAAATCAACTTCAGAGGACACACGTGGCTTTGGCTCCGGGCTAAAACTCGGGGTTCCTGACTCCCTATCGCCACTTCGCTCTTCCCTGTCATTTAAACATTTAACTTTAAAAGCTCCATCTGTTGGTGAGGCCACTAGGTAGATATTCTAGGACTCCCATTTCAGAAAATTTTGCAGGTGAATATGAAGTCTGGCCAGTAGCGGAGGCCCGCCAGGGAACACTTACTTGGTGGCTTCCTGAACTCGCCGAAGGTGATGTCTTTGAGTGGTTTAGTTGTCCCTCGGTGCCATTAAAGAGTAGGAGTCAGGGCTTGAGACTCCTGAAAAATTTCCCTTCTGCTGCCAAGAAAGAAGTATCACAGCAGAATCACCATGACAGCTAATTCAGTTTTATCCTGGAGAAAAACGAAATAGCTTTTCTCAAATATTATGACTGACTTTCCTTTTTTAGATAAGCCCATGGACTTCATCACATGAGCCAGAATTTGCCACCAGACCAAGCAATGTGGCATTGGGCATAGCAGCCAAATCTTAAGGGTAGTATTTGTAGCTTGTGGATCCCGACTGCACTAGAAGAGGGGTTTCCAAGTGATGACAGAAGGTTGTTCATTCTTGATCTGCCAAGTTCTCCACACTCGGCTGGCTATTTAAGTTTCTCAGCCTTTTTGATGAGGACACTTTCACTGTGCAAGCAAGGAGAGGGTGGTGCTTCACTGCTTTATCTTACCCAATATTTCCTACCCTAAGCCTCCAAATTAAAATAATTTTTCCTATTCTGTATCTGTTCAGGTATGTTAGTTACGGATGTTGGAGCAAAGGGCCTTAAAAATGAATATAATCTAGCTGCTCACGACATTGTTGCAAGGCTGAAATCCAGGTCACTGACACTTTCTAAGATTATTTAGATACAAACTCCCAAGCAAATGTCAATCAGGAAGACACAAATTTCACATGAAACAGAATCATTTCAAAGTTTAGTTACTTTAATGCAATTTCATTGTTCAAGGTAGTGTGGGTATGTTAAGTGGTTCATTTCCACCCTGAAGAAAACACTAACAGCTTCTATCTTATGTAATTTTGTGAAATTCAAACATAACTCTTTAACCACTTAAAAAAAAAACACTTTCTTTACATATTTTAAGATTTTTATTTTTTCCAACATTTTTTAGACACCTTCAAGTAGTTTGGAAACATTTGCCTATTTACTCATTCCTCTGGGCACTGCCTTTCAGAACATTTATCCCACCTGCACAGAAAATCTGCATTCTCCCAGCTGGTGGTAGAGCTGCTTGATGGAGAAATGAGGAGGGAGCAAGCTTTGTAAACTACTTGTAATTCTCTTCATTAGTATGCTACGATCCACCCCAGCTTCTGCAAGGTCAGACATGCAAGACAAGCACTTGGCCAAAAAAGCAGGATTCTAACTAGTGTAAAAATAGATTTTAAATAAAATAGAATCTCTATAGGAAAGAGAATTAGGTTATGCTTTACATTCCCACTCTTGCTCTAAGATATCCATGATATCTGGTAAGTCCAAGGGGGACTTACAGTCAGTCTGCCCTAAGTAAAAATTGAGAATGTCTAAGTACATTCATTTAGCAAAGTTACATGTAAGGTTCTTTGGGAAATGCTGCAGCACATCCCACAACAATGGATGGTGAGTAGGAGTACAGTTGGTGTGCTAACAAGTAACTTGTAAGACTAATAGGTCAAAGGGGATGAGGCCTAACCATAGGCTAAAAAATTCTGAAATGTGACAATTTAAACTTTGGCTAATTATAAAGCAGAAAACAAACCCATCATTTAACAGTATGTCTTATTAACCTATCCAGCTTACCTCTTTTGGAAGCTAAAGTCCAACAGCTCTTATTTTAATTTTGCTCATTACTGCATATTACAAATTATTTGACGTTTATGTTTCTAGAGAAAGTACACAGCCCCTCTGTTGGCCCACAACAAGTATTACATGACTGTTTTAAAGGGGGCTCTGTTAAAATTCTAATTTTCAGATTTAGAAACAGCCTTGGTTAAAGCTTGGAAGCATAATTGAAAATCTGCCCAAGCTCCCTCTAGCCGCAACCTGAACATGCAGCCCAATCTTTTGTAAACATTCAAAAAATACTGATCCCAGCAAAATACACAATCAGCTAGTCAGAGGCCTCATTCTACATTTTCACATGGATGATAAGTCTGCCTGCTCATTCTTGCTAGATGCAAGGAAATTCACTCTGAGATTTCAGTCTTGGAGTCACCATTAAGTCTCCTCCTTATTTGAGGTTCATAGGGAGGTGTAGAGTCATCAAAAATAAACAAAGTGGAAACACCACCATTTTTCCTACACTGGGTCTACTCAGTCTGCCCCGGGTTGTTTGTTTTTCCTGGCTAGCCCTAGAGCAAGAAGATATGGCTGCTGGAGACAAGCCAGTGCCAGGTTTTCAGGCCCAGCCTTTTTCATATAACATCCAACCAGTCCTTCAATTCCCCAGAGGCAGGGAGGGATGACAATGATAGGAGACTAATACTCCGGATTTTAATAAATCCTCAGTAGCCAATGCAAGTCTCTCTCTAAGGCAGTTGCTATGACCTCAGGGAGGTTTGGTGCTTTAGTACTGGGAACATTACCCACCGACCCCACAAATGAATGTCAAAAACAACTCAATAAATACAATGGAAAAATGCACAGCAGATTCGGGGCATCGATCAAGTAGGAAGGCAAAATGGTCATTAGAATGTCTGAGGTTAGTGAACTATTAGGTTGAAAAAAGGAGCCACCTTTTAAAACTCTGCCCCTTTCCATCAGTTCTCCTAGTCGTCAACACCCTCTACATTCATTACACCAAACACTAGCAAATGAAAGATCCAAACAACTGCAGCTTGATCCTCACTTGTACTTATTTAGGGCCCACCCTTACATTTAGGCCCCAGCACACCCTCACTGTGCCAGGGAAAAGTCTCAGGGACACCTGTTTCTGTGAAGGTCACTTGCCCCTCTTGCTGCGGCCCTTCCTAGAGGGCAGCTTTCCACTGCCCCCGGAAGAGGGGGGGCTTGAGGCCGAGGCCATGGCAATGTTGATTTGTCCCTCTTGGATTTCCTGCCGGGTCTCCGCAGGCAAGTGGTTGATCTTCTGCTGCGCCTCCAGGTAGAACATGACGTCACGCAGCTGCTCCTGGATCTCAGTGATCTGCAGATCCTTCTGATCACAGGTCTCCTTCAAAACCCTCTCCTCCTCCTTCAGCTTGTTCTGCAGGAGGACCTGATTGGCTCGCAAACACTTGTTCATTTCCTGCTCCTCTTTGAGTTCAGTGGTGAGTTTGGCTACTTTTGTGTTTAGCTGAGTGCACCTTTTGCAAAACAAAGGAAGACAAAAGCACATTTTTCATTTGCTGACACAGTTCCCTTTCTGCTCTGGGATTGAACAGAGAAGCCATGATCTCAGAATCCATTTAGAGCTGACTCCTCCCTCCCTGTTCAGGGAGACTGGTTTGCCGCCATTACAACAGCTACACAAAGCAAGAATTTTGCTCTAGTTAACCCAACTATAGCTTCAAGACAATTTTTCTTTTTTAAGAACAGAAATTTTTCCGTAGCAGAAACTATTCTGTGATTCATGGTAAAACTTCTACTGCTTGTTTTGCAGTCAGTGGTTAAATAGGTGATTAAAGAGGACAGTGGTAATAAAGAAGTTATGAGGAAGCCCTGGCCGGTTTGGCTCAACGGTTAGAGCATTGGCCCATGGACCAATGAGTCTCGGGTTCGATTCTGGTCAAGCGCACGTACCTCCGTTGCAGTTCTTCCCCAGCCCTGGCTGGGGTTGTGTGGGAGGCAGCCAGTCTATGTCTCTCACATGTCGATGTTTTTCTCTCTCTCCCTCCCTCCCACTCTATCTGAACAAAAATGGAAAAATATCCTCGGGTGAGGATTAAAAAAAAAAAAGTTATGAGGCAAAGTGACATTTTTGGAGAGTTCAGTATTTTAACCTCACTGCATTTATTGGAGAAGGGTTTTTAAGATTAGGGAGTGCCCTATTTTTGATGCTCAATCTTACTCATAAGTAAAGAATTGCACATTTAAACACCATTTTTATGTATCAAAATGTCAAAGAGCTCACACATGGGAAGACACCCCCACACATAGGGCACTGGAGTGGGAATTGGCACAAACTCTAAGTCAACTTGGAGCTAACTAGAAAGTCAAAATTTCACATACCCTTTGACATAGCTACTCTACTTCTAGGAACTTACCCTAAAAAATAGATATACTCAGGACTGCACTGAAAGACACATGGAGAAAGATGACCATTGCAACGTTGTTTACAGTAGTGTAAGACTTGAGACAACTTAAATGTCCAGGAACCTCCTGAAATTATTATGGGACCTCCACAAATGGAATACTATACAGCCACTACACAAAGATCAAGATAGAACGAAATGTGCCAGCATGAAAAAAATCTCTAAAACAGAGTATTTTGCCAAATAGAATACCTAAATTATTCTAATTTTGTAGAAAAATAAGACTATGTATGTGAGATATTTTTTGTGTTTGTTTTTTTTTTTATCCTCACCTGAGGACATTTTTCCATTTTTTGTTCAGATAGAGTGGGAGGGAGAGAGAAGAAGAGAGAGAGAGAGAAACATCGATGTGAAAGGGACACATAGAGTGGCTGCCACCCGCACAACCCAATCAGGGCCAGGGACAAACTGCAACCGAGGTACATGCCCTTAGCAGGAACCAAACCCGGGTCTCTCTGGACCGCAGGCCAACGCTCTAACCACTGAGCAAAATCAGCCAGGGCTGTGATATGTTTATATAGGTACAACAAAAGAGCTGAGAGTAATTATTCACTGGTATTGTTAAAAATGGTAACCTCTAGCCCTAGCCGGTTTGACTCAGTGGTTAGAGCGTCAGCCCATGGACCAGAAAGACCTGGGTTTGGATCCGCTGAGGGCACGTACCTTGGTTGTAGTTTGTCCCCAGCCCTGGTAGGGGTTGTGTGGGTGGCAGCCAGTCACTGTGTTTCTTTCACATTGATGTTTCTCTCTCTCTCTTCCTCCCCCCCCCCCCCCGCTCTATCTGAAGATAAATGCAAAAATGTCCTTGGGTGAGGATTAAAAAAAAAAAAAGGTAACCTCCAGATATCAGAATCAAGGAAAACTTCCAATTTTAACTCTTTTTTTCCTTTACTGATTTTAGAGAGAGAGAAAGTGAGAGGGAGAGAAACATCGATGAGAGAGAACATCGATTGACCGCCTCCTGCATGCCCCCCCAGCTGCGGATCTGGCCCACAACTCGGGCACATGCCTGACTGGGAATCAAACCTGAGACCTCTTGGTGCATGGGTCTATCATCAACCACTGAGCTACACCGACTGGACCAGTTTTAACTTTTTAATTCTTTAATACAGTTCAATTTGTTAGGGTGGAATTTTTTACTTTTATTTCCACTAGTATTATGCTTTTACAATAGTTATAAAAAAAAATCCTTTGGTGAAGAGTTTCTGTTAGGGGCGATAAAAAATTTTGGAAACAGATGGTGGTAACGGTTGTAAAACATTGTAAATGTACTTAATGCCACTGAACTGTACACTTAAAAATGGTAAAATGTGAAATTTTATGTTACATAGATTTTTACCACATATGCAAAAAAACTATTTAAAAAAACCCAACTTTTGACAATGGGGGAAATGCATGAACGGCATGCAGGAACTCTTTGTGCTATCCTTAAAACCTCTGTAAATCTATATTGACTCCAAGAAAAAAGGTCTATTAAAAACACTTTTTTTTTCTTTTTTTAAAATAGATTTTAGAGGGAGAGGAAGTGAGAGGGGGACAGAGAGAGAAACATCGATGAGAGAAAACATCGATTGGCACCCTCCTGCATGCCCCCCACTAAGGATCGGGCCCACGACCCCGGCATGTGTCCTGACCAGGAATTGAACTGGCGATCTCTTAGTGCATGGGTCGATGCTTAACCACTTAGCCACATCGGCCGGACTAAAAAAACTTTTTAAGGAACAACTATCCCCCTTAAATTTATTTTTATCCATTTGTCTAGGGGTAAAAATCCAGTTATTTTTATAAGTATAACTTAAACCAGAAAAGCAATTTCAATCAGTACTATCTTCTCACATAACAGTAGCAGAGTTATGGTTTTGCTATGCTATTCATGTTTTTTTTTCTCTCCATATTCAACATCTTTGGCTTTGAATTCCTGTGCGAGATCAGAACACATGCCATCTCTGGCTTAGACAGTCTCTTTCCTAACTGCCATTTCTCAGCCACCATAGCTCAGAGAAGCTAAAGGCTCTGGGCACACAGAAATTGCTTTCTATAGGCAAATGTGGAAGATACTCACTTACACACACATATCAGGAGAGAAAACTGCACTCCACACCGCATCCATCTGGCATGAAACACCATGACTTTTAATAAATAGGAAGTCACGGTAAGTTTACTCCATATATAGGTAGACTCCTAAAACCCTGGTGATACACTTGAAAACGAGCATTTCCCTAACAATGAAGGAAATTATCTGTTTATGTTGCCTGTTATAATAAAATACCTACTTTATTTTAATTTTCATTGATATTTTAGAGCGAGAGGAAGGGAGAGAGAAATAGCAACATTGATTGGCTGCCTCCTGCATGCCCCCTACTGGGGACTAAGCCCACAACCTGGGCATGTGCCCTGACAGGAAATAGAACCAGCAACCTCTTGGTGTATAAATCAACGCTCATCCACTGAGCCACACCAGCTGGGCTAAAATACCTACTTTATTTTATTTTTTTATCCTCACCTGAGAACATTTTTCCTTTTTTTTTTTTTTTTTTTGGTTCAGATAGAGTGGGAGGGAGAGAGAGGAAGAGACAGAGAGAGAGAGAGAAACATCAATGTGAAAGGGACACATTGAGTGGCTGCCTCCTGCATGACCCTAACCAGGGCCGGGGAAGATTGCAACCGAAGTACGTGCCCTTGACCAGAATCGAACCCGCAACTCATTGGTCCACGGGCCAACACTCTAACCGCTGAGCCAAACCAGCCAGGGCTAAAATACCTACTTTAAAGATCCCGGTTGGTCAGTGTGGCTCGGTGGTTGAGCGTCGATCCATGCACCGGTTTGATTCCTGGTCAGGGCGCATGCCTGGGTTGTAGGCCTGATCCCCGGTAGGGGACATGCAGGAGGTGGCCAATCGATGTTCTTTCTCATCGAGGTTTCTATCTCTCCCTCTACCTTCCCTCTCTCAAAAATTCAATAAAGAAAAAAAAAAAAGTATAGACCACTTATACCTACTTTCTTTCCACAGACTGCTTTTCTTTTAGAAGATCATTTAGTCTGTGTTCCAGATTGTCACATTTCTCAATTGTTTCTTTAAATTTGGTCTTCATATTGTTAATCTGAAAAAGCAAACAGAGATCAGTTTCATTTCACAAAGACAAAGTTGTGGCCTTTGGGACAAACTTCTCAAAACAAATTCTTGTTCCAATTACCTGCATATAACTTTAACAACCCAAAGTTAGAAAAGGTGAGACTATCATTTTAAAGAATTTCTGTAATAGGAATAAAATATTTGAGAAATCCTTTTTTCCTTATTATTTCCATATACCAGGATGAACAAAAGATCAGGAGCTGCTAAATGTCAAGTGAAACTGCTTGGAAATAAAGAAAGAGTTCCAAGCAGCAGGGCAGGAGATATATACACTGGAACAGGGCGACCCAGCCCATCCTTAACTCACCATTGTTTTTTTTCGTGAGATTACATTCGAAAACCTATTATCCAAATAATTCAAGAAACGCATCTAATCTAAGAAATGTGTGATAACTGATTCTGTTCCCCACCCACAACTCACTATTAAATTTCTCATATACCATGAAGCCATATGGAACATAATCGGTTCTTGTTTTATTGAGTTCATTTATAAAGGCAATATAAATGGAACTAATTCATATTATATTGTCTTAAAAACTTAAGAGAGTCAGAAAATTCTGCCATATTATGTGTCAGATGGCAGCAATCCTAGCCAACAGTCTGTTGAAGTCTAGCTAGGCAGACATCAGATTCACTCAGGGGTGAAGATTTAGAGATTTGGAAAATGCCTCAACCCTACCATGTCTTAAGGACATGGCAAGACTAGGTAGGAAGAGGAAAACAGTGAGGCTGGGAAAATCATGAGGCAATAGTAATAGGAACTGAAAATAACTGAGATTTTAAATCGTATGGCTCAGGCACCTGCTAGGTGTTTTATAAGCAGTATTTCCTTATAACATGCCTATGATTTAGGGTATGTCAACTTTTTACAGAAACTGAGGCTTACAGAAAGGTGAGGCAATACACCCAAGGTTACCCAGCTAGAGTGTGGTGGGTCCAAAGCCAAGTTCTAAACCTCTCTCTGTACTAGATGGCAGGCCAAAGCTGTATAGCAAAGGAAAAGTGACCTCTGGGCAAGATCTAAACAGGATACATACACTGTCCCAGAGAAAGCACCATTGCTTTTAACACTTTGTTTTTAAACACTTGCATATTTCCCTGGCCAGTCTGGCTCAGCGGTTACAGCGTCGACCCGCAGACCAAAGAGTCACGAGTTCGATTCCAGTCAAGGGCACATACCTGGATTGTGGTTTGGTCCCCAGCCCTGGTCAGTGTTGTGCGGGAGGCAACCCGTTGCTGTCTCTCTCTCTCACATCGATGTTTCTCTCTTTCTCTCTCTCACACCCACACACACACTCTGAAGATAAATGGAAAAAGTATCCTCGGGTAAGGATTTAAAAAAATAAATAAATAAACAAACAGTTGCCATATGGCCTGCCTAACAGGTCTCTAAACGTACTGCCCCCACACTTTTTTTTAATAATAAGAAAATAAATGCTTTGGAAAAATAAACTTTATAGCCAACTACCATTAAGTTGTAAAAACATGTAATTAAAGGGAGATTTATAAAAGTTTTTTTTATGTCATAAAAATAAAAATAGCTTTAAACTTGCTTTAACTCTAGTTTGGTATTCATTTTCTACTCAATATTGCTTTAACATAAAAAACTACTAGATCCTTTTGACATTTCTTCTCAACTGGCTTCTGTTCCTTTAGGGAAATTGGAAAGGGCAAAAGAGGAATCAAATTGTAATGTTTGGGTCACTAAAGATACTTAAGCCAAACACATTTAAATCAAAATGAAAAATACTAAGTATTATCAAGAAGCTTTTTAATATTGCTATGGATGAATGTTACAATGGTTTGAATTAGTGCTTTTTAAAACATTTCTGACCATTAATTAGTGCAAAGTAAGAAAGACAGTACACAAACACACAAACACAACTGAAACAGGAGTTTCAGAAAACAGTATTAAATGTGATCACTCCAATATTTCATACCTATTCTATTCTGTTTGTTTAATAAAAATGTCAACTGTGGTCCACCAAATTCATTTCCCAGTCTACAGCCTGAGAAAAACTGATTGATAACATGGATCTAGAGGTCCAAAGAGAAAAGCCGTATCTTGAGGGGAATTCACCTGTCCTGATAGCCAATTCTGTTCTTCATATAAGGCCCTGTTACAACTAAGAACCTTCATTTCAGGTGGGTATGAGCTTCATTTTGTAGAACAGACTCTGCTCAAATGCTGTAATAATTGTACTACCTAAGGCATTGGGGGACAGGAATAGTATTGTAATCGAAGTTCACAATGAATTTCAGCCTTCACTTTCTCCCCTCCCCACATTCTTTTATTGAAGCCCATAAACAAGAATCTGTCAGTGAAACCCACGGTCCGTTACTGTTAATCTTTGCACATGCTCTACTGCTGGAGGTGCCAATGGACAGAAGACTGGTCAAAAGGAAGACGACAGTGGGTCCGGCTGGTGTGGCTCAGTGGATTGAGCATCATCTCATAGTCAGAGGTCCCAGTTCGATTCCTGGTCAGGGCACATGCCCAGTTGTGGGCTTGATACCCAGAAGGAAGCCTGTATCTCTCTCACATAGATGTTTCCATCTCTCTCTCCTTCCCCCTCTCTCTAAAAATTCAATAAAAACATATTTTTTTAAAAAAGGACAGTGGCAGGAACAAAAGGCCTACATCATCCATAAACTTATGGATAAGCAACATTTGTTATTAGAAAACAAAACATCCTTTTTAAGCCCTTCAAGCTTTTTAGTTAGAGCTGCCCTTGCCTCCATCTTACACCTACCTAAAGGTAGATACAAGTTTCAGTTTTTAGCTTCCCTGCCCCTTGGCTTTTCGTGGGAATGTGTTAGAGAATGTAGTTAATCCTAAAAACTCTTAAAAGGCAGAGAATCCTGTGCTTAGCTCTCAAGGGTCTGCATGAAGCACTTTCATGGTCACGCTGGTATAGCCCGTGGAAAAACCCATTAGAGAGGCTGCTCGGGTTGCCAGTGCTCCTCCTCCCTGGGACTCCATAACTTGACACCAAGTGGCAGTGACTGTTCTCTCTCCCAAGTGCTGTCAGAGGCATGTCCTTCTCCCATGTACTCCAATCAAGCCCTATTCAGAACTTGAGCGCCTCTGGAAAGGCATTTCCATTGCTTGGAAGGTTTTTTTAAGGATTTCATCAAGAACTACACACTAAACATCATTTTAAAGCTGGTATTAGGCCTTATTTTTTAAAATCTGGTTTCTCCTCATTTGTAGGCATACCCAGAAGCTAGGGCTCCTGGGCCTGGCATAAAGTGAGAGCTTGGTCCTGCCTGCTAAGTTCCAGGATAATGGTACTCAGAGGTGAGCCCCAAGCCCAGCTCTGCAGTCTCCATCTGGAGGCCCAGTTACTAGTAAGGATTCACAAAGTTATTAAACTATTAACATAAAAAACCTCAAAGCCTTTAATACTAAGGGAATCAATGAATTATGAACACTGTCCATAGGTCCAGAAAATGGTTCCTAGAATCCTAATTATAAATGAACGCTGCAGTGATCACTGGTTCCCTCTTTGGAACCCTCTCTGGGTTCCTTGTATATGCTGGAGACAAACAGAAAACCAATCAGGTAAAGCTCTGGGCTCTCCATCCAAGTTTCCACCAAAATTGCACCACTCTTCTCTTTTAAATGTTGTTGTGAATGCCATCTTTGTTAAAATCTAAAACTCATTGCCTGGGACCAGCAATTTTCAACCTTTTTCATCTCACAGCACACATAAACTAGTTACTAAAATTCGAAGGCATACCTGACCAGTGTGGCTCAAAAGCTGAGTTTTGACCCTGCACCAAGAGGCTGCCAGTTCAATTCCAGGTCAGGGCACATGCCTAGGTTGTAGGCCTGATCCCCAGTGGGGGGCATGCAGGAAGCGGCCAATTGATGTTCTCATGATGTTCTCTCTCATCGATGCTTCTCTCTCTCTCACCTCCCTTCCTCTCTCTCTCAAATCAATAAAAAAAGAAAAATTTTTTTTTTAATTTTAAGGCATACCAAAAAATATTTTTTGCTGTCCTGACCAAAAAAAAAGGGTATAATTTTGATTCATTCACACTGTACGGCTATTGTATGAGCTGTCATTTTTTTAAATCTGCATCCGAGGACATTTTTCCATTTTTTGTTCCGATAAAGTGGGAGGGAGAGAGAGACAGAGAAACGTCAATGTGAAAGGGACACATCGAGTGGTTGCCACCCGCACGACCCAACCAGGGCCGGGGACAAACTGCAACTGAGGTACGTGCCCTTAGCGGGAACCGAACCCGGGTATTTCCGGACCGCAGGCCGATGCTCTAACCACTGAGCAAAACCGGCCAGGGCTGGGCTGTCATTTTTTTTTTTTTAATTATGATACTTTTGTAGATCTTTTATTTTATTTTTTTGTGGTACACGCCCCTAGCGGGAACCGAACCCGGGACTCTCTGGTCCGCAGGCTGACGCTCAACGGCTGAGCCAAACTGGCCAGGGCTGGGCTATCATTTTTTTATTTGACAATCTAAGGAAAAAGAGGTCAATGCCCTGACTAAATAAATAGTCAGGTACTGCATGTTTTAAAAATTCACACTGGTGTGCCATGGCACACTGGTTGAAAATCGCTATCCTAGACCAATAAGGAACTATGGTGACCATTGAAATTCCAGAATTTCTGTCCATTTTTGTTCCCATCAACTTCGAAGTAACATCTTGTTGCCTCAGAGGACCATGTTCAGCTCCCCAAAGCAGCTGTTCCCAAAATGACAAACCAACTGGCTGACTCAAATTACAAACCCTCATGTACATACATCTTTTTTTTTTTTATCCTCACCCAAGGACATTTTTGCATTTATCTTCAGATAGAGCAGGAGGGAGAGAGGGAGGAAGAGAGAGAGAGAAACATCGATGTGAGAGAAAGACATCGACTGGTCGCCACCCATACAACTCCAACCGGGCCAGAGTCAAACTGCAACCGAGGTCCGTGCCCTTAGCAGGAACCAAACCCGGGTCTCTCTGGACCGAGGGCCAACGCTCTAACCGCTGAGCCAAACTGGCCAGGGCCATTCTTCTATTTTTTAAATAGAATTACACAAGGAACTAGAAAACCTTATTGAAGTTAACAAACAACACCCAAAACCCCAAAATACCGAAGCGTTTAAATCCAACGTTTCTTTTTTAGGGTACATGCCAGGTATTTCATTTCTTCCTTAACTTAGGATAGAGTTCAGCATACAATAAGATTTTAATATATTCTTCTTGATTTAGTAAACCTAGGTGAGAATACATGTCTGCTTCTCTCCCATTCTTAAATAATACTTAGTTGATTGCATTTGCAATAAAGTATTCTTATCTCTTGCTTTTCCTCTTTTTGACGAATTTCTTTCTCATTATGGTCTAGAAGTGCTTGTCCCACAATAGTGCCTTCATCAGCTGTCTCTAATATAATAAGAATTCAGGTGTTTACCACTTCTCTCTGGAATCCTTATCTAGAGTTAGATTATTGGAGCAAGCCAGATGATTCTAAATTCTTGTTTTCTTTCCCCTAACTTTTTATTGAGATATAACTGACATACATAGAACAAAGATTTCTTTTTAGAGGCAAAACAGTTCTTTACCTGTCTACCAGACTAAGAAGGAAGATTCAAAGATTCCTTTGTCCCTGTACTCTACCCTTTCCCAAATCAACATCAGACTGCCCTGCCACATGGCACTGCAGCAGTCACTAAACCAGAAACTTACTTCTTCTGCTGTGTCCTTCTCTATCCGAACTATCTTGTTTTCCCAGTAGATTCGCTGAGATTCCAGCTGGCTTGTTAGTAAATATGAATACTGGAAAAATAGAGAATAAACAAAAAATAAATAAAAATCACTGTTGTTGGCTTCTGAAATCCAATTAAAATCTGACTTTTAATGACCTACAGAAGATTAAGAGTAACCATCAAATATATATTACACTTTGGTTCCATTCTACTCACTAAACCATAATTATACTTATGGCCTCCTGGGGTTTACAGTCGAGTCAGGGACAAACAGAGAAATGTACAGTAAAAAAAACTTATGTTCCTGTTCAAGCTGATTTTAAGAACCACATTGTTTTAAAATCAAAGTGCAACTCAAATCAGCTCATCCATCTACCTCCACTGAAGGAAGCTGTCCCCGTCCCTCCCAGCCTTGGCTTAAGTGCTCTCTTTCTCCGCTCCTGCAGTACTGTGTCTACCATTAACAGCACTTACTAACATTTGTACTTAATCACAGGTTTATCTGCTTGTCTTCCTCTACTAGACTGTGAACTCTGTGAAAACAAGGGCTCTATCTTTATTTCTGCACTCTCAGTGCCTGGCACATGCTGGATGTCAAGAAACTTGTGCCCTGGCCGGTTTGGCTCAGCAGTTAGAGCGTCGGCCTGCAGACCAATGAGTCATGGGTTCGATTCCAGTCAAGGGCACATACATCATTTGCAGTTCATCCCCAGCCCTGGTCAGGGTTGTGTGGGAGGCAACCAGTTGGTGTGTCTCTCTCACATTGATGTTTCTCTCTCCCTTCCTCCCACTCTATCTAGAAAAAAAAAGAAACACTTGCTGCCTGACTACATGGATGAATGAACAGTGTTGTGTAACTGCAGGGAAAGGACAGATGGCTTCTGACAGTAGGATATGGTAGGACTTCTGAAAGAAACTGAGATTTGAGAGGGCTCTTAACAGACAGGAGACAGATAAAGAGAGAGGTCTGATTCTGGAGAATTACTGGAACTACATGTGAGCTGTGGGTGATTAGGTCTCTTCAGAGATGAAGAAGCAACACCAATGAGGCTGGGGTATAAAGGTATGGAGAGATGGGGTCTATGGAAGGCTATGGGGTAACACATTGAGAATGTGGGCCAAGAAATGGCCAGATCACATCTGCATTTTGGAAAGACTATTCTAGGAGAGTAGAAGAATTCTAAACATGTTTGTAGGCTAGAGAAGAGACTAAAAGTGCAACAAAGAGAAAGGACAATTGGGAAAATGTGTGTGTGTCACCAGAATATACGCTCCATGAGGGCAAGGAGTTTGTTTAACGCTGCATTCCCACCACCAGGTGGAGTGTCTGACAGACAGCCGCTCTCAATAAACATTCAGTGAATGGACACAGTTAGTATGGAAGGGCTACTTAGTCTAAAATTTTATGTAAAAGATTTGAACTTTTGTCACAGCAATATAATTTATTAATGGTAACAACATCAGCCTTATTTTAGGCCACTCTACTGATCTATCAAAACTTAAAAATCTGGAGATGAACACGTTTTCAAATGTCCATTTCCTCCCAAGGTTAAGGTATTTATTTTTAAATGTATATAAAATGGGCTAGTGTTAAACTTCTCCTTCATTAACATAAAATTTATGATACATCAATTTTATAGTAGATGGGATTTACTGCTATGAAAAAAAATCAGATTGTGCTAATTTTGTTGTTTCTTCAAATATATGAATATCAAAAATGGCTTTATATATATGTGTCAAATTCAGAAAATACATACTTTCAGTATACATTTGTGTATATAAGCCTCTAATTCATAAAATGCCAGCTCAATATATAGGAAAAAGCTCCTCAGGCATGGAAAGATACTATTGGGGTTTTCTCATTCTGACCAAATCTGCTCAGTTTCCAACTGCTGCTATAATGCCAAAAGGAAGATTCTTTAACATTTTCGTTTTTAATCCTCACCCAAGGACATTTTTCCTTTTTTTTGTTCAGATAGAGTGGGAGGGAGGTAGAGAGTGGGGGGGGGGAGAGAGAGAGAGAGAGAGAGAGAGAGAGAGAAACATCTACATGAAAGGGACACATCGAGTGGCTGCCTCCTGCACAAACCCAACCAGGGCTGGGGACAAACTGCAACCGAGGTTATGTGCCTTTAGCGCGAACTGAACCAGGGTCTCTCTGGACCGTGGGCTGATGCTCTAACTGCTGAGCCAAACGGCCAGGGAGCCAACAGGAAGCCTCTTAACTTCCAGTTCTATAGCAGCTACAGAGAACTACCTTAATACTGAACCTGAGACAACTAGGAAGATCACACTGAAAATAAGGCAGAGTGAAACTTAGACTTTCAAAGAAGAAAATCAGAATAAAAATATTTTAATAATCCTTCATAGCAGTAATAGAACTTTTAAAAAAGTTGACATGGCCCTGGCCGGTTTGGCTCAGCGGTTAGAGCGTCGGCCTGCGGTCCGGAGAGACCCGGGTTCAGTTCCCGCTAAGGGCACGTACTTCGGTTGCGGTTTGTCCCCGGCCTTGGTTGGTCGTGTGGGTGGCAGCCACTCAATGTGTCCCTTCACGTCAATGTTTCTCTCACTCTCTCTCTCTTCCTCTCTCTCCCTCCCACTCTATCTGTACAAAAATATGGAAAAATATCCTCGGGTGAGGATAAAAAAAAAACAAAAATAAAAAAGTTGACATGCAGAGTAAATGGCTAAACTAAAGGCCCAAAACACCTTCAAGTTAGAATAATAAAAGCGGTAGAAATAATTATTTAGTAATTACAATTAACTTATCTTACCTCTAACTGTAAGGCATCTATTTTCTCTTCCTGGCAAGTATCACCCTCACATTCATACTGTACTATTTTTCCATCTGTTTTACTTGCAACCAGTCGATGGACATAATTATCTAAAGAAAAGAATGAGTCAACCGAGGCATGTTACTCTCAGAATGAAAAGGGTCTCCACACTATTTTAACTGACAACATTTGTTTTCACAGATCTAATTTGCAATATTTCTTTAAAAGTGGACTAAATCATGTGACTTTAAAGAAGAGTAAGAACAAGAGTAGACGTATTAACTTCCTTTATAACATGCAATTCAGACCATTCCTAGAAAATAGTGCCCTATAGGGCTGAAATTTGCCACTGCTGTCAGGAAGATTTCCACCTGTGCGAGAAAGTGGAGAGATCCTAAAGGAGAAGTTTTCATACAAAATGAACGCAAATTAGAAAATGAGAGTGGTGTTCACCTCCAGCATAGTCCCAGACTCGATGGTTGGTAAGCTGCATGGCATACGTGTGCTGGGTTTCCTCAAAGTGCTTATAAGCATGTCGACTTACATATCGTCCACATCCTATGTGGCCACATATTAAACAAATCCAAAGGTTCTGCCAAGAAGAAGGTGTGATCTTAATTATATAAAATTACATGACCTGGCCCGCTCATGGTAGGAAAGGGGCTGACACAATAAGATTTAGAGTTGTTTCTACAGGAGTTTTGAATAAATATATTTTTAAAACCCAACAAGCAAGGATGCTTTTATTGAGCAATCATTTTCTCATTCTGATTTTAATGGAACTCTATGCAAATAGCAAGAAAAAATTCATAATTTATCAATAAAAGTGTAGGCTTTTTTCAAAGAATGAAGAATAAAAACAAAGTATTCTGCTTAGGAGTCAAATTTTTGTAGTTATATTTCTTGCCTGATACTAGACAAAAAGAAAAAAATTTCCATCTCAAAAAAGAATTTATAAAAATTTAAGCCACGTAGGGTAGAAGAAAACCCCAGACAATTAAAGCTGTGTTCATTATTCTTTCCCACCACCCATTACTTACTTCCTGAACACCACACTCAAAACACTTATTTTCTTCTACTGGCTCTGGAGTTTGACAATACCGGCAAACAGGGCACCTATCCAGAACAGCAAAAGATAATGATACACATAAAATATGAAACATCTGTTACATAACCCAAAAGTCAAAAACTGAATTTTAAATCCTCCCTTTCTAATATACTTTTTTTTTTTAATCCTCACCTGAGGACATTTTTTTCCATTTTCTGTTCAGATAGAGTGGGAGGGAGGGAGGGAGAGGGAGAGGGAGAGGGAGGGGGAGAGAGAGAGAGAGAGAAAGAGGGAGGGGGGGAGAGAGAGAGAGAGAGACAGACACATCGAGTGGTTGCCACCCGCACGACCCAACCAGGGCCGGGGACAAACTGCAACCGAGGTACGTGCCCTTTGCAGGGACTGAACCCGGGTCTCTGGACCCAGGCCGATGCTCTAACCACTGAGCAAACTGGCCAGGGCTCTAATATACTTTTATCACAACTAAAAATAGCACTCAAAATACATTTCTGAGATATTTGTAAACAAAATAAAAAAAAATCTTGATAAGGCAGAGGAAAAGGGAGACATCTTGATCTGCTTCATACTTTTTCCCACTCTCCTGTCTAAAGCTTATATAATCAAAGAATTAAATAATAGGGTAGAATTAGGGACTTGAGACAAGTTATTAATTTTGTTTCATGTTTGGTTATCCATAAAGTTGTTTTTTTTTATCCTCACCCAAGGACATTTTTTTTTGCATTTATCTTCAGGTAGAGCGGGAGGGAGAGAGGGAGGAAGAGACAGAGAAACATCGATGTGAGAGACACATCAAGTGGCTGCCACCCACACAACCCCAACCAGAGCCAGGGACAAACCGCAACCCAGGTATATGCCCTTAGTGGGAACTGAACCCAGGACTTTCTGGTCTGCGGGCTGATGCTCTAACCGCTGAGCCAAACCGGCCAGGGCTAAAGTATTTTTACTTTAAACAATCTACCTTATTCCCACTTCCCAAAGGTTTAAATCATTTAAAATTTATCTTGTCCTCTCAAGGTTGCTCCCTAAAAGCTAAAACTAAACTGCAGTAAATTTCACCAAACTAAAAAAAAAAAAAAAAAAAAGTTGTTAATATACTTCCTGAAATGCACATAACATTTTTCCATACAATGAACATCATGTGGAAGAAGATACCAGTGCTCTGTGAGTACTCAAGTTTTGATTTACAAAAAGCCAATCAAAATGGCACTGAAACCAAACTCATAGATACACAGGGGGAGGGGGAAAGGGAAAAGAGGAAGATGTTAAGGGGTACAAAGTTTCAGTTATGTAAGATGAAAAAGTTCGCAGAATTGGTGTACATAAGTGTGACTACAGTTGACAGTACTATACTGAGTACTTGAAATTTGCTAAGTAATCTTGGGTGTTCTTACCACCAAAAAAGAAAGAAAAGAAAAAAAGGGAAATGATAAAAGTATGAGTGATGTATGTTTGGTGACTGGCTTGGTTGTGGTGATTATTTCACAATGTATACATATTGGGTCATCAAGTCACACATCATAAATATATAATTTCTGACTATCAATACTGCTATAAAGATGAAAAAAGGGGGCACTGCCCTGGCCGGTTTGGCTCAGCGGTTAGAGCGGTCCAGAGAGACCCGGGTTCGGTTCCCGCTAAGGGCACGTACCTCGGTTGCGATTTATCCCCAGCCCTGGTTGGTTGTGTGGGTGGCAGCCACTCGATGTGTTCCTTTCACATCGATGTTTCGCTCTCCCTCTCCCTCCCACTCTATCTGAACCAAAAAAAAAAAGGAAAAATGTCCTCGAGTGAGGATAAAAAAAAAAGAAAAAGAAAAAGAAAAAAGGGGGCACTGAAAAAAATTCATTATCCCTTTTCTATTATACTCAACACAAAATAACTGAGTTAAATACCAGCCATTAATATTTTTGTCAGTTGGGCAAAGATGATACAAAGTGAATTACAGTTGGGGCTAATGAATTGGCACAAGAAGAAAGAATGCTCAAGATACAACTAGTATCAGGTTGTTACTCAATTGTATAAATAAAACCAAGAAAATGAATTCAGCAGGAAGAACACTAAGTTCTTGTCACAGATAAAGAGTCTATCTGTGTTTCCTAAGAGAAAGCTTAAGGACCTAGCCTGTCTCTTTCTTTAGTTATCAAAAGAGAAGACATGCCCTGGCCAGTTTGGCTCAGCGGTTAGAGCGTCGGCCTGCGGTCCGGAGAGACCCGGGTTCGGTTCCCGCTAAGGGCATGTACTTCGGTTGCAGTTTGTCCCCGGCCCTGGTTGGTCGTGCGGGTGGCAGCCACTCGATGTGTCCCTTCACGTCGATGTTTCTCACTCTCTCTCCCTTCCTCTCTCTCCCTCCCACTCTATCTGTACAAAAAAAAATGGAAAAATATCCTCGGGTGAGGATAAAAAAAAAAAAAAAAAAAAAGAGAAGACAGAAGACAACTTGAAAAAATAACAAAATGGCAGCTGGTAAGCAGCAGGTGTCTTGTCAAAGGTAGAAACTAGCTCGCTGCTATCCCTTTGTCTGTGTGGCAGCTGCAGTAGTGGTTGGATATGAAAACAAACTAATTCTGAAATCTAATTTTCTCCATTGTGCCAGAATGGTCTTTCTGAAATGTAAGTATGACCATGAGAATAAAAAGGAAAAAAGGGCCCTGGCCGGTTTGGCTCAGCGGTTAGAGCGTCGGCCTGCAGTCCGGAGAGACCCGGGTTTGGTTCCCGCTAGGGGCATGTGCCTCGGTTGCAGTTTGTCCCCGGCCCTGGTTGGTCGTGCGGGTGGCAGCCACTCGATGTGTCCCTTTCACATCGATGTTTCTATCTCTCTCTCTCTCTCTCTTCCTCTCTCTCCCTCCCACTCTATCTGTACAAAGAATGGAAAAATGTCCTCAGGTGAGGATGGAAAAAAAAAGGAAAAAAGGGGGGAAAAATAAACTTGTTTGAACTATACCACTAGCACTCTATGATATACCACCTCATCTGTCTATTAAAAAATAAAGCTGGCCAGTGTGGCTCAGTGGATTGAGCATCATCCCATGGACTGAGAGGTCTCATTTCAATTCCTGGTCAGGGTAAATGCCTGGGTTGTGGGCTTGATCCCTTGTGGGGGACATGCATCGATGTTCCTCTCTCTCTCTTTCTAAAAAAAATCAATAAAAACATATTTTAAAAACAATAATCATTAACAGCCCTGGCCAGTTTGGCTCAGCAGATAGAGCGTCAGCCCATGGACCAAAGAGTCACAGGTTCGATTCCAGTCAAGGGCTTCTACCTCGGTTGCGATTAGATCCCTGGTCCTAGTTGGAGTTGTGTGGGAGGCAACCAATCAATGTGTCTCTCTCACATCAATGTTTCTCTCTCGTTTTCCCTCCCACTCTATCTGAAAATCAATGGAAAAATATTCTCAGGTGAGGATTAAAAAAATAATAATAGTAAAATAAAAATAATTAACAGATTATTAAATTCTTCCTGCTTTACCCTTCAAAAATAATTTTGAGTAGTCACCTTATTTTCTTGAGAAGATTTTGGGGAAATCCTCCCAGAATGCCCTTCCATGGTATCTCCATGTGTCAAAAAACAAACAAAGAAAAAAAACCCACCCTTCAAAACTTGGTACCAATGCTACCTCCTCCACACAGCCCTGTCTTGGTGAGGGAGCAATCTCTATCTCCTCCAGTCTCTACCTGGAATCATATGCAGCTATGTACATGTGTAAAGTCCCTTGGCTGACTGAACTCGCCTGAGGAAGATCTGTGTCTGATTCTCTCCCAGCTGTGCTATGTGTACACTGAGACTCTTGCTGAAAGAACTGCCTCATGCCCCATTCAGAAGTTTGAATTCTAGTCCCAGTTCTGGCGTTCTCTGGCCATGACACTTTCTGTATGTTAATTTTCACTCTGGGCCTCAGTATCCTCCTCTGTAAAATAGGGAGGTTGGGCAAGGTGGTTCTTGAGGAAATGTTCCACTTCAAAATGCTATGCTTCTATGACAATTAACCTGTCCTGAAAGTAAATTGGAGTGGCAGGGAACAAAGAAGTGTCCAGAACCTACATGGTATAGCAGATGGACACAAGATACATATAAACACTTTACGAAATGCACATATCTCAACCCCGGGTTTATTTATTTACTCAAGAATGTTTTCTGAACTCCTATTATGTACTAGGCCCCCTGTTAGGGGTGAGGGGCACAGCAGTGAACAAGTCAGACAAGGTCCCTGCTCTGTGAAGGCTGGCATTCTTCTGCTGGTCACTTGAGGGTGGAGAAGAAAGATTCCTGTGGACTTTCACTCCTCCCAACTTCCAGGCCTTGGAAGGTGATCCTCACCTTTCCGTATACCCCTCCCCTGCACTGTCTTTTCTCAGGTCCTCCTCTTCACCTGGATAACTCCTACTCATCCGCCCTGAAATGTCACTTCTCAGACAGCCCTGGCTGTGTTAGGGCCCTAGTTCTCCAGCCACAATGCTGCATCCTGCGCCTCTGTAACACCTGTTATGGCTGTGACTTCACATTTATTTGTATGATTATTTGATTCTCCGTCTTCCTTTCTGTACTGAGAAACCCACAGGGCCAAGGTCTGAACACCTTTCTAGCTAAGTCCCACAGTGCAATTTGCAAAGGGAGCTGTAACAACACTTGATTTAAAAAAAAAAAAAAAGGTACAGGTTACACCTCAGTTCTTCACCTGCACAATGCCACCCTACAAATAAGACCTCTATTGCACTGGGAAACAGGATACTGTAGGTGTAGGTGTGTGCACATCTCCTACTTAGTGACTATTACTACTGGCCACTGAGCCATCAACATTTATCATATTCATCAACAATGTGATCATCTAAGATATGAGATTACTATACCCCAGTGGATAAGAAAGCCAAAGTAACTGGGAGGTATCAAGTGCAGGAAATAAATAAGATTTTAGAGCTAGATTTCACTTTGGTATAAGAGCCTCAAAGCTAAGCTTCAACCCCCCACCCCCCTGTTCTCAGGCTCTTAGAAGGAAACAATTCATACTGCCTTAAGAAATTCCACAAGGATTCAGAATCAGCATACTAAAAAGGAATTGGTCAAAGCATGCTGATTCCCATGTGAACTTGAAAAAGCAAAAAAGAAAAATGGAAGGTCTTTCCATGGGGCCTCTTTACTATCACAGTATCCAGATTTATTTTTAATCCTCACCTGAGGACATTTTTTTTTGCATTTATCTTCAGAGAGAGCAGGAGAGAGAGAGGGAGGGAGAGAGAGAGAGAAACATCAATGTGAGAGAGACACATGGAGTGGTTGCCACCCACACGACCCCAATTGGGTCAGGGACAAACTGCAACCGAGGTACATGCCCTTAGCGAGAACCGAACCTGGGACTCTCCAGTCCGCAGGCCGACGCTCTAACCGCTGAGCCAAACTGGCCAGAGCTATTTATTTATTTTTAATTATTTTTTTCTTTATTGATTTTAGAGAGAGAGGAAAGGAGAGGGAGAGAGAAATGGAAACATCGATGAGAGAAAACATCAATTGGCCGCCTCCTGCATGCCCCCTACTGGGGATTTGGCCCACAACCTGGGCATGTGTCCCGACCAGGAATCGAACCGGAGACCTCTTGGTGCATGGGTCGACGCTCCACCACTGAGCCACACCGACTGGGCCACAGTATCCAGATTTAAAAAGTCAAATACTTAGAATGATTAATTTTTGGTGGTGGCTCTTTTTAATTTGAGAAAGGGTAACAGTGGGCTGTGATGGGGGGATGAGCTCCTGTACTCACGTTGTGTCGTCCCAGCGCTGCAGACACTGGCTGTGGAAGCTGTGGTTACATAACGTGGTGAGGATGCCATTCACGGACTCATCCATGCGCTCCAGACACACCGTGCACTTGGGGAGCTCAGTCAGGTCCATCACAGGGAGGCTGGCACCCTACAGTGAAACATCTCACATAAGCCTCACTCTTCACCAGCCAGTTCTAATCTTTTAAAAATAGTTTCCGTCACTTTTTTTTTATCCTCAACCGAGGACATTTTTCCATTTTTTGTTCAGATAGAGTGGGAGGGAGAGAGAAACAGTGATGTGAAAGGGACACATCGAGTGGCTGCCACCTGCACAACCCAAACAGGGCCGGGGACAAACTGCAACTGAGGCACACGCCCTTAGCGGGAACCGAACCCGGGTCTCTCTGGATCGCAGGCCAACGCTCTAACCGCTGAGCCAAACCGGCCAGGGCTCCCTGTTACTTTTTGACTGTCCTCAATATTACTGCTCTGTGCAAATAATTTAAATTGGTAAGATTTTCATTCAACCAACAAACTGATTAAGCACCTATTTTCCCAGCACTGTGCTAGACACAGATGATATGGAGGGAAATAAAGCAGACAATGATCCCTGCCCTCATGGAGCTGACATTCTAAGAAGGGAGACTTTTGCCAAAACCTTAACAGAGAACTGAAAATGTTACCAGACTCACAAACTATAGTGTGGGGAAGGTAGAAGGAGGGATCAGAGTGGGGAGGAGGAGGTCAATGCGGGGAAGAAAGGGGGTCATCTATAATATATTCAACAATAAAGATAAGTTTAAAGAAAAAAAAATGTTACCAGACTCCTTACTCTAACTGTAAAGGTCTATGACTATAATAGAACACAAATGAAGAAAAGCAGCAGAATAAAAATGGATCTGAATGATTTTTTCAGAGTAAATTAAAACCTAACACTTTCTATTAAGTGATAAAAGTATCAACAACACTTGTTTTGTTTATTTATTTAACACATACTTATTGAATCCCTGCTGTGTGTCAGACACTGTTCCAGGTGTGGAACAATGGTGAGCAAATACAGATTCAGTAAACAAACAAACAAAAAAACCCACCAAAAACAAAGTCAGTCCCTGCTCTCATAGAGCTTAGAATCTAGTAGAGAGACAAAAAACAAGTTAAAAAATAAAGTATAAGCACCAATGGTCTAACTGCTATGAAAGAAAAGTACATGAAGCTATAACAGGGTGTGAAATAGGGGACATAATGGTGTGTGTAGGTGGTCAAGAAAGGCATCCCTAAGGGAGTCACATTTGACCTAAACCCTGCAAGCTATAAGATGACCAGGAATTAAGTACTTGAGAGTAAACATTTTTCAAAGAAGCCAAAGAAACAGAGTCAAAGACTAAACCAAGAAAGCCCTCTGGACATGACATCAGGAGGCAAAGCCCCCATATGTAATCACTCAAGACAGTAATCCCCATTTCTCTATAAAACTTCAAAATGGAGCCTCAGCCAGAGAAATCCCAAGTAGTGGAATCCTCGTTAATATGCAAATTGTGGCTATTTTGATACCCAGCTAGTTAATTAACTATGCTGACTCAATTAAAGGAGACATTTTTAAGGGAAAAAAGAAGAGCAGGAATTATTGAAGCATACACATAAAGACAGGCTGAAAAAAATCACATAAATCTATGGTCCCTTAAGAATAGATATCTATAGGAAATCTCTCAAGAAGCCGTGTTCATCCCTGGCCAGTGTGGCTCAGTTGGTTGGGCATCATCCTCGGCACCGAACAATTGCTGGCTTGATTCCTGGTCAGGGCACAAGCTCAGGTTGCAGGCTCAATCCCTGGTAGGGGGCGTGAAGGAGGCAACCAATTGATGTTCTGCTCTCACATCAATGTTTCGCTCGTTCTCTCTCTCCCTTCGTCTCTCTCTCAAAAATAAAAAACCCTCCTTGGCCAGTTTGGCTCAGTGGTAGAGCGCCGGCCCGCGGACCAGTGAGTCTCGGGTTTGATTCCGGCCAAGGGCACATACCTTGGTTGAGGTTCATCCCCAGCCCTGGTTGGGGTTGTACGGGAGGCAACCAGTCGATATGTCCCTCTCACATCAATGTTTCTCTCTCCCTTTCTCTCCCGCTCCCTCCCACTCTATCTGAAGATAAACAGAAAAATATCCTTGGGTGAGGATTAAAAATAAAAACTCAATAAAAGGATATTTAAAAAATAAAAGAAAGAAGCCATCGGCTCTGGCTGGTTTGGCTCAGCGGTTAGAGTGTTGGACTGCAGACCAGAGTTGAGGGTTCGATTCCAGTCAAGGGCACATACCTCAGTTGCAGTTTGGGCAGTTTGGTGCCCGGCCCTGGTCATGGTTGCAAGGGAGGCAACCACTCAATGTGTCTCTTTCGCATCCATGTTTCTCGCCACCCCCCCATTCTGTCTGAAAATAAATGGAAAAATATCCTCAGGTGAGGATTAAAAAACAAAACAAAAAAAAAGCCATATTCATTTAGAGAAAAAAAAATCTCTAAAACTGAGGCCTTGGGCACCTTGCACCTAGTCTAGTGATAAAACAATGTAATCAGAACTTACATCCATCAAGTTGATTTCAAGTTATATAGACCTTTAGGTCTACTTTAAACAAAAGAAAATCTTAAAAATATAACAGAGCTGAATCTACTACTTTATAGAATGATTCAAGTGAGCACATATTGTACGAAAGGTTCCCATGGAGAGTGGTAGATCAGGACAATTACAAACCGATATCAAAACAGAATCAAGAGCCCTGGCCAATTTGGCTCAGCGGCTGGAGTATTGGCCCACGGACCAGAGAGTCCCAGGTTCAGTTCCCACTAAGGGCACGTACCATGGTTGCAGTTTGTCCCTGGCCCTGGTTGGGGTCGTGTGGGTGGCAACCAGTCAATGTGTCTCTCTCCTGACGATGTTTCGCTCTTTTCTCTCTTCCTCCTGCTCTATCTGAAGATAAATGCAAAAATGTCCTCAGGTAAGGATTTAAAAAAAAAAAAGAAACAGAATCAAGAATTAGGATGGGGATTAGGGTTGATATTTTAAACAAAAACAGTTCTGCAAGCAAGGTTTCATTGATCTGGAACAGATGAACATTCAATTTCAATAATACAAATACCCTTTTATTTATTGTTTTACATTTTTTGGACAAGTTTTAAAATATGAGATAAAATTCACCAAAGTGTACAATTCAGTGTTTTTTTTATTTTTAGTATATTCACAAGTTTGAGCAACCATCACCAATACCTGATTCTAGAACATTTCTATCACCCTGAAAAGAGACTTTGTACTCATCAGCAGTTACTCTCTCTTCCTACCCCAAGCCCCACCCGGCCTCTGGCAACCATTAATCTACTCTCTGACTCTATGGATTGGCCTATTCCTGACATTTCCATAGATATCTTTTTGTGTGTGTGTGGTACGTGCCCCTAGCAGGAACCGAACTCGAGACTCTCTGCTCCGCAGGCCGATGCTCAACCGCAGAGCCAAACTGACCAGGGCTCCATAGATATCTTAACGTTCAACTTTATACCATTCTGATATGTATATAAAATAAATCTAAGGATTACTCATACTTACATCCTCAGATTTCAGTACTTCAGCCCTTTCCACATAGACCAGCTGACAAACATCATCTTCTATTGAGTTGAACTGGCGGCCATTGCATGCCATATAAAAACTATCTGCATCAGCCTAGGAACACCAATGGGGAAAAGGAAAAAATTAAGAGCCTGAAAACATGCTTTATATTCAAGAGGCATAGCTTCAATTATTCTCTTCATCAGCTTTTAAAACTTGTACTTAGGAGAGAGAGAGCAACAGCCAAAAGGAACATCTAGGGAAGCAGAAAGCAGGTTCATAGGCTAATCGAACTCTGCAGTTCAATATCCTACATCTCTACAATGTTTCCTGATACATGACAGTTTTACTGGAACAAGAAGTAGCTACTGAAGTATAATAAGCTGACAGCTAGCATAATTTTAATATTCGACCAGCAACGGTCAACATTTCCCTTGATAGCAGTATTTTTTCCTTCTAAGTCAGCACTTTCAGAGTAGCCGAAAGTAAAACACTTATTTTTGCAAAGCTTAGAACCAAATCATAACCGACGATTATCAGGGAATAGTAATTTTTAAAAAATGCCCATTGACCGGCTGGTGTGGCTCAGTTGATTGAGCGTCGTCCCATGGACTGAAAGGTCCTGTCTGGGAGCATGTCCAGGTTGCGGGCTCGATCCCCAGGGGGGACATGCAGGGGTAAAGCTGATCGATATTTCTCTCTCAATGTTTCCTTCTCTCCCTTCCTCTCGCTCTAAAAAAATCAATAAAAATACATTTCAGAAAACAAAAAACAGCCCGGGCAGTGTGGCCCAGTGGTTGAGCATCGACCCATGCACCAGGAGGTCGCCGGTTCAATTCCCGGTCAGGGCACATGCCCAGATTGTCAGCCCAACTCCCAGTGGGGGGCATGCAGGAGGTGGTCAATCGATGTTCTCTCTCATTGCTGTTTCTCTCTCTCTCCCTCTTCCTTCCTCTCTAAAAATCAATAAAGAAAAAAAAAAAAAGATCACATCTGCAAAGTCCCTTTAAAAAACAAAACCAAAAAACAACAGGAGTTGGCACAAAGAGCCATCAAGATAAACATTAAAATAAATAAATAAACGTCCACATCTATGTTAAAAAAAATAAAGGACCAATGGAACTGGTATGGAGTGAAAAGCTAACTCTTTCTCTTCAATAAACAAAGTAATAATAAGACATGATAGATAAGGATTCCATTAGATTTTAAACAGCACAGTGTATAATACCAAAATCAAGATGAACGAGCCTTTGAAACACTAATAGTCTCCTTCCCTTGGAGTAAAAGGAAGATAGATGTGGAAGCAGAAGAAAAAGTCCCATGAAAAGGCACATGTACATTTGTGAATATGGACACAAGTCAAACCTTCTAGATTAGCCTTAGTAGAAAGATGTAACAAAAAGATGATTTCAGTTTTTAAATTCAGCAATTTGTAGAGGCAGCTGAAAGGCCAAGGCTTTTCTGGATTTCACTCTCACATGGCCATCAGCCCAAACATAGGAAGTTGTGTGCTTTGACCCTATCAATGTAGACAGGCTGCTTGTGGGGAACAAGGTTTTCTGCAAAAGGAAATGTCAGGTTATTAACATCTAAGAAGAGATTCAAGACTGTACCAGGCAAAAATCGTCCTGCAGGTCTACCCTCATGGGGTTCTGCATCTTAACAGCAAAAGCTTGTAAGTTTTTCGCAGCTTTAAATTTCACTCTGATGATGTAATCAAGTGTGGATTCTTGATTATTTATGCTTTCTTAATATAAGCAAGGGAGCTAGACAGCTGTGGAAAAACGACCAATTCTGAACATAGTTATATTTAGCGGGGGAAAGGAGGGGTTTCCTTTAGGAAACAACCCAGTGTATTGGGTAGAGTGCATTTTAACTTCAAAATGTTAAAAATGTCCTGGCCGGGTAGCTCACCTAGTTAGAGCATTGTCCCAATATGCCAAGGTTGTGGGTTCAATCCCCAGTCAGGGCACATACAAGAAGTATCCAATGAATGCATAAATAAGTGGAACAACACATCAATGTTTCTTTCTCTCTTCCTCTCTCTCTAGAATCAATAAATAAAAAATTTTTAACATTAAAAGCTAGTTCTTGTATAATACATCTCTTTAATACCAAGAAGAGGCAACGTAATGGTTTCTCCCACTCTGTAAGAGCAATGACTTTTTCTTGAAATGCTTATGGATGAGGAAGCAGCAGTGAGCAAATGGATTCATGTACTGAGGGAAGTGGCTGCTGGGAAATGAGGGCTGCTGGTTAGCTCTTTAGGGTCCCAAGCACCACCAGGCTGGCTGCAGCTAGGCCGGCTGAATGAGGAAAGGGAGACTCCTCATCTCTAGTTCTGTAAATGCTCACTAAGCAACTATGCCTCCTCAGAGGAAGGGACAAGGTTTGTGATACCGAGAATGTGATGAAATTATTCCTTTTTTTTAATCCTCACCCAAGGATATTTTTCCATTGATTTCTAGATAGAGTGGATGGGAGAAAGGGAGAAAGAGAGAGAGAAACATCGATGTGAGAGACACCTCAATTGGTTGCCTCCTGCACAACCCCCACTGGGGCTGGGGATCAAACCTGAAACCCAGGTACGTGACCTTGGCCAGGAATCAAACCCGAGACCCTCTGGTCCACGGGCCAATGCTCTAACTACTGAGCCAAACCAGCCAGGGTAAAATTATTCCTTTCTTAAGGCAGTTGTTTATACTGAAGAAAGGTACTTTTTGAACATATTGATCTCTTTTTTAAAATCTTGGTATTACAAATGTGGCTTCACTTTTCAAATATTTCCTAAATACCTAGCATGTCAGGCGCTGTGCTACACACTAGAACAAGGGTAGGGAAAAAATTACACATGGTTCCTACTTCATCCCACCACTCTTTTACTTAAAATGCCTGCACTGTAGAGAGCCCCAAATTTAAAGAAATCCAGCTTTTGTTTTTTACCTAGTTCTTGTTCCTATTGTTTTCTTCTCAGGATATATTCAAGAAAAAGAAAAATCCATTATGATCAAGGTTCCTTTACTGTCATGATGATCACTATAGTAATGAGAACATAGTTTTACTTCTCAAAAGAGGGGTTTTGCCCTGGCCAGTTTGGCTCAGCGGTAAAGCGTTGGCCCACAAACCAATGAGTCGTGGATTTGATTCTAGCCAAGGGCACGTACCTCAGTTGTGGTTTGTCCCCCGACCCTGGTGGGAGGCCACAAGTCGATGTGTCTCTCTCACGTGGATATTTCTCTCTCTCTCCCTTTCTCTTCCTCCCACTCTATCTGAAGATAACTAGAAAAATATCTTCGGGTGAGGATCAAAAATAATATAATAAAAAATAAAAGAGGGGTCTTCAAGGCTATCCTAAGCATGCAAATAAAAATAAGCCAACACACACTATTGAGAGGCTATCCTCAATCATTGTCCAAAATACTACAAAACTGAACCCTCTCCTGCCTTCCTGTACCCTGATGAATTACCAATTCTTTAACTAAAGACAGTTTCCTGAAGGTCATAGTACAACTCTGTAAGCATATCTCTTTATAACACCTCCAGCATAAAGGTGAGACCAAGAGATTATAAAAGATATAGAAAAGGCCCATTAGTTCCTATACAAATTCTCTGGTGAGAAAAAGAAAGGAATAAAAATACAGTTAGCTGTCCAGGCTATGGAGTCAGGCTGCCTAGGTTTGAATTCCTAACTCTGACACTTATTAGCTGTGTAGCTTTGGGCAAATGACTTATCCACTCATTTCCTCAATTACAAAAGTAACATAACATCTACCTCATGGCATTGTTGAGAGGCCTCGAGCTAATGCATGAAAAGCACTTAGCACAAGCCTGGCATCTATCTAGTAAGTGTTCAACATTTGGTAACTATTGAGTCTATTATTCTCATTAGGGCCCAATATTAATTCAACATCAAGTCTTATACCAAGAGGGTGTTTTTAGGCCTTAGAAAGTCCCAGAGAGGATGAACCTCTGACCCTAAAATCCACCATTAGCAATAAATAATACAACTCATGATACCAAGGTCAAGGGTTCTGTCCCCATGGGGAAGAGCATGCAGAAGCTGCTTCAAGTCTCAGAAAACATCCACCAACTTGAGCAATCTGTACTTGGTCAAAAGACAGACAAAGGCGGAAAGACAGTGCATGAGTACAAAGAAAATATATTAAGAGTGATACAAAATTCCCACAACATTATCCGCACACTACAAAGCACCTGTCGCAGAAGTTGTGGGTTTATTAGACTTAAGACTATTTAACAAGTTTAATGTGTTTTTAAACATTTGTCCAATTGTTTCTGTGACTTTTCCTGTGTTACTTGCTGATTGCCCTTAATTGTTAAGTAGAAGCAACAACTAAATTACTGCCGTTACACAATTTCTTGCAGACAGTGACTATCTTCCCTTTCCCACACTTTCATCCCACTCCTACTGGAAAAGAGATACACCCAAGGGATTCAAAGGAGGGCTTAAACCAGCTCAGTCATTTATTTCTAGCTGTGTAACCCTGAACAAATCACCAACCTCTCTTTGCAGTCAGTTTCCACATTTGTGGAAGGATAACAACAGTACTTGTCTACCTCACAGGTTTGTAGTGAGGATTAAATGAGATAAAGCACATTAAGCACTTAGTGGAGTGAATGGTATAGAACAAGTAGTCATTAAAGGTTGTATATTATCACCACTATCTGTATTGTTGTACCTGCTACCAGATTTTAAATGTTCAACATACCACTTGCCCATTGTTTGCAAAGCTCTTCAGTGACCTTGGAAGGTCTCTTGACCATGAAAGCAGTTGTTTAAGTGCTTTTCCATTCTCAACTTGTAAAGTCTAAGCCTCCAGGATAGTTGAAACATTGTTTTAAATGTCTGTTTCAATGGTAGGGTGCTTTGAAAGGTTAAAGATAACAATTATGCACCTTCTTATACACAGAACTCCACACTAAGGGCTCTCCTGTGGACCATGGAACAGGTACACATATAATCCAACTCTCACTTAATTCCCTTCCCATGGCCAATGAATGGCTGCTACTGCTATCAACTCTGGATTTCTATAACAAGGAAGAAGGAAATGACAAGTGAGCCTTGTGTCATGGGCTCCTTTTTACCTATAAATCTCTGTGACCAGTCACAGGCAATGGCAAATGACCCTACAGGCACACCCGTTTTTGTCAACCTGCAAATTGAAACTGTTTATCCGGGCCAAATTCAGGAAGCCTGTTTATCACTGAGGTGAGATAGATGTTGCATTTCAAAACTAATGAATGGACAAGTGTAACAGGCTATTAAAAAAAAAAAACTGAATGAAACTTACAGATAAGGTAGCTCTTTAATAACCTGAACAATACCTAAAGCTTACCTCATTTTTATATTTATATAGAAATATGTATACTCATAAAAATGACATATAAAACCAAGAGAATATCTTTCTAACATCTTTAGAACTGAGATACATAAAAAATGTTGCTTAATGCAACTAGTGAAATGGAGAAGATGGCAAACCTTATTTCAAAAAATGCGTGTTATAATGCACAAATGCTTTTAAAAAACTGAAAATACTGCTCTGGCTGGTTTGGCTCAGCAGTTAGAGCATTGGCCTGTGGACCAAAGAGTTGCAGGTTCAATTCTGGTCATGGTCATGTGGTAGGTACCTTAGTTGCAGTTCGGTCCCTGGCCCTGGTCATGGTCATGTGGTAGGCAACTAGTCCAGGTGTCTCTCTCACATCGATGTCTCTGTCTCTCTGTCTCCCCCCCCACACACACACTCTACCTGAAAATAAATGGAAAAATACCCTCGGGTGAGGATTAAAAAAAAAGAACAAAACGTTAAAACACAGCCCTGGCCGGTTTGGCTCAGCAGTTAGAGCGTTGACCTGCGGTCCAGAGAGACCTGGGTTCGGTTCCCACTAAGGGAATGTACCTCAGTTGCAGTTTGTCCCCGGCCCTGGTTGGGTCGTGCGGGTGGCAGCCACTCGACGTGTCCCTTTCACGTCGATGTTTCTTTCTCTTTCTTTCTCTCTCTCTCTCTCTCTCCACCCTCCCCCTTCCTCCCTTCCACTCTATCTGAACAAAAAATAGAAAAATGTCCTCAGGTAAGGATAAAAAAACAAACGGAAAATATCACCATTCTTTCAGTGTTTCTGTTTCTCTATTGCAGTGATTTCCAGTCAGAATTCTGAAGCATCTTTAATACTTCAAGGAATGTCACAAAAATCCCTTGTCACAAAACTAAAAAAATAAAATAAAATGAATCTTATTTTTTGAAATGTACCAAGACTCATCTTTTAAAAAGAGAATGAAAGAAGCAGGAGCAGAGTGCTATAATGGCAAATAATAATTGGTGTCAACTTTTAAACGTTTGGAAACTGTTCTTCTACTGAAATAGGTACTATTAGATAAACAAACAAACACAACCCTAGACTTCATACCCAATCTGAATTATTAAAATGTATAGGTATGAATTGGAATTTAGTGTCTGCTAATGAATTTAGAAATATTTCTGGAATTACAATACCCTAGAAGATATGTATGAATCCCAAGTGAAAAATGTAAATCACACACAGCTAATATCATACAGTTTAAAAAAACACAGTTTCTGTGGCAAAGAGATTTTTAATATCTTAACTTTTACCTGTGCACTAAACTTTATCAGCACCATATATTGATTTGGAGTAGAGTCTCTGATGATTTTCATTTGTTCAATTACTTCATTAAATGGGGCGACAAACTTCATAAGGTCATGACTGGTCATTGTAGCAGGGACTGTGAGAATACACAGCATGGCACTGCGCCTCACATCTTCTTTTAAGGAGGTCATCTTACTAATAAGACAATAATTAGACTGTCTTAAATAGATGAGGTATGGTTAGTTCACACAACACTAATTAGACAACTTTTATGTCCAAGAAAATAGGAAAAAAAATAAAACTTGTAATACTTCACATATCAATTTAAACAGCTTATTATTTTACCTGAAAAGCCATACTACATGGGTAAATGCAGAATCCCTTAGACATATCTGCAATGGAGTTTAAGGTAAGCTTTGAAATATCCTTCATTATACCCACCACTGAAATTTTTCATCTTTAGTTAAAGGCTTGTTGTAGTTACAAATCTGCATTAGGCAAATTTGCAGTTTGTGTTTTATTCCCATTAGTTTTTAAAATAATCATCTCTCATTATGTAACTTGGAAGCACAATTCTAACTATGGATTTCTCTAAAGGGTCTAGAAAAGAAAAGAGCTCTAAATATAAGAGAATTCTGAACTATGAGGATGTGACTCCGAAGATTACAGAAAGTGTTGATGGGTTAGAATAGCTGGAATGGGGGAGGGGACCCTCCCTCACTATAATTTGTTTTTGAAATACTGCAAACTCACTTCAACAGCTATGATTCCAAATGGCTATCTAAGTATTCACTGTTTCCCAGTAGGAACTGAGCATACAAGTTAGGACAAGAACACCCTTTGAAGAAATCAGCTACCAATTATCCCAGAAGCCAATGGTCTACATTATAGATTATTTAGCCAAATGCTTCCTTTTTGTTGGCCTCCTGCAAGCTTTCCTTGGACTACAGAAAAGGGTAAAAAGAGGTGATGAAATTGCTATCCATTACCTGGTTCCTTACATAAAGATTTGGTGGGGATATGAGACTACTGCGATGAATCATTATAATTTTTCTTTTCTATATTCTTTCCTTTCAATTTTCCAATCACCTTGCATGCTTACCTTCTCAGGGACTATTTTCCTAGGAAGGCTATTTACACATTTCTTTTATAAGGACAAACTCTGACCCAATCTACAATGAAATGTAAAACATTTAAGAATTCCCTAACACATAATATATGAAAATACTATCATTTTGAAGCTTAAAATATCCACTTCGCTTCAGGGCGAAATATTTTTCTCTTCCCTAAAGCAAAAAATATACCAACTCAAAGGAAAAAGGTTTTTCTTACTTTGTCTTATATAGATGCATAATACCATGAACTATTTCAACTGATGGATTTCCACTGAAGAATGAAATCTGGTCTGGAAGCTGTTTGGATGGAGAATCGGGAGCAGTGTTTATGCTTTCTTTACTTTGATCTTTACTTCTTGGTGCAGCGGGGGATGCTTCCGAAGACTTTCTTTCTTCCATTGTAGCTCTCAGCTCATCTTTCACAAATAAAAAATTAGTAGGTTATAAACTGACGGGAAATATGCTGAAGGATTCTAATTAGAGTAACATTTTGAGCCAGAAAAATAAACTTTAACAGAGAAATTGTCCTGTGTTTCATTAGGAACTATAGTCACAGAACAGCCCTGTTTTAGGGGCATCTCAACTTGAAAGTGCTCTTTGCTACATAAAAATCTCATTAGCATCCTCAAGGTGGCTCTTACATTTGGCAGTACCATAATAAAAGCAGGTGCCTTACATCATGCACTTTTAAGTGGGACAAACATTCAGAGCTATTAAATTTAAAAACCAAACCTACCAGTTCTGAACACCTCCATGCTGGAGATGTAGTATACATCCACTCCCCTGGTTGGAGTGAGCTGGCAGAGCAGGGGGAGGCAACATGCTCATCTGGATTCATTCATGATGTGCCACTGACCTGGGTGGTAGGTAGCTCTCCTCACTGAATAGTTATCAACTCAACTTGTTAGGACTAATTCAGGAGAAATAGTTAGGGAAGTTAAAATGTGACTTGACAATTTCATGCAAGGCACACAGTCAGTGAAAGACAAAAGTATGCTAGAGGTCATAATCATGGGCTCCCTGACCAACATGTGTAAAACAGGCAACCAGGGGTTTATGTTATAAAAGAGAGTCTAGGATTTTAGAAAGCATACCTGGGTTGGACTTCATAGTCTCTATGATGACATCTGTCATTTCTCGACGACCAAGATGCTGATGTATGATTGCTGCTTTCTCCCCTGGTGACTTCCCTTCTAAACAGGCCACAGCTGAAGCTAGTGTCTTCTCTTTGATCTCCTCATCGGACATTTCCCCAGCTAAAGAACACATGAATGATTAATACCTGATAATAAAACAGGCTCCTCTCCACTCTTAATGTATCCACTGATACATTTTCTCTCTGCTGCTTTCCTCCCGGACATTAAGGTGCCTTTGCAGTGTCCATCTCACTCACTCCTGGGGCTCCTGCAGTGCCCAGCAGAAGTCAATAAACACCCAGTGTAATAAGTTCAGAAATGCAGCCTTGACTGGAATGGCTCAAGGGTTAGAGAGTCAGCCTGTGGACTGAAGTGTCGAAGGTTCAATTTCCGGTCAAGAGTGAATACCTGGGTTGCAGGTTCCATCCCTGGCCCTGATCGGCCCTGATTAGGGTCGGGCAGGAGGCAACCAATCAATGTGTCTCTCTCACACTGATGTTTCTCTCTCTATCCCTCCCCCCCTTCCACTCTTATCTAAAAAAATCAATGGTGAGGATATTTTTATTTAAAAAAATAAAATAAAAATCAATAAATTCAATATGCAGGGCTATTCACTTTAAAGCAATTCAATGAGAGTAATAGTTTAAAGAAGGTTTGACAGTGACTATGCCCAGCTAAACCAAACTCTTTGTAATACCTAGTAAAATGCAACTGTGCATTAAGCCCAAAATGAAGGCATCAAGTCATCACCATTAATAAACAAAACTTCCAAAAACTTTTAGAGGTAGTCTTCTTAAACACCCTGTGTTAGACTCATGCCATGATTCATATCATGCAAATCTGTGATCACTGTCTTAAATCAGTGAAACACACAAAAATAGAAAAGAAATTTGGAGACTCGACTGAAATATCCTTGATATAAGTTCTGTTTTGCCCACCACTTACACCAAAGTGCCTAGCACACATCGGAAGCTCTTTGTTTTTTTGTTGTTGTTTTGTTTTTTTAATCCTCACCAAGGATATTTTTCCTATTTATCTTCAGATAGAGTAGGAGGGAGAAAGAGAGGGAGGGAGGGAGGAAAGGAGAGAGGGAGAGAGAGAGAAACATCGACATGAGAGGGACACAAAGACTGGCTGCCTACCCGCACACCGAGGTCCGTGCTCTTGACCGGCATCAAACCTGAGACTCTTTGGTCCCTCTTTGGTCCCGGGGCCCACGCTCTAACCGCTGGGCCAAACCGGCTAGGGCTGGAAGCTCTTTAAAGATTCAATGAAGACATGACCAAATGCATCCATGACTGACCCAGGTAGAAGGGACAATGTGGTTCGTGTCCATCTGGTTGACTTTCAGAACTCGCAGCTCCTTTTTAGCCTTTGAAAAGGGCTCCTCACCCACGAAATCATATTCCATCTTCAATCTGCAACTCCGAAATCCGCCCGCTCGGGCACGTTTCCCCGCCACACCTCCCCTACCTGCCTCAGTCCAAACCGGGAGGCTCCTCCTGTGCTCATTTCCGGGCCGTTCTCCCGTCCCTTCACAGCACTCACCACGGTTGTGGTTCCACGTGCGGTCTGTAATTAATTCACCTGTGCCCCCTCCCCCGCCAGGGAACTACGAGTTCTACCGGAGCAGGGACCAGGTCTGACTCTGCACACGGACTAGGGCTCCAGCGGACCGGGAGCACGAGGCACTTCCTGGGTGAACGTTATTGTTGGGTAATGATCTGAGGTCCGCGGACCGGTCGCGGCTGCACCGCCGACCTCAGGGGGTCCTGCGGCTGGCGAGGAAGCGCTCGGCCCCTCACGTCCAGCTCTCTGCCTAGACGTCCAGTTTCACGACGTTCAGATCAGCGTGGGCACGGCCTTCAGCCGCCGGGCTTCCGTCTCCCGCTGTGTGCAAAGGGGCCCCCACCGACCTCACCCAAGGGGGCTGTCCAGGTAAAAGACCATGCGTTCAGGACAGGGCTGGGAGCTAGGAAGGGCACGGACGGTCACTGTCATCGTTACCGTGGTCACAAGGCGCCTAAGTGAATTTTTTTCCCCCCCAAAGAGCAACGACTTCATTGCCCCAGGGACCGCCCGCCTCGCTGGGATCCGCTCCCTGCCTTCACAAAGCCTACGGGAAAGCAACCTGCAGGGCTCGCCTCGAACCCAGGGCGGAGACGCCAGGCGCCGCGCCGCGCCAGGTATCAACAGCCCCCGTGGGGGAGTCCCGGGGACGACCCCTCGGAGGCCTCGGAAGGAAGGATGGAAGGACAGGGAGCCAACCCCCTCTCAGCTTCTTGCTGAGGCAACAGTCCTCGCCGCGGCCTTAACCCGGGCCCGTACTTTGGGAGGACGAGGTCCCCCCGGGGCCCAGGCGCGGGCGAAGGGGAAGGCGGCGAGGCCGCGGGACTCACCCGCGGCGCTGAAGCCGAAGCCGGCGGGGACGGGCGAGTGTTCTGCGAGCTCCAGTCGGATGACAACCAGTGACACACTCATAGGGCAGGCGCTGGCCGGCGCGGGCCCCGGCGGGCTCAGGAGAGGCTGGGAGACGAGCCGAGAGGCCCAGCGGCCCGAGGCGGGCAGCGCCGCCACCACCTCAGCGGCGCTGCCGCTGCCGCTGCCGCTGCCTCAGCGCAGCAGCCCCTCTCACTACCCTCAGAGCCACAACAACCTCCACTTCCGCCTCCCGGCCGCCGTCGCTGACGCAGGGTTACGCGTGCGCGGAGCGGCGCGCGCCCCGATTGGCTGGGGTGGCAGCCACGTGACGGGCGTGGAGCCTGAGCCCTCGGGACCTGATCTCGACGAGGTTGGGAAAGAGGAACGTCGTGAGCCTTGCGGGTACCCCCTTACCGCCGCATTAGGCCGATCGGTGGGTTTGCGCTCAGGCCCGAGTTAGCCTTCCCGAGAGGCCTCGCCTTCGGCCCCTCTCAGCTGACGGCGCGAGGTCCCCGAATCGTCCGAGGAGCCCGCGTTAGGCGGAGAGCCTTTGCCTCTTTTTGTAGTGTTTGACCTCTAGCTCTGCCTCTAGGCAGAGTTGCTTTGTGCCAGCCCTGCTTAGCAGAGGGGTACGCTGAGACTCGGGTGAATCCACTTCTCTGAGGGCCCGGGGGAGGAGTAGGGACTCGATCGCAGTGATTCCGCCGGATTAACGTAGGGCGGTGGGCTGGTGAAGTGCCAAGTGCTGGATATAGATCTGGGTCCTGCTTCCCGCCCCCTCACTTCACAAACGTTTACTGAGAGCCTAGGGCACCGTCGGGATGGTGGGGATATATTGGTGGATAAGATAAACACTCAGTTCCTGTTCTTAGGGAGTCGTCCTTGATCACCTGTTGTGTAACCTTGATCTAGGTTTGCGTAAGTTTGGAATAATATCCCCATACAGCTGTGAGGATGAAATGAATAGAGCCCGTGGCTCCAGATACATCAGTTTTTATGAGATTCAGCATTCTTTTTAGTATGCCTCCAGCACACAGATATTGAGAGCCACAATCAATACATGACCAGATGCTATTCTAGGTATGCCATGATGATATCTAGATGTGTCACAACACATCCTGGACATGTGTAGGTATATAGACATATATGCACATGATATATGTGTATATATACCTTGTGACTATACCCTATGAAATGTGTTTCAGTGGCACTTTTTATCAAGGTTTCCAATCTCTGCACTGTTGACATTTTGGGTCCTGATAATTCTTCCAGGTCTGTGTGTTTCCTATGCTTTATAAAATGTTTAGCAGCCTCCCTGGCCTGACCCACTAGATACCAGGGGCACTCCTCTAGAAGTGACAACCATAATGTCTCCAGACATTGCCAAATGTCCCCTTGGGTCCCAAATTGTCCTCTGTTGAGAATCACTGGTTTATGTGGAAGTACATATGCCATATGCACGGAGTATATGCATATAACATGAGACCTCATGTGAACATTTTGTAGACATTACAGTAGTAGATGACATTTCATAGTGTGCCAGGAACTAACTTCAGTGCTTTACATACTTTACCTCATGTAATAATAACAATGACTTTATGAGACAGGTACTATAATTATCCCCATATTACAGAGGAGGAACCTGAAGCTCGGATTGGAGACAGAGAGTAGCTTGCTCAGGATCTCACACTTAGTAAATGGCAGAGCTAGAATTTGAACCGAGGCAATCTGATTCCAGAGCCAATACTCAGTCTCTTTACTAAATCATCTCTTTAATGTATGACAACACACAGTGTGTGCATACTTACGATAGCATAGTTTAGGTAGCCAATCTATATTCTACTAATGTCATTATTCTGAGAGGCAGAGAAGAAGAAAGTTGCCAATTTCAGAGAACTAGAATTATTAGCAAGACGGGCAAGTTGGTTTTGTTACAGTTCTTAGGGCTTGCCCCTCTGTTTTCCTTTATTTTCCTCATTCATCTAGTTTATTTATCCTTTCAACTTATATTTATACTGAGCAACTGCTATGTGTCTAGATACTGTGCTATGCCCTTACAGATGGATGTATACAGAAATAAAATAATGGTTGTCTTAAGGAGTTTACAATTATAGGAGCAGATAGACATGAAAACAATTACTGTGTAATGGGATAACTGTTCTAGTGAAGGTATAAAGAAAAATCAGTGGGAATGAGAAAAAAAAAAAGGTAACATAGTCTGCCTAGAAAAAGAACGAAAAGCCTTTTCAGACAGGGAAGGCTGAGGCTGTCATGTACAAGTGAATGGAAGTTCACCAAACCAACAAAGCAGGTAGGTTCAGTCAGTGGACACGGGAAGTACCACAGCCTGGAGATGAGAAATCACATCATTTTCCTTCCCTGGAGAAAGTATTGGGAAATGGCTAGAGCAGAACCATCATCTCTAAATGGAAATAACAAGCAAGCCAGTCACGGGAGCAATGCCTGCTCGTCCATTAGTGGGAGTATGTAGAGGACACTGTCCTCAATGAGGATGAAAGTCAGTCCTTCAGGCCCCAGAGACACTTTTCATCTCAGTTAAGCCCTCTGTTGATGCTTTTAGGAGCCTATAAATACATTTCTCCTTCCATCCATTACAGACTTTGGCCTTGGCATGGAAACATAAGTAAAACTGAAAATGCAAATCAACTGCTAAATTTTTCCTTTCAAAATTCACTCCCCAATTCAGCAAATTTCCAACTACATGAGAAATACAGTATATCATCTACAATATTTACTGCTTAAGAATCTTTTCTTCAGATTCTTAGTTCATTGAATCCTTATGGCGGCCCTAAAGTGACTCTCATAAACATGTAGGCTGTTTTACCATGTTTAACCTGATTTTCAGTAAGCTTTTTAACTCTAGAAAGCACATACAAAGCTTAAAGATTTTCATGAGGAACTGACTACAAATAGAGTTTGCTTTCATTATTTTGTTTTTTCCCTCCAGCTTTTTATTTTTTTATTTTATTTTTTATTTTTTTTGTCCTCACCCAAGGACATTTTTGATATTTTGTTCAGATAGAGTGGGAGGGAGAGAGAGAGAGAGAGAAACATCGACATGAAAGGGACACATGGAGTGGTTGCCACCCACACGACCCAACCAGGGCCGGAGACAAACTGCAACCGAGGTACATGCCCTTAGCAGGAACTGAACCTGGGTCTCTCCGGACCACAGGCCAACGCTCTAACCGCTGAGCCAAACTGGCCAGGGCCCCTCCAGCTTTTTATATCAGACCTACAGAAAAGTTTAAAGAATAGTACAAGATCTCTCAAAACCCTTCATCAGATACCTTTCACCTAGATTGACATTTATTAACATTTTGCCACATTTGATTTGTCTCCCTATATGTGTCTATAGGTGTATGTGTGTGTGTGTGTGTGTGTGTGTGGTTGTATGTATAAGTTTGGTTCTTTCTGAACCTTTTGAAATAAGTTTAGGAAAGAGGCAATGTTAGGAGGCCATTGCAGTCACCTGAAGGAAGAAGGATGGTGTGATGGTAGTATCATAAATGCTAGGAGGAGGTGAGTACAAGGCATCTTAGGAATATACAGGAGAGACTCCTCATCCCTCTTTTCTGGTAGCCAGAAGAGGATTTGGGAAGGAAGTGACAGGTAAACTATGATCTAAAGGACAGTTTGGGATTAGATAACAGGTAGAAAGGAGCATCGCAGGCCAAGGAAACATCATATGAAAGGCCTGGTAGCAGGAGGAGAACGTTGCTTGAGGAAGATGCATAGATTTGTGTGTCTAGATCATCTAGATTTACATGTAAAAAGGAGGGGAGGCAGATCTTAAAGGGCCTTTTCAGTCAGGTTAAGGAAGTTTCTGTTGAGGCAGTGGGGAGCCATTGAATTTGCTGAGGAGTGAAGAAAGAATGGGAGGGAGATTGGGATAAGGGAAGGGGGCCAGTTAGGAGGCTGTTGCAGTGATCTGTGGACAGGAGAATGGCAGTAGAGCGGAGGGCGTGGAGATTTTCAGGAGGAACAGACAGCACAGGACAGTGGAGGTGAGGTGGCTGGGTGAAGGACTAAGGGAAGTCAGGGCCCAACTCCAGTTTTCTAGCATGGGCAGTGAGGTGAATGGTACAGCCCTTTACTGAGCTAAGGAACCCAGAAAAAGGAGTAGTCAGGGAGGGTGGAGATAAAGTTCAATTTTGGTGGTGGTTTGAAGTGTTTCTTGGCGACCTGCGGAGATGTCCAGTTGGCACCCACCCCCGAGCTCTGGGCTGGAGGTCTGGACTGGAGGCTGTGAAGTCAAACTGTGCCCTGTGCCTTCTCACACAGCTTTGGCCTCAACATGTGGATTAGGCAGCTTTTCCAGTCCTCACATCTCCAGTGGGCTTGGAGGGCAGCCTTCCTGAAACACAAGCAGTGTGGGCACCAGGGAGCCCGGCGATGGACACATTCTGAAGGTGGCCCCTACCGAGCAGTCATTTTCGACATGGGTGGAGTTCTCATTCCTTCTCCAGGGAAAGTGGCTGCCGGTGAGCTCATTGTTCTGTTTCACTTTTGGAGACTGGGATGGAGGTGGGGATGGGGAAATGGAGGGCGGTCAAGGGAGACAGAGAGGAACATTTGGGCAGCAGTGTGTCCCAGTGGGTAATATTCTGCCTCCGAATCAAATTCCAAGCACCACTTAGTGGTTGACTATGTTGGGCAAATTAGTCAACTTCTTTGAGTCGTAGTTTCCTCATCACTAAATTAGGGCTGATATTAGTACCTTCCTCTTTGGGGTTTGAGGAGAGTGAAACGAGATGTTCCATGGAAAGTATTTGCTTAGCCTGGTGAGTATTTGGACCACCTAAACTTCTCAATAAATGGTGAACTGCCATTGTTACTGGTAGGATTTAATGACCTTTCCCTGAAAACTGTGCTACTTCTGAAATCTTGAATGCTGAAATCCCCCACCTTTGATCACAACCTTCCTTTTTCCACCAACCTTGCTCTCAGCCTACAAGAGCAAACCTCTAGGCTCTGATCCTTTCTTTGTCAGCCCCTTCCTGGTCTTACCTTTTTTCCTACTTAGTTCAAATGGCTTAAGCTTGACTAGTTTGGGGTCTGGTTGTTAGAAAACCTAACAAAACAGTAACTGAAACATGATAGAGGTTGATTCCTTTTGCACATGAAAGCCCAGGTATGTGGTCTGGGCCAGTATGTTGCTCTGTGATATCAGGGACTCAGACTCTTTCTATTGTGTTGTTCTGCTGGAGTTTACTTCCAGTTTTACCTCACAGTCTGTCTTGGCTGCTTCACCTCCTGCCATTACATTCTTGTTCCAGCCAGCAGGAAGGAAAAAGGGCCAAACAGCTGTCCCTAACGTTTTGACCTGCTGTGGTGGCTGCTTGGCAGTTCTCCATGCTAAATTGACTCAAGTACAGATTTTCTATGCTCCTGGGTAAAACAATTACCCAGCAATGAAAATTGGCTAAGTGAGTTTTTTTTTGTTTTTTTTTTTAGAGGCAGCTGGGCCCTCGGCCTCTCTATTCCTCCACTCATATTCCTCTCGCTTTTACCACGGGGCTCTTCCAAACACCGCCACGGGTCATCATTCTCTCCACCCCATACCTTCGTACTTGGCAGACAAAGAACATGGAGATCACCGGGCAGGAATCTTCTTGACTTTCTGCAGAATATCTTGAGAACCTATTCGCTCCCCTCCACTCCCACTGCCTCTACCCATTTAGATCCCTGTCTTCTCCCACCTGCATGATCACAGCAGCCTCCCAATTGCTCTCTTTGCCTCTGGCCCTCTGGGTTTTGCACCCAGAATTACCTTTCTAAAACACAGATTGTATCCCTTCACTCCCCTGCTTCAAATCCTTGAGTGCCTGTACTTTGTCCCCTAAGTCAGGCGCAGAAGCTTTCTCCTGGTATTCAGGACACAGTTCGCCTTGTGTCCTCATATCACACCATTTCCCACTGTATGTTCACATTTCAGCTGCCGAAGACTACTTGATGTCCTCTAAACTTGCCAAACGCGTTTACAGTCAGATGCCTTTGCGAGTTCTGTTCCCTCTGCTGGCAGCTACCCTTCCCAGCCTCCTCTTCCTGTTCGAATCCTACTTATACTTTAAATGGCAAGCTACATGGTATATTATTCAGCTCAGAGCCTGTAATATTCTGAGCACTCATTAAATCTTATGGTTGTGGTAAGCAAATACTAGAATTAAGATCACCTCAAATACCATATTAATATTTTTTTTACATTTAAACCTGCTAGTATAGGGTTGTTTTTTGTTGTTAGTTTGTTTTTTAATCCTCACCGAAGGACATGTTCCTTAATTTTAGAGAGAAGGGAAGGAAGGGAGAGAGAGAGAAACATCGATGTGAGAGAGCAACATTGATCAGTTGCTAACCAGGGTTTGAACCTGCAACCTAGATGTGTGCCCTGACTGGGAATTGAATCCATGACCCTTTGGTGCACAGGCCGATGCTCCAATCACTGAGAACACTGGCCAAGGCTAATTTCTTTTTCATACCTTTCTATCTTGTCTTAAATGTTTTCAGTGAATAATCATTACTTAATTACCCTGGCTGATTTGGCTCAGAGGTTAGAGCATTGGCCTGTGGACTAGAGGGTCAAAGGTCAGATTCCTGGCCCTGGTCAGGGTGGTGCAGGAGACAACCAATTGATGTGTCTCTCTCACATAGACGTTTCTCTCTCTCCTTCCCTTCCTCCCTCTCTCCCATTCTACCTACAAATCAATGGAAAAATATCCTCGGGTGAGGATTAAAAATAACAAAAAAGCCCTGGCCAGTTTGGATCAGCAGTTAGAGCGTCAGCCTGCGGTCCAGAGAGACCCGGGTTCGGTTCCTGCTAAGGACATGTACCTCGGTTACAGTTTGTCCCCGGCCCTGGTTGGGTTATGTGGGTGGCAGCCACTTGATGTGTCCCTTTCACATCAATGTTTCTCTCTCCCTCTCTCTCCCTCCCACTCTATCTGAACAAAAAATGGAAAAGTATCCTCAGGTGAGGATAAAAGAAACAAGAAACAAACAAACAAACAAAAATAGTCACTATTCATCAAAACAAAAGATACATGTAAATTATATAATGTCTTAGATATAATTATGAATGCAATATATGTGTGTGTGTGTGTGTGTGTGTGTGTATCCCCATAGCAGCTGCATTATACAAAAGAAAAACTGTACAAGAAAAAGGCCCTGGCCGGTTTGGCTCAGCGGTTAGAGCGTCGGCCTGCGGTCCTGAGAGACCCGGGTTCGGTTCCCGCTAAGGGCATGTACCTCGGTTGCAGTTTGTCCCCGGCCCTGGTCGGTCGTGCGGGTGGCAGCCACTCGATATGTTCCTTTCACATCGATGTTTCTCTCTCTCTCTCTGTTCTCTCTCTCCCTCCCACTCTACCTGAACAAAAAAATGGGAAAATGTCCTCGGGTGATGATAAAAAAAAAAAAAAGAAAAAAAAAGAAAAAGTAAGCCCTGTCTAAATGTTTTCAATATACAAATGCTAATCCATCCATTGCCTTAGGTCTTTGTAGAGAGACATTTTATTCTTTATTCCACAAAAACATCATGCCCCAGTGAATGTTTCAGTGTTACTAGCTGCACTGCTATAAAGGTATACTACAGTTTACAAAATGACGGGTTTGTTTTGGAGTACTCTCAGAATCTGGCTTATTACCACAGGTACTCTTTTACTATGTGGCCAAGACTATGTGAGTGACCTAATATATATGAGCCAGCCAATGAGAAACCAGAGAAGAAAATTTATAATGCAGTGTCCAGTATCATCTCAAGCAGGTGGTAAGGATATGCGACTTAGCAGCAGTGTTCCCTCAGTCACGCAGATTAGTACTGCTGTTCCCGTAGAGATCTAAGGCTGAGATTTGCATTGCCTGAATTTTTCCAAATTCCCACTGGAGCCCACTTGGCACCATAGTGATGCCACAGGAATTGGTATGGTAATTCCCCTGACCTCCGTAAACTCCAGCCATTTGTTAATAGATTTCACTTATTGCATATTTTTTTCCTATAGAATGGGAGGTACAAAATCATATCCCTTCGGGAACTATATTGAAGGCCTTTGTCTCGGGTGGCGAAAATGGACCCTGGATGAAGTTTATGAGAGGAGAAATGACAAAAGAAGATTTCTTACAAGAATTTGGGAGACTCTGTTCTGAAATTGTGAGTGATAAACATACCTGAATTTCCATATTATTTTTGCCTAGAGTAATGGATATAACATAACACTCATCCATATTTATTAAACTGCAAATAAACAAGTGACAATCTAATCTAAGTTTTTAAGCTATTTCTTCCATCCTCGGGTACTCAATTTTAACAACATATATGAATAAGTAAAAATATTCTTTTACTAAGCCCCTCTATCAGCTATTGTTCATCTGAAACAGGAGCTATTTGCATAATGGCTTTGATCAGAAAGCTTATTTAAGGCAATAATAATATTGAGCCTTTTCTTTGAACTGTGCATTTTTCTGAGCTCTTTATATTAACTCATGTAACCTTCACAATAACGCTGCTAAAATATAATTTAAAATATAGTAAATAAAGTTCTGTGCATGGATGGTAGAGATGGTTGCACAACAATGAATGTACTTAATGACATTCAACCATACATGTAAAATGGTTAAAATAGCAAATTTTGTATTATGTATATTTTACCATAAAATTATATATATATTGAAAACATTATGCTAAGTGAAAAATAAAGAAGCCAGTTGAAAAAGACCACAGAGCCCTGGCCAATCTGGCTCAGTGGTTAGTGTTGGCCTACGAACCAAAGGGTCTCGGGCTTGATCAGTCAAGAGCACGTACCTGGGTTGTAGGTTTGATCCCCAGCTCCTGGAGTCGTGCAGGAGGCAACCAATTGATGTGTTTCTCTCACATCGATGTTTCCTCTCTCTCTCTCTCTCTCTCAGTTTCTTCCCCCACCCAACTCTCTCTAAAAATCAATGGAAAAAATATCCTCCAGTGAGGATTAATAAAACAAAACAAAAAAGACCACAGATTGTATGATTCCATTTATATAAAATATCCAGAATAGGTAAATCTATAAGAAACAGAAAGTAGATTGATTTGCTCAGACTGGGAGTATTAGAGGTATGGGGGGTGGGGAGTGACTACTAATGGGGGTGGGGTTTCTTTTTAGGATGATGAAAATGTTTTAAAATTGATTGTGGTGATGGTTGCACAACTTTGTGACTAGAGTAAAAACCACCGAATTGGATGGTTTAAATGGGTAAGTTGTATGGTATGTGAATTGCATTTCATTAAAGCTGTTTTAAAATGTCATTGTGTGTATATAAAATAGCAGGTTTGCCTTTGCAGGTTATAAAATGATAAAATAAGAGTTTTCAAAACTCAGATTGAATTTTTTAAAAATTGATTAGAAACTAACGTTCACAATGGTGAGCTGAGGCAATACAAAATCATTACATGTCCTCTGAATCACTAAAAATTAATTTACACCTATTTAATACACTTTTAGAGTTTAATGTATTCTCTTATGGTATCCTGCTACTTTTTAAAATTGAGAACCCATGAGTGAAATAAAGAACTCCTTTAACCGGAATATTGATATAAATAGCTCCAATCCCTAATCATTGTAACTGTAATTCTAAATTACTTTGTATAATCTTGTATGCAAAGTTCTCCACTATGGCTGAGGGAGAGGATTCCTGTAGCCAGGGCTTTTGCAGCCAGGTAGCAACAGGAAGCTGGGCACATGTACTTTTCTCTGTTAGTGATAAGCTGATTTTACTCTTAATGATTGCTGCTTCTCCTTTCCCCTCCCCCATTCTTAGTCAAAGACCTCTGTGCCTGTGGACTCCTTTTTCTCTCTGCTGACCAGTGAGCAAGTGGCGAAGCAGTTCCCAGTGATGACTGAGGCCATAACTCAAATTCGGGCAAAAGGCCTTCAGACTGCAGTCTTGAGCAATAATTTTTATCTTTCCAATGGCAAAAGCTTTTTGCCCCTGGACCGGAAACAGTTTGATGTGGTGAGTTTCAAGTGATCCAAAACAATAATCAAAACAGTGTGTCCTTGCTTCAGGATGCAGCGTTTAATGCTGCCCTGTAGCAGGTCTTGAGTGAATGGGTTTTTTTGTTCAGACACTTGACTGAATTAGATTTAGACATAACAGGTTGAAAAGAGGACTTTTAAAATATCACTGAGCTCTTAGCATGGTCAGACATTTATGGGATTGGATAACTGGTTGAAACCTCAGCTTTAGGAACTTCCTTGCATTCTGGATTTGAACCTTAATCATCACATCACACACACACTTCATCAGCCCTCTTAATGGGCCCTTTGACCTTTTCTCTTCAAAGACAGACCATGTTGCCCTCTATTTCTGTGGCATTAATCCCTAGATCAGGACTGTCCAATAAAACTTAATGCAGTAATAGAAAGTCCCAGTATGGTTGCTACTAGTCACATATGGCTATTAAGCACTTGAAATGTGACTAATGTCACTGAGGAACTGAGTTTAATTTCCTTTTAATTAATTTCAATGTAAAGAATCACATATGGAGCCACGCCAGTGTGGCTCAGTGTATTGAGTGTAGTCCCATGGACTGAGAGGTCTCAGTTCAATTCCTGGTCGGGGCACATGCTTGGATGGTGGGCTTGATCCCCGAGGGGGACAAGCAGGAAGCAGCCGATTGATGTTTCTCTCTCACTTTGATGTTTCTATTTCTATCTACCTTCCCCTCTCTCTCTCTCAAACAAAAAAAAATCAATAAAAGTATATATTTTTAAAAAAGAATGGCAGCTCTGGCCGGTTTGGCTCAGCGGTTAGAGCGTCGGCCTGCGGTCCTGAGAGACCCGGGTTCGGTTCCCGCTAAGGGCGCGTACCTCGGTTGCAGTTTGTCCCGGCCCTGGTCGGTTGTGCGGGTGGCAGCCACTCGATGTGTTCCTTTCACATCGATGTTTCTCTCTCTCTCTCTATTCCTCTCTCTCCCTCCCACTCTATCTGTACAAAAAATGGGAAAATGTCCTCGGGTGAGGATAAAAAAATAAATAAATAAAGAATCAAAAAAAAAAAAAAAAAGAATGGCATATGGCTAGTGACCACTGTAATCGACAGTGCATCAAAGTACCCTGAGCATATACTGAGTCAAGATTTGGTCTTCTGTACCAGGAGGCTACATCTATGGAGGATTCCCCACTTCCCTAAGAGAAAACAGATCATTATCCTGGGGTAGATATAAATTATTATTATTTTTAATTGATTTTAGAGAGAAAGGGAGAGGGAGAGAGAGACAGAAACATCGATGAGAGAGAACATCGACTGGCCGCCTCCTGCATGCCCCCACTAGGGATCGGGCCCTGGGTATGTGCCCTGACCAGGAATCGAACCAGCGACCTCTTGGTGCATGGGTCAATGCTCAACCACTGAGCCACATCGGCTGAGCTAGATTTAAATTATTGATAGATGACTTATTTAAACTTCATTCAGTCAGAAAACAGATTCTTATTGAACAATTACTATGTGCTAGGCACTGGCTAGGCATGAAAGGCTACTGTGTTCAGTGTTACAAACACAATCCCCGCCCTCTGGAAGACGCACTTACCGTATTTCAAGTACTCAGTTTCCACATGTGGCTACTGGCTACTCTATTGGAGATATAGCACTTCCATCATTGTAGAAAGTTCTAGTGGATAGTGCTATTTTAGAATGTAAAATTTAGTAGAATTGGCAAGGCAGAAATTCAGAACAGTGTTGGATATTAACCTCCCAATCTAATGCTGCTTCTACCTTCTACCTCCTTCCTTCTGCTTGTAAGAAGCCTGGCAAAGAGAAAGTCCTGTCCCCTCTGGACACTTTGCCAGGCTCCTTAGCTGCTTTCTTTTTAGAAAATAATTTTTTTAATTTTTATTTTAGAGGAAGGGAAAGGGAGAGGGGGAAACACCGATGAGTGAGAAACCATCGACCAACTGCTTCCTGTACATCCCTACCGTGCACACCCCCTACTGGGAATCCAGCCTGGAACCCAGGCATGTGTCCCGACCAGGTCCCGAACCAGCAACCTCTCAGTGCATGGGACAATGCTCAACCAACAGAGCCACACTGACCAGGGCTCCTTACCTACATTTTATTTATTTTTTGCATTTATCTTTAGATAGAGTGGGAGGGAGAGAGAGAGAGGAAGAGAGAGAGAGAAACATCGATGTGAGAGAGACACACCGAGTGGTTGCCACACCCACACAACCCCAGCTGGGGCTAGGGATAAACTGCAACCGAGGTACATGCCCTCAGTGGGAATCGAACCTGGGCCTCTGTGGTCTGCGGGCCGATGCTCTAACCACTGAGCAAAACCGGCCAGGGCTCCTTACTTGCTTTGATTGTTGGTTTCTCCACTTGGCTAGTCCACAGTGCTGCCCTCCTCCAAGCTCCATCCACTCCAAGTGCTCAGGGACCTCGGCCAAAATCCAGTCCTGTCTCTGTAGCTTTCGAGCCCTGTAGCCTTGCTTCCCTGAACCTCAGTTTCCTCACCTGTAACACAGGAATAGCAATGTGTTTGCTGTAGGGTAGCTGTGCAGATCCCAGAAGATAATGCATGCCAAGTACTCTGCACAGTGCCGGGCACATTGGTGAATATTCGATACAGATATTCCTTCCTTCAAGTGTGGCTACAGGGGTGATACCTTCATCTAGACAACTTATGTTGGCCAGGCTCACGCCGAGCTCTTTCACTAGAAGCTATGGTTTAAAAGATCTGTGAGCTTCTTTAAAGTAATGGACTTGCCCTGGCCGGTTTGGCTCAGCAGTTAGAGCGTCGGCCTGTGGTCCTGAGAGACCCGGGTTCGGTTCCCGCTGGGGACGTGTGCCTCGGTTGCAGTTTGTCCCCGGCCCTGGTTGGTTGTGCGGGTGGCAGTCACTCGATGTGTTCCTTTCGCATCGATGTTTCTCTCTCTCTCTCTGTTCCTCTCTCTCCCTCCCACTCTAACTGAACAAAAAATGGAAAAATGTCCTCGGGTGAGGATAAAAAAAAAATAAAATAAAATAATGAACTTGGCCTGGCTGGTGTGGCTCAGTGGATTGAGCTTAGTCCCATCGACTGAGAGGTCCCGGTTCGATTCCTGGTCAGGGCACATGCCCAAGTTTTGGGTTCTATCCTTAGTAGGGGGTGTGCAGGAAACAGCCAGTCCATGTTTCTTTCTCTCTCTCTCTTTCTCTCTCTCTCTCTCTCTCTCTCTCTCTCTCCTTCTAAAAAATCAATTAAAAATATTTAAAAAACAACAACAAAATAATAGATTCGTTCATTCAGACTTCACAGGCTTTCCGGCATATGCTTTCCAGCAGCTTCTCTGACAGTTTTCATATTGTAGGTCTGCAGGAGACCTGGAGTTTTGAAAATCCATTTCCTCAAGAGCAAGGGTTTAGGTGTTTGTTCTCTAAAGCTATAAGGCAGACATTTTTTTCTGATGGAAGTAAAATAAAGATAGTGCAGCTACTCCTACGATCTCTGTCAACCCTGGAGGCCGTTCCTGATCTTTTCAACCAACATTGTAGGAAACTGTCCCTGCTGACATGGACATGGCTTTTTTTTTCTTGTTTTAATCCTTACCCGAGGAAACTTTTTCAAATATCTTCAGACAGAGTGGGATGGGGGAGGGAGAGAAACGTCCAGTCGAGAAAACACATTGACTGGCTGCTTCCCGCATGACCTCGACCAGGGCCAGGGATGAACCGCAACTGAGGTACGTGCCCTTGGCCAGAATTGAACCAGCGACTCATTGGTCCGCGGGCCGACACTCTAACCGCTGAGCCAAACCGGCCAGGGCTGTATGTGGGTTTTTAAAAAAAATTTATTGTAACACAACACGTTACCTAAAATTCACTGTCTTAACTGTTTTTAAGTGTACAGTTCAGTATCGTTAAGTGTATTCACATTGTTGTGAAAGATCTCCGGAGCTTTTTCATCTTGCAAAGTAGAACAGAAAGAGAAGGGCAAGGATGTTATTAAACTTAAATCTTAAGAATTTTTTTACTTCCCCAAAACATAACCCTGATGAGAAGAAATGTCTGCTTGTCAGAACTTGGCCGCATTCCCTGGGATCTCTGCCCTCCCCCATCTCTTGTGTCCGCCAGTGTCACTGTGTGGCTTCCCTGCAGTGTGATATATTGATTGGTGTCTGAAACCCCCGGCTTTTTTGCTACCTGCTACTGACATTTTCTTTAGAAGGAGCTTCTTTGTCTTCTTTTAGCTCATTCGGGTCCTTAGAAGACCAGGAAGCGTAAGTAGAGAGGTCCTGTTTACTCAGGACATTTATTTACCAGAAGGGGCAGTTCTTGCCCAAGGGGACCTCAGGTTTGTTTGCCCTTGGTCTTGGAGAGCATGGGTCATTCCAGGAGCGAGTCAGGGATCTAGTTCTATTCATCGGGCAGACCAGAGGCTATCGGTTATAGGCTTCTGTGGCCATCTGAGGCCCACTTTATATGAGATTAAGTCCTGGGGCCAGTGCAAGAGGGACTTCTGGGGGGTGCTGGGTCAGAGATAGCTTGACACCGAGACAGCTTTTTCAGGGTTTTTCTGGAAGCCCCCTGGTTCCAGATCAGAGAGACAGTGGAAGCAAAGTCTGTCAGGATACAGGAGGCTCTTCACAAGACATGAAATGTCTTTGGATGGTCTCTTTGGTGTCAGCCCTCCTGTAGGATTTATTCGTATAAACTGAGTTGGCTAATTTTTAACTTCTGAAATATAGATATTAAAGTTGTGTTCCTTTTACAACAGTAAACAGTGCCTTCTTTCGGAAAAAAATGGTGAAATACTTTTCCTAAAACTGCAGTGTACAGCTTTTTTTTTCTGCTTAGTGTAGGCACAATATCTAACCTTAGCAAAATGCTTTGTCATTTTGGAACTCATTCAAGTTTCATTAAGTTTCACAACAACCATTAAGACAGATAAGATGGCTGTTAGTATTCCCACTTGACTGGTGATGAAACAGGCCCGTCGGGCTTCGCTGTGTGCACAAGGTCACTGGATCTGAACAAGCACTTCGCTTTTCTGAGTTTGCCCCCAGGTTTGAATCATGTTCAAATCACTCAACTTAAAAAAGCAACATCATTTTCTACCATAATACTCTTAAGTTACCTGTTATAACAAACCTCAACTATCTTCTTCCTGCTCTCTTACAAAAACACGCGTGTGCAGCTCTCATTCCCGTCCCTCCCTCAGGTCGTGGAGTCCTGTCTAGAAGGTGTCTGTAAGCCAGACCCCAGGATATACAAGCTGTGCTTGGAGCGGCTCGGCCTGCAGCCTTCTGAGTCCGTCTTCCTCGATGATCTTGGACAGAACCTCAAAGCAGCGGCCAGCCTTGGTATTCGCACCATTAAGGTAACGGTCACTGTCCTGGGAACCCCACTGAGCTCCAGGCACTGGTGGAAGCATTTCTGTGCAGTCCTCTTACATTCATAGTTGTAGCTGCCTTTAGTGGTTCTCCCCGTGTTGCTGTAGTCTTTTTATTTTTTAATTATGGAATCTGTGTGACTAGCTGCTTGTATTTTTAATGGGAAGGAAGACAGACACGTACTAGGAAGGCAGTTTGAGAAGAGTTACACAAGGAGGTGAATGGCAGGCTCCAGACGTTTGGGATGGCAGTCGGGCTGTCCGAGTGACGCTCTTCTGGGTGGAGCCAGAAGCTTCCAGCCACACGGACCATCTAGGTCTCAGCCGTGAAGCACGAGAGGCCACTTGAGAGGGTTCTTGGTCCACTTTCCACACATGAGTTTTCCTTTGAAAGCGGACGGGCACACAGGGACAGGGTGGATGCTGTAGCACAACATTCTTCCCTCCTGTCACGAGGGAGTGTTGTGGACTCTCCACTGGAACGCTCCCCAGCAGACAGAGTTTAATGTGTTTAGGAGTTAAATGGGAAGAGGAAACTCATTCTGTGGCTTCCTCATTAGTTGAATATCCTGACTTCTAAGTCCTTGCTCAGAGAACTGAGTTCTTGGATATTTCCTTCCAAGCATGAGAAGAGAGGTCAGGGCTGACTGGTGGCCTGTTCAGTATTTTCTCCGAAACCAGGTTGATGACCCAGAGGCTGCAGTAAAGGAATTAGAAACTCTTTTGGGGTTCACCTTGAGAAGGGTCGTTCCAGACACTCGCCCTGTAGGAAAGACAATGGAAATTCCACACGATGCCTTGAAGAAGTACCTCAAAGGCCTACTGGGGACCCCGACCACAGGTATGGAAGTGTTTGTGCTTTGGTAACTGTTTCCGAGGTGAGGCGTTCAGTCTGGTTCTCAGTGTCAAGCCCCAGTGGAATGTACCAGAGACAGAGAGGCCGTGTGGTGAGGAAACAGCCATTGAGCCCGGTGGGTCGAGTGCTGCTTTCAGTTTGCTTGGGGAGAGGCATCCCCTCCTTTTCTGTGGATCCCCGCAAGTCTGCTGCCGCTCTTCCACGGACATCGTGATATGGCAGCAACTTGCCTGCAGTCAGCTGTCAAGAGGAGCCTGGGCATTGTGTGTGCCCAAGGGCGCTTGAATGTTTCTCATTTTTTTGAGATGACAGCCTGTTTATAAAGGACACTTAAAAGTTGCAAAATATGCCCTGGCCGGTTTGGCTCAGCGGTTAGAGCGTCAGCCTGCGGTCCTGAGAGACCCGGGTTCAGTTCCCGCTAAGGGTGCGTACCTCAGTTGCAGTTTGTCCCCAGCCCTGGTCGGTTGTGCGGGTGGCAGCCACTCGATGTGTTCCTTTCACGTCGATGTTTCTCTCTCTCTGTTCATCTCTCTCCCTCCCACTCTACCTGAACAAAAAATGGAAAAATGTCCTCGGGTGAGGATTAAAAAAAAAAAAAAAAAAAAAAAAAGTTGCAAAATATAAATGTGACAAGTTGTCTCCATCCCTTCAAAGGTCCACCCTTCTTCACATTCCACCCTCAGAAAATCAGGTGCCTCGTGAGCTTTTGAAGAAATTTCTACCTGGTGATAAAGTTTCGCCTCACCCACTTGGTCCTTGAAAAAGGCTTTTTGTGTGGAGCTTCATGTTATGATGTGTTCCCGTGATTGACTGGCGTATTCTTAGCCACTACAGAGCTGAGGGGCCCTCTCTCCCCTCGAAGGCCTGCCCTGCTTAGCTTCTGAGATGAGATCGGCATGTTCAGGGTGGTGTGGCTGCAGACTGAGGGGCCCTTTCCAGCCAAGCCAAACAACTCAGGCCTACTCCCGTTTCCTGCTCTTCTTCTGATCAAGTGAAATTAACCTGTGTCCAGAGTTCAGTGTTATTATGAAGCTGAGGGCTAATTAGGATGTTTCTGTAAGGGAGACAAAGAGTTCAGCGCACTGTGGTGGGAAATCGCATCTCGTGAAAGCAGCTTTGGCTCTGGCTGTGGCCTCTTCGTGGCTCCTTTCGGCTGTCTCACCAGTGGCAGGCGTGGTTTGGCTGAGTGTGGGCTGAGGGACGCACAAGGGCACCTTTCATCCTCAGGCTTCAAGCGTTCCATTTAGGAAGATGGGTTGCCATGACTGTGCTGTGGTTGATAAACAGAACTGAAAAGCTTTTCTTCATGGGGCAGGAGTTGGCAAGCAGGACAAAATTGGACACCGTGCAAAGTGAGAATGTTATTGCGGTGTAAATCCAGTGGCCTTGCCACACTGTAGTGGCTTGTGATTCTGGACCCAAGCTACTAGGGCACGACGCCATTCCTTCAGTGCATCCCAGTGCTGAACTCATTAGAAAGAAAGAATCTTTCCAGGTCTGCCCTTCGGAGCTGGTTTGAGTTTTCTTTGTTTTCAAACTTGCAGGCCCATTGGAACTCCTTCAGTTTGATCATGGACAGTCAAATCCAACTTACTACATCAGGCTGGCTGACCATCAGCTGGTTCTGAGGAAGAAACCCCCAGGGACACTCCTTCCCACTGCCCATGCTGTAGAGAGGGAATTCAGGTAAATTCTCAGGTCCAGGCGCACTCACCCACTCAGCCTCTGCAGCTCAGCCCCTGAGCTGACAAGTCAGCACTCCATCAAGGGCCTGGAGACATTTAAAACTACAAGTGCCCGGCTGGTGTGGCTCAGTGATTGAGCATCGACCATGGACCAAGAGGTCGCTGGTTCGATTTCCAGTCAGGGCACAAGCCCAGATTGTGGGCCTGATCCCCAGTAAGGGGCATGCAGGAAGCAGCCAATCAGTGTTCTCTCTCTCTCTTCCTTTCCCTTCTACTCTCTCTAAAATCAATAAAGAAAAAAAAATTTTTTTTAAACTACAAGTATGACTCTTTCAAGTAAGAACAGTAACCTAATTTTATTTTGTAAGTTTATTTCCTTTTCTATACCTTAACCTATAGGAGACTAGACTTTTTTGGAACTTCTAGATGAAAAAAGGCATTATTAAGAAACTCTTTAGTCTTTTTTTTTTTTTTTGGTATGTGCCCCTAGCAGGAACCAAACCTGAGACTCTGGTCTGCAGGCCGACGCTCCAACCGCTGAGCCAAACTGACCAGGGCAAGAAACTCTTTAGTCTTAAAGCTTCTAAGCCCTTTAGTCTTAAAATCAATATATTAATGAGGGTACAGCCCAACAAGCATGGTCATGAGTTGATAGTTGTTAGAACTGGGTGATGGGTACATGGGTTTTTTTGTTTTTGTTTTCATGTTTTTATTGATTTTTTTAGAGAGAGAGGAAGGGAGAGAGAAACATCGATGTGAGAGAGAAACATCAATTGGCTGCCTCCTGCACGCCCCCTACTGGGGATCCAGCCCACAACCCCTGCATGTGCCCTGACCTCTCAGTCCATGGGACTATGCTCAATCCACTGAGCCACACTGGCCAGGCCATGGAGTTTTTTATACGAATCTCTCTACTTGTACATATTTGAAAAATCTCCATAATAAAATGTTTAAAAGAATAAATGTATTATAACTCATCCCAAATAAAAGAGCTTGCTTTGCAAACGGAAATTTTAACGTAGTAGGTTTAAACAAAACTAGCTCTAAATCTCAGAGAATGAGGACTAAAGCAATGAATGGGCTCCAGGGTGGGGCTTACCCTACTGGAAGACTTTCTCCTCCTCTTCCTTCTCTTCCTTCCAGTCTCTTACTGCTCTGCAGAAGGAACGTCGTAGAGAGTAGTGAAGACAATGTGATTTTGGCTCCTGGCCCCTTCTCATTCTTTCTGTTTGCTGTCTCTCCTCTAGACTTTTTGGTTCCTAAAGTTTGACTTCTCCAAGTGTTGCGGGGACAACAACTGACAAGCCTCGAGGGTACATGAGAGGAGAAAACCTATAGCTATTTCTGAGCATCTGTGTATGTGTCACGTGATAGCAGTGTGTGTTTATAGAAGAGAGACCCGACAATGTAAAACCACCCCTCTGTCTGCTGCATCCAGCTTGTGCCTCTAACCATTCCCAGAGGCCTGAGGAATTCTGGAGTGCTAGAGTGACATTCCAGAAATCCTGGAATGCACAGAATTTCCATTTTTGTAAAGGAATAAAATGTGCATTTGAAAATGAAACCTAATATGGTATCTGTTTATAAAATGCCAAATGTAGACTTGAACAGTATAAACCTAATAATTCCAATTAGGTAATCTCTCTTTAAAAAATTCTAAATAGGGAAAAAAGCTGTATGCATGAATATGCTCACTATAGTGTTGTTTATAATTTTAAAAAATTGGAAAGACTAAAGTTACAGTAATTGCGAAATGATTACTGGTAGATCATTGGTAGATCTACTTGTGGCAACAACAACAATAGTAGTAATAGCTAACATATACTGAGTGTTTACTGTGTGCCAGGCACTATAATCAGTGCTTTGAATTATTAACTCAAAGCATTCTCACAACAACTCCATATGTTACTATTATCCCCATTTATAGTAAGGAGGCTTAAAGAGGTATATGAGTAATGGAGTTTGGCTTCACACCCATGGGCATTGGGAGTCCATAGCCCAGCTTTAATGATTCTGCTGTTGTAACCAACAGAAGTATGCCTATCACAACATAAGCTGTGTATGGTAAAATTTTAATGTAATAAAAACAGATACAAACCATATATAGTATTATCTTAACTATTTTTTTTAAGACTTATGCATTGAAACAAAAAATATTGGAAAGGAACATACCACAGTGTTTACCCTGGTCATGGTTGGGTAATATGTTAGTGGTAGTCTTTAGCTGCAAATGACAGAAACCCTCCCAGCCTGACTTAAGCACACACACACACAAAAAAGTAGGGGAAGTGGTAGTATTTATTGGCATCATAATGTAAATCTTGTAGGCCAGGCTAGGTCCAGGGGATCAAATAATGTTGCCAAGACCCATTCATTGTCTCTGTTCATCTCTCAACTTTCTTTCCCAGATAACCCCAGTGATCTTTCCAGCATACCTCCTTAGATTGAGTCATTGGCCCAGTAAGGGTCACAGGTTTGTCCCTGAACCAATCTCTGCGGTAAGGAGGCTGCAGCATTCAGATGGGCCATATCTGGGTTTTATGCCCATTCCTGGAACCAGGGACTGGGTCAGTCCCACCCAAACCATGTGGACCTACAGTGGGGGAGAGCTGTTCCCCAAAGGAAAGTCTGGGTATTATTACAGAATTACGACGTGGGGAAAGGAAACCAGGCAGGCAAAAGACGGAGCCAGTTACTGATGATAAGACTATTTTCCTGTTTAAAAATTTAACAAATTTCTTCCTTACATGTTTCAGGTAATTTACTAATTAAAGCCATCGGGGCCTGGAGTTTTCTTTAGGAAAAGGTTTTTGACCATGAATTCAATTTAGTAAATATTGGGTTATGCCGCAGGCCGACACTCTAACCGCTGAGCCAAACCGGCCAGGGCTAAAATCTTTTTCTTTTAATATAAATATTTAAGTTATATATTACTCTCTACATGCATCTGCATACCACAAAATTTTACATGTTGTATTTTTTTTATTATTAGAGGTTTTAAATATTTTCTAATTTCCCTGTGATTCTTCTTTGGCTCAAGACTTATATGGAAGTGTGTTATTTAACTTCCAAATACTTGGGCTATTTTCCTGATTATTAATGTAGCTATACCAGCTTTCTTATGCTTACCAGTTGAGTGGTACTTTGCTTTCCATATGTTGATTTTTTCCTACTTATCTTTTTTTCTATCTATGTTTTAATCTTTAAAGTGTCTTTTGTAGACAGTATATAGTTAGAGCTTACTTTTCTATCCAATGTGACAATTTCTGTCTTTTAATTGGAATGTTTAGTCTATTCAACCTAATGTAATTATTGACTGTTTGATGTGGGCCTATAATTTCACTATTTCTGTTTTGTTTGTTTCATCTGTTTAATGTTCTTCTTGGCTACTTTTGGGTCAGTTGAATATTTTTTAGAGTTACATTTTAATTTCTGCATGTACTAATTTTTACATCAGAAAAATAATTGTAAGACAGTCTCATCAGCTGTGGCTGGTTTTGCTCAGTGGTTAGAGCATCAGCCCGAGGACTGAAGGGTCTTGGATTCGATTCCTGGTCAAGGCCCTGTACCTGTGTTGCGGGTTCGATCCCCAACCCTGGTCAGGGTCTTGTGGGAGGCAACCAATCGATGTGTTTCTCTCACATTGATCTCTCTCTCTCTCTTCCCCCCCCCCCTCCCTTTCTTCCCCTCTCTCTCTCTCCCTCCCTCCTTTCCACTTTATCTAAAAATCAATGGAAAAATATCCTTGGATGAGGATTAACAAAAAAAAAAAGTTGCATCAGTTCAGCCAGCAGTGATGCTCATTTTCCTTTGTTCTGGCAGGATCATGAAAGCCCTTGCAGGTGCTGGAATACCTGTCCCCAAAGTTCTTGACCTCTGTGAAGATTCGAGGTAATGTTCAGATTTATTTTTTCCATTTATATTCAAGCTACAGAAGAGCAGAGCCGGCGCACTAACTCAGATTCCAGTTCGTTACAGTAAAGACAGAAAAATTTGGTAGGAGAGAAAAGAGACTTTATAGTAACTGCCCCAGAAGTTCACAGATCTCTAAGTTATTCTGAAAGATAAAGAAATGCCTGCTTTGCCCGGCCAGTGTGGCTCAGTGGTTGAACATTGACCCATGCACCAAGATGTCACCAGTTTGATTCCCGGTCAGGGCACATGCCCAGGTTGTGGGCCCGATCCCCAGTGGGGGGCATGCAGGAGGCGGCCAGTCGATGTTCTCTCTCATCGATGTTTCCATCTCTCTCTCCCTTCCTCTCCCTTCTTCTCTCTCTAAAAATCAGTAACGAAAAAAATTTTAAAAAAAAAGAAATGCCTGCTTTTGTGAGAGTTGGTAGAAAAAAATCTTTTTTTAAACAGTCTAAAAATATGTATCCATGTAGTTTATGGTGTTTGCTTTTAATTACTTATTGTAGTCTTTCTAAATTTTTTAAGCTGCTTTGTAATATATTTTTTGAATCTGTCCCTTTTTTCTAACTTTATAATTATGAGAATTGTGAAACGTAGAGTTGAAAGAAGAAATAGTATATAAAAAAAGAAATAATAGTATAACGAGCACTCATTTACACTTCATCTGGATTAAAACATAGTTAACATTTTGCCACATTTCCTTTCTATATATGTATGTGTGTATATGTGTATATATAGATGTATATGTGGATATTACATATAAATAGTAATAATTATATTACAAAGTATTTTATATACTAGAACAATATTACATGGAATTATGTAATAGATAAGTATATTTTAAGTGTGTGTGTGTGTATGTGTGTGTATATAATTTTTAGCTGAACCTTTGAAGTAAGTTGCAGTAAGTTACATCTCATAAGAGTGAAGACATTTTCTTTCATAACCATAGCAACATTATTACAATTAAGATAATTAAGTAAAATTTAATAATATAACTTAATATCTAGCTCATAGTAAAGTCAGGATAACATTATAATGGTAGAAGTTTCAAAACAACTTCTTAGAGTAATAAACTGATTTCTAAAAATGACTAAAAGATGACATTTCAGTGTGTCACCTTAATTCTATAGGGTGGTATATGTGCCATTGGTACCATTGGATAATAAGAATAATAATGAGAAGGGATATTTATTGAACCTTCATTGGAACCAGACACATATGCCAGGCACTCCATATATATTTGCTCTTTTAATTCTTAAAACTACCCTCTGAAGTTTTACAGATTTGAAAACAAAACCCAGAGAGGTTTAGTAAATCTCTCATGACCACACTGCTAGGAAGGGGTGAGATTCTGTATGACTCCCAAGCCCCTCCAAACATGCTGCTCTCCTGGGTAATCAGCCGTAGAGCCATCCCAGTGGCTTCCACCTGTGGACCAAAGAGAAGAGGAGAGAGGCATGCTGGCCAAGAAGTGTGGACAGGTGGTGTGTGTGGATGGGCTTGGGAGGGAGCACTTCTAACCCCCTAAACTCATGTGAAAGGAAAAAGGAAAGGTCCGGGGCTCTGGTCCCAACCCTTCCCAGCACACAGCGTACACACGGGATAGAAAGAGCCGTGCCGTGGCCAACAGCCCGCCACGTTGTGAACCACTGAAACACCCTGTCTGCTTCCCTCCAGGGTCATTGGCACGCCCTTCTACCTGATGGAGTACTGCCCAGGCCTCATCTACAAAGACTCCTCTCTGCCAGGCTTGGAGCCCAGCCAGAGGCGGGCCATATATGCCGCCATGAACAGAGTCTTGTGCAAACTTCACAGTGTGGACTTCAAGGCTGCGGGCCTAGAAGACTACGGGAAACATGGTGAGCATGAGGCTGCCTGTCTTTCGTGCTGAATGTTTCCTCTCTGTTGCCTCTGCTTTTGGGATTTGTGTGGTGTCAGGGTGTTAATGCACCCAGCGGTTGCTAAATGTGAGGTGAGCTTATTAGCTTCCTACTTGGAAATCCACTTTCATTTCAGTGGAGGTGTTGCTTACCTAGACATTTTGTCCTGGGATAAATCCCTTCACAGACTATAGAATCTCTCTTCCCTGCAATTTTTATCTCACTAGATCATTCAAATCTGTCTTTTTTTTCTGATACTGGCCAAGGGTATTTAAGATCCGTTCTTCTCTGTTTTTTCTCCTTACCCTTAAATATTCCCTTCAACAGGGATAGGTTTTTTTTAAATGCCATCATGCCAAGGTGTGTTGTTTGTATAGTTTGTTTCTGCTTTTTTAAAAAAAATGTCTGACTTCCAGTTGCTCCTCAATCTTGCCAGCATTTGGTATTGTCAGGTTTGTTTGTTTGTTTTTAATTCTCACCGAGGATAAATTTCATTGATCTTTAGATACAGTGGGAAGGAGGGGGAGAGAGAGAGAAACATCCATGTGAGAAAGACACATGGATTGGTTGCCTCCCGCATGACCCCAACCAAAGCCGGGAATTGAACCTGCAACTGAGGTATGTGCCCTTGACCAGGAATCGAACCCTCGACTCTTTGGTCCACAGGCTGACGCTCTAACCCCTGAGCCAAACCGGTCAGGGAAGTTTGTTTTTTAATTCAGGTGTATTGAAATACAGCATTCTATGAATCTTGACAAATGCAGTTTTATAACCACCACCAGAATTGTCTCCATGTTTTTGCATGCAGAAACTTCAGCATGAGCCAAACAATCTCACTTTTTCTGTCCTGCAAAGTTCAAGAGTCTCTGCCTCTTGACCAGTATGGATTCCTGGCCAAAGTCAAAAGAATCTCTCAGCTAAGCTATATTTTCTTTTTTCTCTGCCTTTAACCAAAACATGCCTGTGTTCTGTAGGACCATATCAAAGGCTGCCATGTGTGTCCAAAGTACATCAACTTCCTAACACATTTCTGCCAAGTTATCTAAAATTCCACTACTCCACAGGCACACGATCTGAGTTCCCAAACCAAGTTTGAGGTACTTTGCTACAACAGAGCAGGCTTGCCAAATTCCCAGTCCAAACTGAGGGGTCCTCACTACCCTTCCCCTTCCAAGTACAGCCAGAGCCATGTCATCCCGCATATTTTAACCTATTGACCAGACATACACACTCAGTGGGGGTTCCCCTCCATCTTGGTGGCCTCACTGCGAAATACTTATATTAAAAATGTATTCATAGTTCATCTGAAATTCAATTTCAAGTGGACATCCTACATTTTATCTGGCAGCCCTAGTCACCAGTACAAGCGCCAACAGGCAAAGACAGGCACCTATATTGATCCACTGTTTCAGATGGAAAGGGCATTGGAGCAGAAGTTAGATGTTAATTTGTTGAGTGACCTTAGACAAGTCACATCACTTTGGCACAGATTTCGCAATAGTACAGGTTTGGTTAAAAAAATAAAAAGCCCTCAGCTGCCTCCCTTACAGGGCTGATGTGAAAAGCAAGTTAGGTGGCAGCTGTCCCAGTGCTTTGAAGATAAAGCCTCAGGCAGGTGAAATACGGGGCAAGTGACATCCCATCAGAGAGCTGAGTAAATCCTGTGCCTTTTGTTTCTAAAGTGGACTAGTTTGGCTCTTGCCACTGACATGTTAGCATGTAGAGACAAAGCAGAAAACTGATTGATGTCATGTGACCCAGGGCCAGCCTCCTGGGCCACTGGCTGTGTTTTGAGCCTGAGAGCATAAAGCAGGTTTATCATATTTCTGATTCACTGCAGCTGCAGGGGTATCAGATCTTCCTTCTCAAGAATCCTGCAATTTCTTAAGTTATGTCAGAAACCCAGCCACTGGGCAGGGCACTGGCTCTGTATATACACACACTACCATTTGTGTAAAAGAGGGTGTGTTTAAATAAATGAAAATGTTTGTGTAAGTGAAGAATATCTCTAGAACCATACCTAGGAAAATGGTCACTGGGGGTTACCTTTGGGGAAAGAATTGAGCGGCTGGGCAGGGGGACAGGAGAAAGACTTCACTGCATTCCCTTTGTCACTTTTAACTTCGAGCCTGGCGAATGTGATCTGTTCAAGAGAAAACATTTACATTTGTAAAAAATAAAATTAAAAAAGAAAGATACACAATCGTGATTTCTAATCAAAAGAACTCTTGCCCTGGCCGGTTTGGCTCAGCGGTTAGAGCGTCAGCCTGCGGTCCCGAGAGACCCGGGTTCGGTTCCCGCTAAGGGCACGTACCTCGGTTGCAGTTTGTCCCCGGCCCTGGTTGGTCGTGCGGGTGGCAGCCACTCGATGTGTCCCTTCACGTCGATGTTTCTCTCTCTCTTTCTTCCTCTCTCTCCCTCCCTCTCTATCTGAACAAAAAATGTCCTCGGGTGAGGATAAAAAATAAAAAAATTTAAGAACTCTTGACAAAGACCCTTTAGGTATGGTCTAATTATCACAAAGACCCTTCTTTTCTCACCCCAGAGGGACAGGCTGCTTCAGAAGTTCCAGGGCCTTGGCAGGAGGCCTGTTGAGGACCAGTGGCCAACAGAGCCCGAGACACAGGGACAGCTGCACCTGCCTCCCATGAAGGGAACGTGTGCAGCGCTGGGTTGGTGTGTGTGAGAATCCACACAGGAGAGTTTCTGGAGGGTTTCTTCCACAGAGGCTCAGCCCCTGTGGTTTTGTATTTGACTTACTATGATGATTTTCAAACTTACAGAAACATGAAATAGTACAATGAATAACTATATATGCCCACTACTAATTTTAACAATGGTTAACGTTTGCCATTTCACTTATCTGTCAATCTCTTTATATATGTGTGTATGTGTGCGCGCGTGTGTGTACATGTATATGATTAATGAAGTTGTAGAGACCCTGATACTTCATTCCTAAATATTCAATGTGCATTTCCTAAAAATAGGGACATTCTTCAGGACCATTATCACATCCAAGGTAATAAATATACCATCTCCCCAGAATACCTAAAACCCAGTCTATATTCAGATTTCCTCATTATCCCCCTTACATCCTTTTTCCAAACTGGATCTAATCAAGGAATCTAGCACAGTCCTTCCAACACCTGTTTGTTTTTTTTAATGAATTTTTTAAGAGACCAAGTCAGTTGTCTTACAGATTTGTCTCAATTATTTCCTTATGGTTTCATTTACTGCTCTCTTCTATTTCCTGTAATTCTGAAAACTGGAAGTTAGTTCTAACAGGTGGATTTGTTTCGGGTTAAATGCCTAGGGGTTTTGATCTTCACTGCTCCTGGCCCAGCTGGATCCTCTGAAGGGTAGGTGTCCGGATGCTCTGAATATGTGGTGGCCTCCACAGAAGAGGCTTGATCTCTCTGGGACCATTTATCTTTCAGATGAGGGGTGAGGGCTTGGCTTAGAGCCAGGGACCTGACATGTTTATTATTAGTTATAATAGCGATAATTAGTAATTATCAATTGACCATAACGATGACAATAACAATGCCCACCATTCACTGAGAATCCTTCTGGGCCAGGTCTGTATTTGGCACGTTGTATATCGGTGTCGTTTGGCCTTCACGGCAGTCTACAGACTTTCCTATCAGTACACTTATACAGAGGAAGCAAGGGAGGGAGACTCAGGTTAAATCAACTGAAGACCTTGTCAGTGAGCCCAGTTAACTCCAGAATTCCTTTCAGTGTCCAGTCCCAGATGTAACTTGCAAGTTCCTCAACTGTTGTATCTCTTGGGTTTTTTGGCAAACAACTGAATAGTAGTAGCCAATTCTGATGTAGTATTTACTACATACTAGGAGAAGCTTCAGGGACTTTGCATATTTTATCCTCCCAACAACTCTATGAGGACCATCTCATCCATGAGGATAAGCTGACGCACAGAGAGAGAACAACAGAAAGAGATCCAGGGAATCTGGCCCCGGCATCCATGCTCTTAGCCAACCACTATTGTTTAGCCAAAAAGGGATTTCCTAAAGGCTATTAGTAAGCTCATAGGACCTCTGAGAGGTCCAGGGAGCAGGCTTGGAGGCCACGTGGCTGGGAACAGTGCCCAGATCATACTGATACAGGCAAGACAAAGCAGCCAGTGGCTTTCACTGGGGCAGCCGGAGCGTCCTGTGGGATATCTCCCATCGTAGGAAGATGTGCTCCAGAGCATTACAGAGGGTTTCATGACCCTGGGTAATTTTGAAACCTTTGGAGGTTGTTGGAATGGCACACCATGCTCTCACCCTCTTTCCCTCAGGGGACTACATTCCACGCCAGGTGCAAACCTGGATCAAGCAGTATCGAGCCTCAGAAACCAGCACCATCCCGGCAATGGAGAGGCTCATCGAATGGCTACCGCTTCATCTTCCCAGGCAGCAGAAGCTCACAGTGGTGCACGGGGACTTCAGGTAGATGCAATGAGGGGCTAATACTTAGATGTGGAAAATGATGGGAAGGGCATCCTAAGGGGAAAGGAAGCAGCTGGTCTTGGCCCAGTTTACAGTTGTGAATTACTCCCTTTACAAAGGATGTCCCTGTGCAAGGCCTTTGAAGGCAGGGTTTCTCAGCCTCGGCTCCACAGACATTTGGGCTAGATAATGTGAAGCTGGGGGGCTGCCCTGTGCCACTGCAGGGACTGTCACCACGCTGAGGTCTGAAGGTGCAAGCCTACGACTGCATGACCGACTCCAAAACTGTGGCTGTAAACGACAGCAGGTTTTTCACTCACAGACCTGCAGTCTGGGGACAGGAGAGCTTGTTTCAACTGAGGTGGCTCTGAGGCTGGGGCTGTACCACCTGAAGGCTCATTCACATACCTGGCAGGGGCAGAGGACACGTGAACAGCTGGACTCCTCGGGTCTCTGTGGTCCCCGCGTGGTCTCTCCAGGACGGCAGCTTCTGGGTAGCGGGACTTCTTACCTGGAGGCGCAGGGCTCCAAGGTGTGTGCTCTGAGAGAGGGCCGGGCAGGAGCTGATCACCTGTTCTGACCTAGTCTCGGGCGTCATTCAGCATCGCTTCCACCTGCGTTATATTTGTTAGAAGCCAGTCGCCTCAAGAGGCAAAGAATTAGACTCTTCGTTTCATGGAAGGAATGTCAGAGAATTTACAGACCTGTTTTAAAACCGTCACAGGAAGGAGGAATTACCAGGACCCAGAGGTCTTAGCTGTGTAGAGAGGGATACCGACCAAAGCTGGGGCCCGTGAGAGAGGAATGCAGTCGGCCCCTTCCTGTCTCCTGCTGGGGGCCCATTGGCTGAGCCCAGCTGAGCCAGAGGGCAAGGAAGCTGGTGGATATGGCCACAGCCCCTGCAGCTCCGGCTCCAGGGGCACAGAGGGGCCACAGGAGCACACGGAAGATGCATACATAGCACAGAGTGCGCCCTTGGTGATCCGTTTTCTTAGTGCTGTCTCTCTGTTCCTTCTGTGGCTCATTCAGGCTGGACAACCTGCTGTTCCATCCAGAAAAGAACGAGGTGCTTGCTGTCCTTGACTGGGAACTTTCTACTTTAGGCGACCCCCTTGTAGATGTGGCCCACAGCTGCATGGCTCACTACCTGCCATCCAGTTTCCCCATACTGCCAGGTAGGAACTGCTGACGGGAGGGGGAGGGACAGCCTGCTCCATTCTCAAAGCTTTGGGGCGGACTCAGGGAAGTAGCTGTGATTGGGCTGGTGCAGAAACTGAGGCCCCGCTGGTTTGGGTGGAAAATGCATTTGGGCTACATTCCTGTCACATTGTGGGGAAGTGGGTGTAGGGAGTATATTAAGTGAGAAGGTTATGGGTATAGGCACCTCTTATGCTTCTGTACAACTAATTTCTAAAATTAAAAATGCAAGTTTATTTTAAAAATTTAAGAACCAACAGATAACAAAAAGAAAGCTGAAATCATCACTAGTCTCCGAGATAACCACTGCCAATCTTTTCATTCTTGTCACCTTTTTCTATGCGTATGCATACATTTGTTTAAATGAAAACATGACTATATGATTTCAAGACCTGCCTTTTTTCACTTACATACTTTGGACATGTCTCTGTGTCATTATTTGTTCTACAGCATCATTTTTAATGACAACATAGGATTTTATTATGTAGAACTAACTTAATCAACACATTTGGTTTGATTCCTAATTAAATATTTAATTTGTTTCCAATATATTTAATTTTTTAAATATATTACCCCCTGTCCTCACAAAAAAGGCAGTGAACATCTTTGTAGTAATATATTTACCTCTCTCTGTATGAGGTATGCTCCTAGCAGAAATTCCTAGGAATGGATTACGTTCTTCTAAACCATGAAGAATTTTTCATTTGTTGTAATTTTCTTTTTCATAATCTGATGGGACTGGTCTCTCAATACCGTCTTTATTAAATGACTCACGGAAAATAATATGCATCCATGCTGAACTGTAGTCCAGATGGAGGTGGAGGCCCCTCATTCCTTCTCTTGCTGCCATTTAGTCTGAAACTTTTAAGAGCCAATTTGGGAATAATAGTTTCGTGTCTGGATTCCAGCCATCTGAGGGAGGAAGAGCCCTTGAAATAATGAGCTAACCCTTTGAACTGGCTGTGAAGCTAACTTCCAAGGGAGGAAGTGATTTTCAGAATTTAAATACTTGTGGCCCCAGGGGAGCACGGGGTCACTGGCTGCCCGGGATGGCTGTGTCACTGCAGGTCTGAGTGGCTGTGATTTGACTCAGCTGGGCATCCCTGCTGCAGAGGAGTATTTCAGGACGTACTGTCTTCACATGGGGATCCCTCCCGCTGAGAACTGGAACTTCTACATGGCTTTCTCCTTTTTCGGAATGGCTGCAGTCCTGCAGGGAGTGTACAAGGGCTCACTCACAGGTACTGGGTGTCTTGGGAGAGCCAGCCTGAGGTCTGAATGGCTTCCCCCTGGGACCCTCCCGTGGCCCAGAGGCGTCAGAGGGATGGGTTTGGCCAGAATCTTTACGATTCCGTGAATTCAACCATTTGTCATTAAGTATATATCATATAGTTGTATTCTTTAAAATACTTAAACTTTAAAATAATGCACATACAAATTTTAAAGTGGCTCGGTGGTTGAGTGTCAACCCATGCACCAAGAGTTCGCGGGTTTGATTCCCTGTCAGGGCACATGCCTGGGTTGTGGGCTCGATCCCCGGTAGGGGGCATGCAGGAGGCAACCGATCAATGGTTCTCTCTCACATCAATGTTTCTATCTCTTTCTCCCTTTCCCTTCCTCTCTAAAAATCCATAAAAATATATTTAAATAAGTAAATAAATATTTTAGGTAGCAAGCAAAATAATCCATATCCTAAATTATTTATGAAGATAGAAAGGCAGATTAAAGTTTGCTTCCTATGTGGAAGAAAGGCAACTAGAAAGAAAGCAGACAGAATCTAGAAATAGTGACTAATCCAATAGCATTAAGTACAACCAAATTCCATTCCCACCCAAAGCAACCAGGATACTTTGGAGAAGTGGCTGATGTAGGTCTAGGGCAGAATATCTACAAGATGAACCTGGAACATCTTGTACCAGAAAGCAAGGAAGTTGTCAAAGACTATTGGGGTCATATCTAAAGGACTCAGGAGCCGACTTGAACAGGCTCCCACTTGCTAACGATAGGACACTTTGAGCACCAATAAGGATGACAGTTGAAATGGATTGAAACACAAGTATGGTTAAATCCATGAGTACAGAGTGATGCTAAAACAAAGAGATGATCTCATTGGTGACTTTGGAAGATGCCTAGAAAGCAAACCCATTATTTTGAAAATTGGTAAATAAAGGTGGGGGGGGGGGATTAAGCATTGATCCTGCCTTTCTTATACAAATTACACGTCAGGCTAACCTAATAATTGACAAGGGGAATGTTTCTCTAGAGAAGCACCACAGACAGGATGAGAGAATTAGCATATCCCCCATTTGCCACCCTGATATATTAATGGGTCTGGAAAATAAGCATCTGTGGTGCTGACATTAGCAAGAGAGAGAGGGCCAGACACACTGCCAGCCTCCTGCTGCTTCCCCAGAAGCCGAGCCTGGATCGGACCAAACCTCTAGTGCTCACAACCAACTCACAGCAAACAGTTCAGAGAAGCACAAGAAACAGCACCACAAGGCACAGCCACTCAGAGGCCAGATTCTGAGACACTTCACAGGGCAAACAATTCAGTTTCTTCAACAAATACATTTCAAGGGGAAAAAAGAAAGATGAAAAAGGAAGTTATAACTTGAAAAGAACTTAAAAGACATATCTACTGCCCAGGTGGTGTGGCTCAGTGGTTGAGCATCAACCCATTCTACAAAAGGTCGCCAGTTCGATTCCCGGTCAGGGCACATGCCCAGGTTGTGGGCCCGATCCCCAGTGGGGGTGTGCAGGAGGCAGCCATTTGATGTTCTCTCTCATCGATGTTTCTATCTCTCTCCCTCTCCCTTCCTCTCTCTCCCTAAAATCAATAAAGGGAAAACAAAAAACAAAAAAACATATCTACCAATTACAGAGCTTGGACCTTATTTAGGTCTCTGTTTGAAAAAGCAAATCATAAAAAAAATTTTTTTAGAAAACAGTCAATGAAATAAATAGTTGATGGTATTAAAGAGTCAGAGTTAAGTAACAGAGTTTTGTATGCGTGATAATGATATTGTGTATGTGTTTTTAAGTCTTTGCTTTCAGACATTAGTGAAATATTGATAGATGAAATGATCTGTACTTGAGATTTACTTGAGAACAACCCAGGGCACTGGGGGTGAGGATGGCAGAGAATGAAACAGCCTGGCCTTGCTTCAATGATTGTTGAAGCTGAGTGATAGATACCTTCCTGCTCATTATGCTCTTCCCTCGACTTCTGTATATCTTTGAAGTTTCCCAAGATGAAAATGGAAATAAGGGTCAAGTAGACAGAAACCCAGCAGTGGGTTTGTGACTACTATAGGGACATCTTAGCTTTTTAAAAAATCCTTTACCTGAGGATATTTTTACATTTATCTTCAGACAGAGTGGGAGGGAGGGGGGGGGGAGAGAGAAATATCGATGTGAGAGAGACACATTGACTGGTTGCCACCCACATGACCCCAACAGGGGCCAAGGACGAACTGCCACTAAGGTACACGCCCTTGGCCAGAATCGAACCCGGGACTCCCTGGTCTGCAGGCCGATGCTCTAACCGCTGAGCCAAACTGGCCTGGTCGGGACGTCTTAGCTTTATGGCCATCCACACCCGAGTTCACTGGCAGCATATTGCCCTCGGCCAAGCTGCCATGTTCTGAGAGAAGCAGCTGTAGGAGAATTGACAGTTAATTCGTTCACCAGTGTCCGAGCCTCTACGAAGCCAGGTGTCGTGCAGGTGGGACTGGCAGTACCCAGTCGTGAGCAAAATAGTGACCAAAGAAAAATCAGGATGTAGGGGATTCTAGTTTCACTCTCCCTGATCTGATAGTAGGGGTCTCGATAAGCAGGGATTCTTGAAAATGATATTTTCCCTTCCTCCAGATAACATTAGCTCTGAGTCACCATTTCCCAAGCTCTGTCCTGGCTTTGCAGTGGCGAGGAGCAGGCCTGTAGACATCTTCTCGGGGCTGCTGCATCCTCGCTGGGTCCTGCTCCAGTGCCTGGGGGTAGCTGCATCTGTTCCGAACGACCGTTCTGGAGTCTCTGCACACACACACCTCACCGCGTTGGCCTCCGTGTGCCTGTCAGGAAGCCATCTGACAGCTTCTGAGATGCTGTGAGCCACTGGTGAGGCTCCATGCTTCCTGGGCTCGGAGGTAAAGGCCCGGCTGTTTGCCACCACACAGAAGGAGAGAGGCGCCGTCTTTGAGGCCCCTGTTCTCTGATCTTTTTTTTTTTTTATCCTCACCCCAGGGACATTTTTGCATTTATCTTCAGATAGAGCGGGAGGGAGGGAGGGATGAAGAGAGAGAGAGACACATCGACATGAAAGGGACACATCGAGTGGTTGCTACCCGCACAACCCAACCAGGGCTGGGGACAGACTGCAACAGAGGTACGCACCCTTAGCAGGAACCAAACCCGGGCCTCTCTGGTCCGCAGGCCGACACTCTAACCGCTGAGCCAAACTGGCCAGGGCCTCTAATCTCGATTGTGCATTCCCTTCCCTCCTAACTGGGAAGTCAGCCAGCCAGAAGAAGGCCCAGAGAGAGTCAGGGAAACAGCCTCTTTAGAACGTGGGCATGCCGAAAAGAATCCAGGAAAGCTGCAGAAAAGCCCACCCGAAGGAGACAGTGTGCACACAACAGCACGGACAGATCTCAGATGCCGTGCACTGAGTGAAAGAAGCCTCGCTGGGAATCCGACAAGCCTGTGCATGTGTGACATTCCGGGAAAGACAGACTGGAGGGCAGAGATCAGAGCCACCAGGGGCTGGAGTAGAGGGTTGGGTACAAGAGACACTGGACGTTTCAGGATGATGGGAGTGCTCTGGGTCTTGATCATGGCGGTGGTTACCTGACCACGCTCGCGGAATTGTACACTTCATAAACAGGGTGTATGTATGCTATGCCTTAATTTGAAGAAATTTAAATCCTTTTTTAAAAAGTCTTGATGAGCATATTGAAGAAAGCAACAGAGTCTGGCCAGTGTGGCTTAGTGGATTGAGTGTTGTCCCATGTTCCAAGAGGTCACTGGTTCAATTCCTGGTCAGGGCTCAAGCTCGGGTTGTGAGCTCAATCCCCAGTAGGGGGCATGCAGGAGGCAGCCAATGGAAGTTTCTCTCTCTCCTTCTTTAAAAAATCAATAAAAACATATTTAAAGAAAAAACAAAAAAGAAAGCAAAAGAGACAGCGAGAGCATGACTGGAGTGAGTTCTGCGATGCTGGTGATGGCACTGACCTGACAGAACGGTGCCCGGAAACTGGCCATGAATCACCCACTGTGACACTGTCATCAATTGCACAGCCCGGGCAGCCCAGGGCAGTGCAGGGCTTCGTGTGGCCCGCTGCTGACGGCAGAAGTCATCCGGAGTGTTACTGATTTACTCTCTTTTTTTTTTAATCCTCACCCGAGGACATTTTTCTATTTTTTGTTCAGATAGAGTGGGAGGGAGAGAGAGGAAGAGAGAGAGAGAGAAACATCGATGTGAGAGAGACCCATCACCTGGTTGCCAACCACAAGATCCCAGCCGGAGCTGGGGACAAACTGCAACCGAGGTACATGCCCTTAGTGGGAACCGAACACGGGTCTCTGGACCGCAGGCCAACGCTCCAACTGCTGAGCCAAACCAGCCAGGGTTGATTTACTTTCTCTAGGAAAAGAAGAGATCAGGAGCAGGAAATAGGCCAACAGGGATCGACTGCTGGCTCCCGGCCCACTTACTGAAGCTTGTCCTCTCTAAGACTCAAATCGTTGTCTTAAGGTGGGGATTAAAACAGTCCAGTTGCTCCAGGAATCCACCAGCGGCTCTCAACCTGTGGGTCACGGCCCCTTTGGGGATTGAACGACCCTTTCACAGGGTTCACCTAAGACATAACAGTAGCAAATTTACAGTTATGAAGTAGCAACGAAAATAATTTTATGGCTGGGGGTCGCCACAACATGAGGACCTGTATGAAAGGGCCGTGGCATCAGGAAGGTTGAGAACCCCTGCAGTAAGCTGTGATAAACATGTAAAGCCCTTAAGACCATGTCTTTTACGTGGCAAGTGCTCAGCAGATGGTAGTAGCTGCTATTATAATAACAGTATTCTTGTGTGTTGGGAGCATTATTGAGGGCCATTTGGGAGAAATCACTGTTTTTCTTTGCTTAGGGCAAGCAAGCTCAGCAACCGCCGAACAAAGCAGAAAGCTGAGTGGCTTTCTTTCCGACCTGGCGTGGGAGTTTGCAGTCAAAGAAGGATTCCGGATTTTCAAAGAGACGCCAGACACAAAGCCATTAACCAGGTCCTACCACACGTGGGCTGGTCCACGGTCCCTGCTGAGCACCCCAGGAACAAGGCGTTGTACCCCTCTTCGAGAATTTTCCTCAGCTCATGCCTCAAAAGGAGCTCTGGCTCTCTCCCCAGAGGGCCTTTCCCCGCCCGCCAGGGAGCCGTATCAGCAGCTGAAGCAGTTTATGGAACAAAACGTGTATCCCGCCGAGCCAGAACTGCAGAGTCACCAAGCCTCCTCGGAGAGGTGGACCCCTTCCCCACTGGTCGAAGATCTCAAGGTAAAGTAGCCTTTCGAGAGTCAGAGAGACCTTGTTGAAATGGCACATCTGTTCCCTCCAGAGGCAGTGAAGAGACAAGGTGGCTCTGCGCTTCCCACCACCAGCAGTCCTTACCTGTGTTTATAACCCTGGGGCAGGTGGGCTTATCATGCATATTTTAATTAAGTAAATTTGAAACAGTGTGATATTATTTTTTTAAATATATTTTATTGATTTTTTTGAGAGAGAGAAAGGGGGAGAGAGAGAGAGAGAAACATCGATCGGATGCCTCCTGCACGCCCCCTACTGGGGATGGAGCCCTCAACCCGGGCATGTGCCCTGACTGGGAATTGAACCGGGACCTCTCAGTCCACGGGATGGCGCTCGATCCACTGAGCCACACTGGCCAGGCCAAGCGTGTGACAGTAAATACAGTAGTTAATAGAGTCTCTCTTTGAAGAATCCATAATGTCAAAGCCAAAGGGCCAGATCAGCTGTAAACCGTTTGTGCTCTTGTCACACAGCGGCACCACTTTGGCTGAAGAACGGAAATACCCACTGTTCTTTGTCAGGATTAGTCTTGGCTTGTCTTAGTTTTTAAGTTATTTGAGGTCTCCAGGAGCACGTTTTGCCTATGATACAGCCATCATCTACTTTTCGAAAAATAGCATTATCACTCTTTTCTAGTTACAAACCTGTTACGATATTAACCAGAGCTCAAACACGACAAAGTCTATGACATGGAAGGCGTTCTCTAAAACTCTCTGCCCTCTGAGATCATCACTGTCAACAGTTTGATTGTTAGGCTCCCAGCTTCCTTCTTTTATATGCTAGCATATGTTATCATTGCTGTGTTGTAGCGGAGTCATCCTGCACATTCGAATCTCATGCTTGCTTACTTAACTTAACGATGTATCCCCTTCCCATGCCAGACCTCCGAGGGGGGTCCAGTGTGGGTGCACCGTCATTTGTCTGCCCTCCCGCTGGCTGAGGGACACTGAGTATCTCAGCCAACAGTCCTGGTACAAGCCACAGAAGCTAACTCTGGGTCAGTTAAGGAGCCAAGCTGGTTAGCGAGCTTCTAACATGGACAGGGAAGCTGAAGACAGTAGATGCTGACTCGGGGTTCTCCGTATGCTCCAGAGCAGAGCAGCTGGGCCCCATCCCTCTCAGGCACACAAAAGGATCCTTCTGCCCCCTGTCCGCACGGAGCGTGTTCTCGAAGATTCATCATTTTAACAGTAATGCCAGCAGTGATGGCAGGTGGGCACAGGGGTGTCTGGGAAACAGACGGGAGAGTGAACCGACTGCTGCCGTGCCAGGTCTCCTCTGGCGTGTGCCTCCCCCGACCCCGCCCGACAGTGCAGACTCGCGTCACTGCTTTCAGCACATGCTTCATCTTTGGCTGTCCGTCCTCCTCCCTCCAATCCCTTTCATTATTCTCCAAAGTAGAACGAAAGTGTCCACAGTGCTCCCCTGACTGACTTTCCCATGCCAGGAGAAAGCCAAGGCTGAAGGACTGTGGAACCTGTTCCTCCCGTTGGAGACTGATCCCGAGAGAAAATACGGAGCAGGACTGACCAACGTCGAGTACGTGCACCTGTGTGAGCTCATGGGCACGTCTCTGTATGCTCCCGAGGTACCGTCTCTAAAGTTCTCCGTGTGTAAGGGGATCTTCATCCATCTGTCCATCACCCCCCAGACGATAAAGTTTTCTTTGGCTTGAACTGCAGTCAGGAGCAGTGATACAAACCCAGACTTCGCCCGGTGAGGGAGGACAGCGACTGGCGGCTGGCTGGAGCCGGAGCAGGAAACAGCTCCAGGGGTCTTCCCGGGAAGACGGGAGCCGGGCAAGGCATGAGCCCGGCTGGCTTCTGAGTGTCCAGCCCACTAGCGCCAGTCTCCTTTCAACACAGGAGGTCTATGGCTGGGTTTCATGGGCTCTGAAATACTGCATTCACAATGTTTGGGTCTTTGGGTTTCTCTGGGGAGAGGAAGAATTTCAATGAGGGTGTCAGAGGGCCTATGACTTGGAAGATGCCCTGGTACACCCTTCCTTGGTATTTGAAATTTTCAGTATGGACACGGGAATCACCAGGGTTTTTTTCCTTTCAGATATTTAACTGTTCTGCTCCAGACACAGGGAACATGGAGCTTCTGGTGCGCTATGGCACTGAGGAGCAGAAGGCCCGCTGGCTGGTCCCACTGCTGGAGGGAAGGGCCCACTCCTGTTTTGCTATGAAAGAACCCCAGGTACCCCCACGGGCTCCTTGTCAGGCCGCACCCTCGCCAGGCCCCTGGTCTCTGCCGCCCCAGAACCACGACCTTTGCCCTCCCTAAGCAGAGTGTGCTCTCACTCAGGGCGCCTTGTCCGACGCCACCAACACCGAGTCTTCCATCAGAGAGGATGGCTTCTATGTCATCAATGGCCACAAGTGGTGGATCTCAGGTATTTGGCCTGAAATTCAGTTTTCAATTATTCTTCAGTGGGTCTGTGTTGCTAAGCAAGTCTCTCTCTGCCGTGCTGTTGTCTGGGAAACAGTGGTAGGGGGCAGCTTCTTTTCCATTTGATGCAAAAGAGATTCTGTCTCTGTGCTCATGGCAAACCCCAGAAGAACCAGAGGTTCTGTGTGGGTCACCAGATGACCACATGTGGGAAAGTTCTGGGAATTTCTCTCAGTCCCCCGACTCTCTTCATTTTACCTTGGGAAAGGCAGAGGTCCCTTCCTCAGTGGCCAGCCCCTGCTTCGAGATCAGGTGGCTGCATTGGAAGGGCTGGTGACACCCCGCCATTCATCGCAAGGTGACTCTGCCAGCCCTCCACAGTGCTGCCTGGACCTCACCTCCCTGAGTCCCCACCCCTCCAGGAGGGACACATTATTACCCCAATTTCACAGAGGAGGAAGCTAGATCAGAGAAGTGCCTTAAGGTACCCACTGTCCACCCCCACCCTCGCCCAAGGAAGTCTGCGATCCAGAGTTCAGGATTGGCCTGGTTCCAAAGCCTGGCCCAAAGCTAGTATGTTCACGCCACCTGTGGGACCAGCAGAATGGGCTGCCAGCGACAGAATAGCATTTTCCCCCTTTTGCCTTTATATTCTTAATTCTGCATGGCGCCTTTCAGAAAATTTGCTCTTATACCCTGGCCGGTTTGGCTCAGCGGTTAGAGCGTCGGCCTGCAGTCCAGAGAGACCCGGGTTTGGTTCCCGCTAAGGGACAAACTGGTTGCAGTTTGTCCCCGGCCCTGGTTGGGTTGTGTGGGTGGCAGCCACTCGATGTGTCCCTTTCACGTCACTGTCTCTCTCTTTCTCTCTCTCTCTACCTCTCTCTCCCTCCCTCTCTATCTGAACAAAAAAGAAAATTTGCTCTTATGACGTTGGATTCATTCCTCACTGGGACAAAACCGGTCACTCTGACTCCCAGCCCAGAACTGCACCTGGTCATCTGATCTGTGAAGTCTGAAAGAGCTGTCGGCGTGCTGGCTTCTGCCTTTCCGGGCCAGGCCGCGCCTGTGCAGGTCTGATGGCCTTGACGGCAGGTGGTGAGGTCCGTCTCCCTCCTGTCCCGGCAGGCATCCTGGATCCTCGCTGCCAGCTCTGCGTGTTCATGGGAAAGACGGACCCGCACGCCCCACGCCACCGGCAGCAGTCCATGCTCTTGGTTCCCACGTACACCCCGGGGATCCAAGTCATTCGGCCCCTGACGGTGTATGGGCTGGAGGGCGCACCAGGTCAGCCCCCAAGCCATCCCTGGTCCTGGGCTGGGCCTGGGAAAGGTGAGCAGTGCCTGTGAGGGCCTGAGGACGTTCGGAGGCCACATGCTCCTGCCTTTCATTTCCAGGCGGGAATCTCAGCCGCACGGGCAAGTTTCAGGCAGACATTTATACTGTTATTTTGTCTTCTAAACTTAAAAGATAAGCCAGAATCTGTCATAAACAGGCCACGCAGGACAGAGGCAGGAAGTGCGCTCCAGGCCCGGAGGCCCTCTTCTGCCTGCCAGTGGCACTCAGGGCTCCTCTGTGTCCCCAGTGCCACTGCCCTGTGCGAGTCCCACACTCGCAGGCACTTGCAGCTTGCAGTAGAGTCACTGTGTTTTAGAAGAGGAATGGCAGGCTATTCATTTGACATCGTAAGTCAGTGATTTATTTTCTATCTTTGATAGCTCCTGCCCTACTCCCCAACCATGTCCCAGTTAGAAGGTTGAACAAAAGGCAAGAAAATTGGCAGCAGGTGACTTGAACTGAGGCAAGGGATGAACACATCCAAAATAGGTAGGTGGCTCTCTCAGGAGGAACCGTTTGGGTCTTTCAGGTGGCCATGGTGAAGTCCTGTTTGAGCAGGTGCGCGTGCCCAAAGAGAGCATGGTCCTGGGCCCCGGCCGAGGCTTTGAGATCGCCCAGGGCAGACTGGGTCCCGGCAGGATTCATCGCTGCATGCGGCTGATCGGGCACTCGGAGAGGGCCCTGGCGCTCATGAAGGCCCGTGTGAGTGTGCCCTTGACCCAGAGCCACCTTCAGTCCTAATCATTTTCTGAGAGCCGACTTAGCAGGTGAAACAAGGTGATGTTCTTGCCAAGAAGCTGTGTCCCGGTCTTTGCTTTGCATCTGCTGCTTTGCTGAAGTTTGAAAGTCAGAGTAGCATGGTTCTTGCCCTGTTGAGGTGAATGGAAGAAAAAGCAGGCCTCTGTAGCAGAAGAGGGCAAGGTTCCGAGGTCCAAAGGCTCACAGGCTGCCAAGGGCCATTCCTGCTATGAATCTTTAAAAATCAGATACAGCCCTGGCCGGTTAGAGCGTCGGTCTGCGGTCCAGAGAGACCCGGGTTCGGTTCCCGCTAAGGGCACGTACCTCGGTTGCAGTTTGTCCCCGGCCCTGGTTGGTCGTGCGGGTAGCAGCCACTCGATGTGTCCCTTTCACGTCGATGTTTTTCTCTCTCTCTTCCTCCCTCTCCCTCCCACTCTACCTGAACAAAACATGGAAAAATGTCCTCGGTGAGGATAAGAAAAAGAAAGAAAAATCAGATACAGGAAGAACCCTCGTTGGTGGCTTATGTCCCTGGGTTCCAGCATCAAGCCCTGCACCACCATCCTCTTCTCTGAGCATGTCCAGAAACCTGTTCTTCCGTGACCCTCCTGGAAGATTGGGGCCCACACAAAAGAAAGCTGTTGCTGGGAGCAGTCATTTAAATCAGTGGTATCGATTTCACAAAGATGAAGCCAACCCTTGAGACCAAACAAATGTTGCACAAGAAACCACACGGGGATCAGGCAGTCCAGTCATTTGAATTACTGAGCAAACCTGTTGTGATTTACAACCTTTTGAGTCGAGGCTTACCAACCGCCCCCCCCCCCCCAAATAAAATGCTTTTTCTAAAGGTTCAGAATGGTACTTCAGCCCCACCCTGCACTGGAACTCAGGCCTGCCTCCCTGCAGAGCAGTTTGACGCACGTAAGACGTCTCCGGGGGGCAGAGCACCGACACAACCTCTCCACGCCTCGGACTGGGTCACAAGGGACTAATTAGGAGCCTACAAAAGATTTGATACTATGAGGTTCACCACAGCACCGAACACAACAGCAAACTTCTGGAAACAGCCTGTGAGGCTTATACTTAGAGCCTGGCCAGATAAACTCGGGTACAGGCACGCACTGAAATTCCAAAATGAAGCTGCAGAAATCTGCTGTCTTTCTTAACACACACAGATGTCCACTGTGTACTCACAAATGAAAAGAAACAGGCTACAAAGCAAAGTGTAGAATATGACTCCCAATTTCATATTTAAAAATGTATACAAGCATGGCCAGTTTGGCTCAGCAGTTAGAATGTCAGCCCATGGACCAAAGAGTTACGGGTTCAATTCTGGTCAAGGGCACATACCTCGGTTGTGGTTTATCCCCAGCCCTGGTCGGGGTCATGCTGGAGGCAACTAGTCGATGTGTCTCTCTCACACTGATGTCTCTTTCTCTCCCTCTTCCTCTCCCCCGCACCTTGTCTGAAAATAAATGGGAAAATGTCCTTGGGTGAGGATTTTAAAAAATGCATACAAAAAGTCTAGAAGGATGGCCACTAAATAGCATCTGTAAAACTAGATGGGGTAACAGGTGTTTCTATTTTTGTCTGAAAATTTATACTTGTTCTGTTTTTCAATATACATTGTTTTTAGTTAAAACAAAACTAAAACTAAACTGAAAAAAGAAAACAAATCCCTTACAAGCTTTTCTGATTGCTGGTGACCTTCAAAGATTCTAGAATGTCCTTTGCAATAACAGTGCTCACAATGGGGCTCTGATACCCAGACATAAAGCTGGGCCTCGGTCAGCAGAGGGCGCCCTCCCCCCATCTGTGTGAGGTGCCCACAGTTACTGCCTAACTCCCAGAGTAGCTCTGGGCCAATGCTGGCTCAGATCCAGAACTCCCTGCCAGGCCGCCCAGAAGGGGCTGGGTCACTGGGGTGGAGGGACTCCTGGAAGCAGTCTGCTGCCTCCGTCAGCTCGCTCTGCAGTGCACACGGATCTGTCTGCATCCAGCTCTGCTCTCTGAAGCTGGCTGTGACGAGAGAGCTGGCATCCTGCGTCCACTCCCTGCCCTCTCCTGTGCACGCCGCCCCCCTCTGCAGGGCACCAGCGCCATGCCTCAAGCTATCTCCTCTGCAGGGCACCAGCGCCATGCCTCAAGCTATCTCCTGTGCCCACAGGTGAAGTCCCGTGTGGCCTTTGGAAAGCCCCTGGTGGAGCAGGGCACGATCCTGGCAGACATCGCCCAGTCGCGTGTGGAGATCGAGCAGGCCCGGCTGCTGGTGCTGAAAGCTGCCCACCTCATGGACATGGCAGGAAATAAGGTAGGAGGCCAAGGGGCCTCACAGAGGATTGGTCCTGGGGGAATCTACTCAGAATCTGCAGACCCTGGAGAAAGCTTGGCTTCTTGACATTAATAACTTCGCTTCAGTTCTGCTTGGAACTATTTGGGCAGCTTTTCAAAGATGGAAGAGGCACGCTGAAATAGGACTGAACTTTCCGTTCACTGAGCCGGTGAGCTTCTGGGTCCAAGAGAGTGGGCCCGAGAGGGTCACAGCCCCCTGGCCTCAGCTCTGCCCCAGCCTGGACTACAAGGCCCTGTTGGTGCAGGCGTCAGGCAGACTTAGAATTCACCACAGGAGCAGCTTTACTCTCAAGGGCGACATTCCTTCAAATGGCTCTTCTGAGTGCCTTTAATGGCACGATGCCTACGTCGACCCCTGCGTTGTCCAGCTTTCCGTGGGACAGCCTGTGCCCTTAAGCCAAGAGGCCTCAGTGATGGGGGGGCCACCCAGGCTCTGATTCCTGCTCCTTGGCACTCTAGTGCTAGATATGGTGGGGGCTCCCAGGGGCCTGGCTCCAGCACCCCCAGCTTAGGGAGATTCCTGCAGCTTGACCTCCAGAGTCCTGGCTTGCCAAGGCCCACTGTCGGGTTGGAGACAGAGCTGTGACCATAACTGAAGCACAAGCCGTTCCCCACTCTGCCTTCTGCGTGTGCTGGGAAGACCAGGCACCTGCTCCCACCTCACCACATCCTGCGTCACCCTCACAGTCACCACCACTGTGCCTCCCCCCCCCCCCCCCCCAGGGCTGGGTGCAGGCAACGCACCAGGCAAGGGCTGCCTCGCGGAGCATCTGGCCCCGCTGGACCTCAGGTCTCTGTTCTGAGTCGTAGTTTCTGCTGCTCCCGTGAAACTGATTATCTTCCGAGCATTCTGCCCTGGGGTCTGCCCTTCTAATCTCATCTCGTCTTCCTCGCAGGCTGCAGCTTTAGATATTGCCATGATTAAAATGGTGGCCCCCTCCATGGCGTACCGGGTGATTGATCGCGCTGTTCAGGTGAGCACGGACTGTGGACCGCTGGCTCTTGAACCATTTACAACACACACAGAACTCCCTCACCTTCAGCCACTCAACCTTCTGTGAACTCTGTGCCGCTGCCACACACTCACCGTGCATGTCACTTCCCGCTTTTGCCTGGGGACAGCCCTACAAGGAGGCCACAGTTATCCTCTCGTTTAGCATATGTGGAAATAGAGGCACAGAAAAGTGAAGTGGCTGCCAGGGTTACTTGGCTTGTAGGTAGCTGATCCTGGATTTATGGTCCTCGTTACACCAGAGCCCTGTCTCCTTCCCACCTCTTAACACCTTGCCCTACAGAGAGACTTCCTGGTGGCAGAAGTTACTTCCCAGGGTGGACTGGGGGAGTCTGGTGTCAGTGGGATGGCCCCACCCGAAGTCTTCCAGAACATTCGTTGTCACACAGATTCTGGGGACTCCCTGGGAGGGTGCCCGTTCTGAGCCAGTCTCTGCAGGCAGTCGTTCCCTGGCCCAGACCAGGGCTCCCCCGGGCTCCCCCTCCTGCCCTGTCTGCTAGGCCTACGGAGCAGCAGGGCTGAGCAGCGACTACCCCCTGGCTCAGTTCTTCGCCTGGGCCCGAGCGCTGCGCTTTGCTGACGGCCCTGACGAGGTGCACAGGGCGGCAGTGGCCAAGATGGAGCTGAAGAGCCGCGTTTAGATGCAGGACCGCTGGGGCCAGACGGCCCTGCCTGCCACGACACCCGCAGGTGAAGTGATTGCTTTGAAAGGCCTGGTGCATGTGATTCTTGCACCCTGTCGGCAGCTGTGTCCTGGGACAGTCACTGTGAACACAGCCTTTTTGGGTCCCCACAGAAGGCATTTCTGTGAGAATCCTTGAGCTTGCTGTGAGGCAAGGAGGAGGGGCATTCGCTGAAAGCGGAGTGGGTTTCAGGGCAGAGCCTGGCAGCTGGTCTTCGGCCTCCGTGCCAGGCAGGCAGCCCATGCGCCCTCTCTCTCTGGCTGTGATGAGTGCGGCTGTGGGAATCTGGACCCTGCTGGGCGGTGCCTGCACCCCAATACAGGGCCTTCCCGGCCTGTGGGCCCTCCCCCAGCAGAGGGGCAGCCGTGACGGGCTGCACCTGGACTCAGGCCCCGCTGCTGGGAGAAGGAAACAAGTCGTGGAGCCGCTGCCGTCTGGTTTCCTCTGCTCGAACGTCCACAGCACAGAACAGAGGAAGATGACGCTTGGAAGGGGCTCTGGGGACACGAGAGAATAAGAAAACACACCTCAGAGACTTTGTGACTGTCTATGTATCATACAAAGGAACTGAGAATAAAGGTGCACACTTCAGTCCCTGCCTCAGTGTGTCATTTGTCTCCTCACACTCGTGTCCACACAGGATCCTGCCCAGTGCATTGGCCCACACGCGGGGAGCAGACGCTGTGACCTCTGGTGGGGTGGGTCCCGAATGGCCTCCTCACACTGCTCATGTGGATGCCACCACAGGACTATGGCTTTGTGGCGTGTGAGGGCCCTTGTGACTACCACACGCCTCCGTCCACTCTGCAGCCAGAGCGAGTCGGGAGGGCGATGGAGGCAAGGCGCCCTCACAGTGCAGGAGCAGCGCCGCCCTCTGGGAGGAGAGGGGATGCTGAGTTCTCCCAGAAACGGGCGGAGCCCAGGCAGCATGTGGGAGTAGGCCACCAGCTGTTAGGGCCCTGGCTGTGAATCTTGTGATTCGTGATGGTGTGGCCAGCAGCTGCCCGTTCAGTCAGACCAGATGGGCAGGGACCGTCCTCCTTTGCATTGCAGACTTGACCTTGAGGGAACTGCTTCACCCAGGACAGTGCCCACCTGCTTCGGCCAGAACCACGTGCCTTCAGGGTACTGGAGAGTCTTGGGGGCTTGTGAAAAGGTTCCCCAGATATTCTTGCCCCAGTGTTCCAGGGAGGCAGGCCCTCCAAACACAATGCTTGTTGCTCATGAAGGCTCAAGTTAATTCAAACCCCCAAACTAATTGCTATCACAACACCAGCCACACTGGCAAAAAACGTTTTGCAGAATCACGGTTCTAGCAGCCTGAGCTGTTGCGTCAGGCCTCAGCAGGGAGGAGGGTGTTTTGAGAAAAGAATGCCTTGGCCAGAGACCTGACATATCACATGACCATCAGAAATTCTCTTGTGGCCTCTGAGGTTAACTAGTTAACAAGCTGGTGCAACTGCAGGGATGAAAATAGAAGCTGTGCTGTGGGGTGACTCCCCCCCCCCTCAGATACTTTGTTGCAAATGTGGGGGGGGGCACCGAGCAGGGTGGCTGAGTGCTGCCTGAAGAGGCCAAGTCACAGGGATGCGGCCTCAGCAGCCCTCAGCCGGGTCTCCAGTTTGATCACCCCACTCACTGTCAGCGCACCCCAACTCTGGGCCTGGCCGAGTTCCCGGCCTTGGGGAATGGCAGGGGACAGAAGCAGGCAAAGTTGCCGTCCTCGGGAGGGGGGCTCACATCTCACGTAGGGGATGGCAGTGAGTGCCGGAGCCCCTGGTGGGCAGTGTTATGGGCACTGCTGGGGGGCTGGGGAGCTGGGGGCTCAGGAGGGAGCTCTTTCCAGAAGAGGCATTTGAGACAGACCTGCATGGCAAGAACAGGTAAGGGTGCTCCAGAAGGAGAGGCAAATGCAGATCCCCTGGGGACTTGGGGGGTAGCTGGTATGTCAGGTGAGGAGCAGAAAGAGGAGGAGCTGCCCGGGCGGCCATGCAGGGCCACAGGGACTTGATCAGGAATTGGGTGTTAATTCTAAATGTGACAACGTAGTGAGTTTATGTAATGGTTTGACAGGACTCGATTTGCGTTTTAAAAATACCCTATGCAGCCCTGGCCGGTTTGGCTCAGCGGTTGGAGCATTGGCCTGCGGACCAGAGAGTCCCGGGTTCGGTTCCCACTGAGGGCACGTACCCAAAAATAAATAAATAAATAAATAAATGTCCTGTGCGCTTCCCAGTTCACCAGGGAGAAAGGAACCGAGGGTTAGGGCCCGTCCAGGGTTCCGTGACATTGCGGAGGGCTCCGGCACCGCCTGCAAAGTTACTTTTAAAAAAGGAAAAGAAAAGGAAGGGTGGGGCAGGGCCTCAGGAAGATGTGAATAAAGGATCCAAAGACCCTTTCCGCCTCACAAACAGTTGGCATTATCTGGTTTGCCCAATGTGGTGGGCAGTGTGGGGGTGCCCTGGGCACCGGCCTCTCTGGAGTGGAAGGCCGGGTGTGACCAGGGCCGGGTTGGGCCGTGAGTAAGCTAGGCATGGTGACGACCTTTTACCTGTGGAACACATCTTGACACCACCCCTGCAGGCTGGACCTGCCTGAAGCCTGTCTTGAGGAAGAACATGTGGTCATGGCACACTGATGACGTTTCTCTCTCTCAGAAACATTCTGACCCAAAGCAATCGAACACACACGTTCTTCTGCTGCTTTCTTGGCAAACGTAGGGGGCCAGACTGAGCCCTCCCCAGTGGTCCTGTGAGGGAACCACAGGGTTCCCCTTCAAGATGCCAGCTCTGGTGGGCTCTCATCCTCTCCTGCTCCACCTGCTCCTCATCCCCCCCACATCGAATTGTGGTCTTGACATTCACATGCTGCCTGTGCTCCCGAGTCCTGATTTCGGGTACTGTCAGATAATTCCAGAATAATCCCATAGAGGCAGAAAGAGACAACTCCAAGCAACTCGCCTGGGTCGGGCCCTGCTGGACAGCAGCTGGGAGTCACGGCTGGGAGTTACCCTGAAAGAGCAGGCTGTGTTCTGGCCAGTATCCCCATCCTAGCCCTCTGTGGTTGCCTGGAGACGGCCCCGCCCGCCGCCCCCAGGCCTTCCCAGTTTCCTAGAGAGGACTTGAGGGTGCCAGGGCCTGTCTGTGGTTAGAGCAAAATACTGCACAGGCCCCAGTCCGAAGTGTCGATTGAGAATGTCTGACAACTGGGACTGTATCTGGCCCCTCTGTGGTGCCGTGTGGCCATGGACTTGGTTTCTACCTCTGCCCACTCTCTTGCCCTCTGACGGTGCTTTGGTTTTGTCAGCTCCGTTCCTGGCAGAGTCCACAGACAGTGATATTGGAGAATAAGAGAGAAAGTTGGACCTCGAGAAAAAGAGATTAAAACAAAATCAGAACAAAGACATGTACCAGCAGGAAGACAGAAAGAATGGTGGAGGAGAGAGGAGCCGCAGGCTGTCGGGGAGAAATCCAAGGTGAGCTTAAACCGTACTTAACGCTTTGGACAGATGGAGCCACACAAGCCACAATTACATTAGGCTTCGGTACATCCGCTGACTGTGGTCTGCAGTGTTTGGCTGTCCCTGAACTAAAGGAGCTGAAGGAGATAAAGGAAGTTTTCCCCAAAAGATGAGAGTTGGGCTGAATCTTCATAGGCAAGATTTCCTTAAGCAGAGAGGGTAGGCTAGGCATGGGGGACGAGGGGCAAGGAAGCTGCTGGTGGGGGATGGTGAGCACCACAGACAAACACACCAGAATAAATGAAACTATGAACCGACATGTGTGCTGTACACCAGCCTAGCGCTGCACACTGTCTCAGCATATACGAATGTTTATGAGCTAGCGCATTTTCCTTCCCCTCCCCATAGCCTAATCTGCTACTCCTGGCTTCCCCTTCTTGGTACACGGGTAGAAACCTCAGCACCATCTTCCACTCCTCCTTCACGTTCATCTCCACGCAGCGACCCATGGATTCTCCCTCCCAGCCTTCTCCACTGCTTCTACTCAGGCCCTCGTCTCCTCTCCTGTCAGCTCTCGGCTTCCAGCCTGTCTCCTCTCTACAGCTGACTTCCTGTGCTGTCCCCAGAGGAATCCCTGAAACACACCGGCGCAAACTCGTTACTTCCAGGCTGAAAACGCTTGGTTGAGAAAAATGAAGAGATTGACTTATAAGATGGCTGCAGTAATCAAAACAGCATCATATAGCATGTGAACAGGCAGATTTATGAAACAGAATATAGTTCAGAAATACTCAACTACTTAAGGACATTTAGTATACAAAAAATGGCTTTTCAGCCCTGGCCGGTTTGGCTCAGCAGTTGGAGCATCAGCCTGCGGACCAGACAGTCCCGGGTTCGGTTTCCGCTGGGGACACATACCAAAAAACAAAAAAAAGACTTTTCATATTGGTGGGGGGGAACTGGATTATTAGAATGAATGATGTTAGGAATTCTGAGTAACATCTAAAAAAGAACTGGAGTCCAGCCGGTGTGGCTCAGTGGTTGAACATCACCCCCACACCAAGAGGTCACCAGTTTGATTCCCGGTCAGGGCACATGCCCAGGTTGTGGGCCTGATCCCCAGTCGGGGGCCTGCAGGAGGTGGCTAGTCGATGTTCTCTCTCATCGATGCTTCTCTCTCTCTCCCTCTCCCTTCCTCTCTCTCTCAAATCAATAAAGAAAGAAAAAATTTTAAATAAAAAATGGGTAGAGAAACTAACCAGACATTTTTCCAGAGAAGACATACAGATGGCCAACAGCTACATGAAAAGAGGCTCACCATCTCTAATCGTCAGGGAGATGCAAATCAAAACCACAAGGAGATACCATTTCACACCTGTGAGAATAACTGTCTCAAAAAGACAAGCAAAAACAAACGTTGGTGAGGATCTGGAGGAAAGAGAACACTTGTGCACTGTTAGTGGGAATGTGAATTGGTGCAGGCACTATGGAAAACAATATGGAGGTTCCTAACAAACAAACAAATATATATAATTATATGATTCAGCAATCCCTCTTCCAGGTATATATCCAAAGAAAATGAAAACAGGATCTCAGAGAGACGTCTGCACTCCCATGTTCACTGCAGCATTATTCACAACAGCCAAGACATGGAAACAACCTAAGTGCCCATTGAGGGATGAGTGGATAAATAAAATTTGATTTATCCATATATGTACAGTGGAGAAGCTGAGAGAGAAATCCTGCCATTTGTGACAACATGGATGGACCTTGAGGGTATTATGCTAAGTGAAACAAGGCAGACAGAGAAAGACAGATACTGTAT